CAGGAGAGATGAATGCAAGTCGAGGAAGAGGCAGACAGGCAGACAACAGGCAGACAGAGAGACAGACAGGCAGCCACAGAAGAAGAGGAGAAGGAGGAAGAGAGAGAGGGAGCAGCGAGGGAACCAACCGGACCTCCGAGCAGGGGACGTACAGGCTGACAGTCAGGCCATCACAGTCGAGGTGGCAGGAGTCGGGGGCAGGCAGGCAGGCAGGCAGCAGAGTCGACAGACAGGGATGGAGACAGTCAAGAGACAAACGCCATAGACTTGTGAAGTAATGAAGGTGAAGATGAAGATGAAGACGAAAAGATGGTGAAGACGAAGAAGACGAAGATGAGGCTGTGGTTGTTGGTGGATCGGCGGCGGGAAGAAGAACGGAAACCCAGCCGGAAAAAGGCTAGCAGAGCCACAAGGCCACAGAGCCGCAAGACGAGAAAGACGTGAAGACAAGAAGATGATGGTGATGGAGCAGTAGAGTAAAGAAAGAGAGAGAGAGAGAGAGGCTTACCAGCAGACTCAGTCAAGGCAGAGCAAGAGTAGAAGAGTAGAAGGAGAAGTAGACGAGAGCAAAGACGAAAGACGAAGACGCAGAGAAGAAGACGAGGAAGAGGCCGAGAGTAGCAGCCGCATCCGCCGAGTTATTTAAGGCGAAGACAAGACAAGCAAAAAGGGAGTCAGACCGCGACTCAGCGGGCGAGACGAGCGAGTCAGGGAGAGACGAAGACTAAGAGTAAAAGAAGGAGAAGAAGAGCAGAAGAAGCAGGAGAGTAAAAGAAGAGGAAGAGGAAGGCCCATCCCCATCTCCAGTCTGCATCCCCATCTGCATCCCTAGTTATCCCCATCCCTGACGTGAAACGGCCTTGGGGTGTGGGTGGTGGGAGTCTCTTACTCTTCAGCCCCTTCGTCTCTTCTTCTTACTCAACTCTTACTCTTACTACTGACTCTTGCTACTGGTGGAGCCCTTGGCCTGACTTGACTCTCTTACCTGCTGTTATTACTGTTATTACTATTGTTACTGTGATGAAGTGGTGTTGGTGATGGTGATGAAGATGGAGATGAATGTGATAGCTTCAGCCCCTGAGCCTCTTCTTCAGCCGTCGCTCTCTTCTTCCTGCTTCATGCCTGCTTCGACTCTTCTATGGCTTCTTCCTCGCCTGCTACTCGCCACCTGCTCAGCCACGCCCAGCTGAAGTTTCTTAGCCAGATGGCTGATGGCTGCTTGTCGTCTGCTTGTTTTTGGTGTCATTGAGTAATTACCAAGAGACATGCTCAAAGACACGCCGCAGGACGCCTGTTCAGCCCTGCCGGAGAGACCTTCTTACTTCAACTCGCTGCTCCGAAGTCCCCAAGTCTTAACAGGCGGACATAAGAGAGAAGAAGACGAAGAAGAAGCAGAAAGAAGAAGAAAAAGAAGAAAAAGAAGAGAAACTCCTCAGGAGAGACACGTGGCATGGGACAAGGGTCAAAGTCGCAGTTGGCTAGTCGAGTTAGCAGGCGGACTATATACAGGGTTGCTGGCATGTAATAATATCAGAGACAGTCATAAAGGAGAAGAGCCTCGGAGAAGAGCCTCGGGAGAAGAGAAGAAGAATTACAGCTTGCTGCTGCTGTTGCTAGTATTACTGTCGGCCAGCTGCAGGACCTTCTCCCACGCCTTCCGGGCAAAGGGGTCCCTTAGACTCGCATACTCCCTCGCCCGCGCACTGCTCGCCTGCCTCAACGCATACCTCGCCGCGATCCCTTGCATGATAATCGAGCCCCGGAAGGCATGGAACGCATCTCCCCATCCCAGCTCCCGCTCCGTGACTTCCCACCCGCTCACCTCCCCATACCACCTCACACACTCATCTCTCGTCGGCAGGCCCTCGACCTCGTCGCTGCGGAACCTCGTCTCGGCCGGGCCGCCCTCGATGTTGGCATAGGGGCCCGTAAGATTACACAGGTCAGACAGCGGATGGCCGACCGTCGCCATCTCCCAGTCCAGCACCCCGATCACCCTGCTCTCCGTGCGGTGGAAGACCATGTTGTCGATCTTGTAGTCGCCGTGCACCAGGCTGGACCGGTCCAGGGGCTGGCTGCTCTTGCTCGAGAAGAAGCCCACCAGCTCGTGGAAGTGAGGCAGCTCGTTGACGGGCTGGCCTGTCTCGACGTCCCGGGTGCGAGCCTGGGCGGCCTGGATGGTCTTGAAGGTAGCCAGCTGGCGGTCGTAGAAGTTGCCGGACCGCCCGAACTTGTCTAGCCCGATGCTCTGGGGGTTGACGGCGTGGAATCTAGCCAGTGTCTGCACCGCTGCTTTCCACCTACAAAGCTGTCAGTAGGACTCTATTTTAAGACAGAAGATCTAGGTAGGTGGCTTACAGCTCTCGTCGCTCGGCTGGGGTGACGCCCGGCATGGATGGGTCGACGAAGATTCGCCCGTCCAGAAACTCCATGATGTAGAAGGCCGTCCCGATCACGCTCTCGTCCTCGCACAGGCATATCGTCCGTGGCACTGGCACGTCTGTCTTCTCCAGCGCATGGATGATCTGGTACTCGCGCTCGACCCGGTGCGCCGTCTTGGACAGCAGCTTGCCCGGCGGTTTCTTGCGAAGCACGTACTTGGCCCCGTCTGCCGCGATGAGCTGGTACGTCGGGTTGCTCTGCCCGAATCCGAACTACAATACACCAATTAGTATATAAGTATATAAGTAAAGAGTAAAAGAATAAGAGAGTAAGAGTACCTGCTTGATGGTCAATGGAGTCTTGATGGACGGGACGTGGGCGTCGATGAACCGCTCAAACGACGCCTGGTCGATGGGCTGTCGCACTTCTCCCGCCATTATTCGCTCTTCTCGCACAAATATAAGTATATTAATCTGCTTTAATCAGGTAACGAGTGTCTCCTGCTTCTTCTTCGTCTTCATCTTCTTCCTCTTCCTCACCATCTCGGCTATTCGACTCTCGTCCTTCTTCTTTCTTCTTCCGCTTCTTCTTCTTCGCTTGAGCCGAGGCTTCTTTGTCTGCTTATGTAAGAGCTTACTCATCCGTTGTCCCGGTTATGAGTTGTCAGCGCTAAACTGAAAGAGGAAAACCGTTGTTGTCGCTTTTTTCCGTCTTGGAAGCTGAAGACGAAGAAGACGAAGACGAAGGCGAAATTGATACCTCTTGATCATTCTTGATCATTCTCCATGTTTTGATATCTTGGTCTCTGTTGACGGCGTCTAGCCACCTTGTGTTACTTTACTTGCTTTTCCTCTTCCGACAAGCTCGTCCACCGCCGGCCTCCCTCTGCCTCCTACACCTTCCGCTGCTACTTCCACCAACCCATTGATATATACAACGCCCCTTACGGTCACCACGGGTAGACGGCTTGGATAGTTCACTGGCCGCAGGAGGGAGGTGAATGGTCCTCTAAGTCGGAGCGAGGGATCTTGCAAGATCTCCTCCGCTGTCGCCGACAAAACAGCATACCTAGCTAGCCGCCTGGCCTGGCTCGTTCACGGCGCGAGGAAACATTAGCCTATCCGTCGTCTCTGCTCTGCTTCGTCTGCGAAAGGACTCGCCATGTCGAACTCGGGCTTGGGTCCGCCGGGGACAGGCACCTATGCCTCCAATGTGCTCAACGTCGGCGATGGGACATGGGACTCGCAGCGCAATACCTTCCTCTTGCCCAATCTCATGGGCATCAACTTTGAAGCCATGCAGTATAACGGTACGCACCCCATCCTATCTTATAATCTACTATAACTAAAACCTTCTAGGGATGGGAAATAGGTTCAAGAACTTGCCCGGATACCATTCTCTTATACGTGCTCACGGCGCCCTTGCAGCAATCACTTTCCTCGGCCTCGTACCCATATCCATCTTGCTCGCTCGCTTCTACTCGAGAAGCCCCTACTGGGCTCTGAGACTACATATATGGATGCAGATTCTCACCTTGTTCCTCACCACCGTCGTGTTCACGCTGGGATGGTTCGCAGTTGGCCCAAAGAGAAGCCTGACCAACCCTCACCATGGAATCGGCCTCGCTATATACGTCATGGTCATTGCGCAGACCTTCTGGGGGTGGTTCATCCATGGTCGTCTCAAGGGGAAACATAGACCGCATCTTTCTCTGAAGATAATGGTACGTCTATCAATTATCTGTTATCAGTTTATCAGTTATCTAACTACTACTTCTTCTACCCACTGCAGATCCACCACTGGCTTGGTCGCGCTCTAGCCCTACTCGGTATTGCTCAGATCCCACTAGGCTTAACTCTATATGGCTCTCCGCTTTCACTGTTTATCCTCTTCGCATTGGCTGCTTTCGCTTTGTTCGTCACCTATTTCATCCTCACTTACCTGCACGAACGCCGTGTTGGTGCAGGATACGATCCCCGAGGCCACTACCACGGCCCAGAGGTCATTGACGACGATGACCGCAGTCATGGAAATCTTGGCCGTTTGGCGGCTGCGGGTGCTGCGGGTGCTGGACTAGCTATGCTAGGCAATCGGATGCGTGGTCGGGGAAGGAGTCGAAGTCGGAGTAGAAGTAGAAGCAGAAGCAGGAGTCGGAGCAGGAGTCGCAGTCGATCACCCGACACGGCCCTAACGCCCTACATTAATGAAAAGGAGTCCCATCATGGAGGCTGGGGGAAGAAGCTGTTGGGCATAGGTGCTTTGGCAGGCGTGTTTGGCTTGGGGAAGAAAGCCTTTGACAAGCGCCGCGAGGATGATTACTCCGAGTCGGGCTACCATCCCGCACAAACCGTCACCGATAGCTACGATGACTCTATCAGCCGTGTGGAAGAAGGTCGACCACCGCCACCGCCATCACATCGTCGCCATGGCCAATATCACGGTGCTCCCAGTGAAGATCATACCGCTACCTACACAGACACCGATTATTACACACACACCGAGGATTCCAGGCATGATGGTGGTGGTGGGCATCCCGTACGCAATGCCCTCCTGGGAGCAGGCGCCTTTGCTGCTGTGAAGAGCTTCTTCGGCCGGAAATCAAAGGAAGACCGTCGAGTCGAGCAGCTAAGGCAAGAAGACCTTGAACATGAACGAATTGCCCGGGCAAACAGCAAACGCAAACACCAGGGAGACAGGCGTCATGCCAGGCCGCATTCCCCTTCCAGTGAGCTTGTGGCCTCCGAAGCTGCTGCTGGACCGTCAGGCACCGCTGGACGACCACCTCCGCCGGCTGCCTCCTCGGTAACCGACAGACCATCCAGCCCCGGACGCGCCCGCCGCAGTCACCACAGATACCCATCCACTCTCGGTGTAGGGACCGCCGTAGCAGGTGCTGCTGAAACTGCCGGATCAGGCCACAGGCGACGAAGCGGAAACCGGGAAGACGCATACGACTCTCCCCAAGTTGCCATAACAGTCAAGCCCGAAGGACGCCATGTAACATTACGGCAGCTTACAAAGGAAGAAAAGCGAGCAGAGCGTGAAGCTCGTCGTCGTGAACACCGGCGTCAGGGCCGAGAGGGCTCGTTCTCAGAAGACGACCACTGGCGCCGTGTCGAAGAACGTGAACGCCAGCAGGCGCAGGAAGAGCTACACGCGCCATCTCAGTCTCATGCACCCTCGCATTCACCAGCACCAGCGCCATCTCACTCACACGTACCTTCCCACTCCCAGGCACCAGCTCACTCTCAAGCACCGGGATCCCAACTTAACCCTCCACTCTCCCCAATGCCCCAAGGCTCGACTCTGCATCCCCCAGGATCCATAGCCGCTCCATCATCGATTCCCGTTCCTCCACCCCCATTGCCCATAAGCCATGCCGGCCTCCACTCCCCAGGTACAGTCAGCACCGAGCTAAGTGGTAGCTACGCCAGTAGAAGCGGTCGACGCCGTGCAGAACGACGCATTGCCAGATCTCAACGCCAACACAGCGTTGACTGGACATAACCTGCTAACGAACCAATTAAACTACTGATAAAAAAAAAAAAAAACTGATACCCCCCAAATTAATGTCAACGGATATAACGATACCTTTCTTCTTCTTGTATCCATGTACATGAATTTTTTCCCCCTGGATCAATAAACGATGTCGTGTGTTTATGTCAGGCTGATATTCACGATTTATTACGTCCTGCTACCTTTTTGCCCTTTTGCCTGGCTGATTTGCTTCCATGTTTTCCGCTCATGTCCGTTTTTTTGATTTTTTGAAAGATGAATATATGGTATATATTTACGTTTTTCCTTTGTTATGGCTTGTTATGGTAGGTAGCGCGCGTGGGTGGTGGCCGGCTCTTTGGTTTATTCCCTACCCGCTTTGCTTTTGCTCTTCCCATGGATATGAAATGTGTATAGCCAGCCATATTCTCTCGTCTGGGAAGTAATGAATTAAGGAAAACTCGACTGTTCTAATTTTTACGCAATAGATATGGATTATGTATTTTTACTTCTTGCAATGAAATTTTATTTGATATAGAAACAGCTCAGCATAAGCTAGTCAGTCTATTTAAAAGAAACAAGTCATAAATGTATACAGAAATTCTTCAAGGTTTAGAGAAAACAGCTACTGTTTATTATTCTACAGATTCAACAGTTGAGAAACGGGTTTTCGTCGGCCGGGATGAAATGGAATATATACATCCTACAACTCTATCATTTCAAAGAAGCCTGGAGACTCTCGAGGACCTAGAACAAACGAAACAATGTGTTAGTACATACCTATCAGTAACGGGGCTTGGATTGTAACGTACCTCTACCTGGACCTTGGCCTCGGCAATTTCCTTCTCGCTTCCAGTACCGGTGGCGAGTCTCTGGGCCTCAGCCAGCTGGGACTTGACGGCCTATTATCGGTTGATTAGCTAGTCGTTCCATTATACATATGCATTTCCCCCGTTTTCTTCCCCATATTCATTCCCGAGCAAAACTTACATCGGCGCTGAAGTCCTCGAGAGGGAAACCCTCGACGGCGTTGATGTTGAGGTTAGAGTCTGGCTGCATGACGGCGAATCCACCAGCAACTAAAACGGAAGAATACCATGTCAGTACATGCGGAATATACCCGATATAAAAAAATTGATATTGATGCCAAGCCTCGGGTCGGCTTGATAGAAAAATGTAGAATTTGATTGAGAATTTGATGGAAAGGGTATATCATACGGAAGAACTTCTTGGTCTGGCCACCCTCCTCGATGATCTCGATGAGACCGGGTCTCAATTGTTCGATGCTGGGAACGTGGCTGGAGAGGATACCCATGTCACCGGACTCAGCGGCAATGTTGACCTGAACGCTAAAATTGTGAAAATGCCACATTAATCGATGCTGTTTTTCTTGGTTTCGTAATGGTTATAGGGTAGGAATGAAGAATTGGGTGGTTGGCGAGTTGATTGTTGGATGGGTTTGAGATATTCAAAACGTACACATCAGCGGACTTGTAGATGGTCTATTCCGAGTCAATTCGTCAGTATATCACGTCTCAAAACATATATAACACTCATTACGCCAACACAGCGTCTCAATAGGTAGAAATGAGGGATTCATAGACGTTGTTTAACGCACCTCCTTGGGCAGGACGAGAGAAAGCTTTAGCTTGTCTGCAACAGCCGTGGCGTAGGTTCTCTGGGACAGAGGAGCGCGGAGAGCGGTGGCTCCGGCCCTGAAGGCTGGTCTGGCGAAGCGGAGAGAGAACATGGCTGCAATTGGCCTTGAGATGGGCTGCGAGTGGGATGTTGAAGATCGTGCTGGCGTGAGATGTTGCGATGCTTGAAGTCGCTGAACTTTCGGGACGTCTCGGGCCTAAGCCGCTTTGGGAGCGCGAGTCACGTGAATGGATATGGTGCTGCTTTAGCCGCTGTTCAACCGCTACGAAGCCATCTATAGAAACATAAGCCACTGTTACATGAAATATTTTTGTATAGGCAGCAAAGATCAATTCCAGGTGGCCTATAATTTGCAGTAAATTTACTGTATTCTCTTATTAATGCTATTAATATTAGTGTAGTTGAGATTTTGATAGAGGACGGCTGTGAACATACGACCTAATCGGGACTAGCGCCTCCAGAGCCAACGTAAGCGAGCCCATCCACACAAACAAGTCGAAGGTCGCAGCTTTCTTGAAAAAGTTCATCTCGACAACGACGACATTCATACATCAACCGTTGAAGTTGCTGCCAGACCGTCAAGATGGCCAGTACGTTTGCTCTCCCGCTGAGGCTGCGATTCTTCAAGAAATCAACCTCCTGGAACCGTGCTTTCCCGAAGCGCCTATATTGAAGTTCGACCACTAACAACCTATCTCAAACGAACAGAATCCAAGAACTCGTCGCAACACACCCTGAACCGAAAGGCCCACAGGAACGGGTACGTCGATATTTGAATCCCAACTCCAGAGTGCCATGATATCGTTTGCGCCGCGATAAAATGCAAAAGAGCCTTGCCATACGCTCGGCTCTTATCGGCGAAGATTTGGACGTACAAAATAGAGGAATCAGAGCGGAACAAAGCTGACCAGACGATTTTTGGATAATGCAGTATCAAGAAGCCAAAGACTCACCGTTACCCATCCCTCAAGGGCACAGACCCCAAGTTCCGAAGAAACCACAGACATGCTCTTCACGGAACCATGAAGGCATTGGTACGGACACCCTTCAACCATATGTCAGATGAATTTCAGGCTAATACTCTTTTACAGAAGGAGGTTAAGGAGGGCAAGCGGGACTCCGCATAAACGGGACATGCATTATATCGGCCTTTTTTTAATCAACAAAAGAAAACGGGAACTGTTTTTTGACATCCACCGTGCTATCTATTCGTCATGTGTCTTATGTCGATATAGAGCTCTTTTCAACTTCCTCCCGTTACAAGGATAATAGGGAGGAAATGTAATGAAAAAGAAACGTTCAAACTTCATCTCTCACCTTTCGCATTTTCACAATCTCTTCTAGGTCCGCAGCTTGAGGTGGGTGGTTGGTTACTGTGGGGTGCCCAGTGTACGTTCAGCTCGCGGTTCAAAATCAAGGAGGAAGGTAGGTTACTTTCTACGTCCTTATTTTGGTTATCTTAAACCAGGCATATGTGTGTACAGCAGCGGAGTCAATTATGTGTCCGATTGCTGAAGGATTTATTCTTACGTGCCAAGATTGAACCGCCATCTAATTACCAAACACCCTGTCTACCTTCCCCATGGTGCAGAGGTGCATGGAACGATGGCTACATATTGTTTCTAGTGGGATACTTCATTACTTTAACATTTAGATGTAGTTATCAGAGATCGGAGGGTATAGCTTAGTTTGATCCTGGATATCAAACAGGAAGCACATGATTCATATTTCGATTAGATCTAATCCAGATCAATGCAAATTAGATTTCCGAGCCAGACGCCATTGCTAGATTATATATTATTTGTATAGGTGCAATTTCGTTTCACCTTCATTACAATTAGTAAATCAAAAGCCTGCTTCAGGATATCAAGATTGTGTCCAATGCAACAGTGGAACAGCAACGAATGTGATTGAGCGCCAGCCCCAATCAACCGAACATATCTTCAGCACGTCTTCTCCTCCCGCCTCTCCCTTCGAGTGTATCAGAAAAGAGCTCTTTCCCTTCATTGCCAGTGTATTTCGAGGGGAAGAGTTCTCTGACGTTTGCGGCCCCTTTTATAGAGATACCACCTGTGGCAGCCCCTCGAATAGACACTCCGCTATCCTCTGAGGATAGGCCACGGATGTTCAAGTCCTGAGAACGTCCCTTTGACGAATCCGGAAACAGTTCCACGTTACGCTTATTGGAGCGTTTAGAATCATCGTTAGCACCGTCCACAAATGGAACAGTCATCCGCTGGGCAAACAGATCAGTTGTTTCGTCAGCAGCGTCAAAAGCATCGGACCGGCGATGGACCGTATTAGCCGGTGGAGAAACGGTATTCATTAGTAGTTCCTGTTTCAGGTAGCTTGATGCGGTCTTGTTAGGGAACAATTCCCTTCCTCTTGTAGTCTCATCGCTCGAGTTGTTACCAGAACGATAAAGCTCTTTGCCGGCATTAGAACGAGACCTATCCCTGCTGTCACGACCAGAAAGGGAGGGTCTATCGCGGAAGCGCCTGTTGGATGATGAGCCACCGGCAAGTCGAAGATCTGGCCCATCTCCATTTGCCCTGGAAGGCGAAGCACTGCGGTCTCGAAGTCGCCCTTCTGAAGACTCCATACGATCGTCGAAAAGGTCTCGGTTATTCCTCCTTGCACGGCTCCTGCTATGTGATCCAGCACTCGATATATCACCGCTGGAGGCTCGTCGTCCACGGTCCCCGTCGTCATCATACATGTTAACATCGAAATGATCGTCTCTAGCTTGGCCCCTGCGCCGACGATGCTCCTTATCGTCAAATCGTTTTCTCCGATAATCCCCATCCCCATCATCTTTAAACCCACGGTGTCTCCTTCCAGAAAACTCGTTCCGCATCCGTTCTCGAGGATCATGCTCTGGATGCATCAGGTAGAAACGACTCGCCTCGTGGGCGCGGTGTTTCTTTCGATCTGACTTTACGGACAGCCGGACCTGTAGAACCGAGTCTGGGTGGGATGACAATGCCTTCGCCGTCCTAAGGCGAAATAAGGGCGAGCTAGTAACTGCATCTTCAGCATTCTCCTGAGTGAATGAAGATAGAGCTTTCGATGCTATCTCTGCCGAGCTGTATATAATATTTGCGGAGGTATCATCTATCCACTCAATTCGCTGAGGCTCTTCCAAAGTGAAATTTTCAGCAGCAAACCGTTTGATATCATCCGTAGTCAACTCATCGACACCACGAATATGAACTTTCTCAAGCTGTGGTTCGTCATTGGGGTTGGCTGCCCCAGCCTCGGCCTGCCCCGCGATCGCGGACACTACCGTCAGAGTAGGAACTGGTTCCTATCAATAGGATTAGCACAGCTTTAGCCTTGCAATCTTCTGCACAAACTTCACTAACCAGCCCAATCGGATCAGGTTCAGGTAAATGTCCAAGGTCCAGGTCCATATCTATATCCATCCTGGTGTCCATTGTACCGTTCGCCGCAGCTGCTGAAGCTTCCACCGCAGGCGTGCCGTCCATAGTGCCACCAGAACGATCTCCGAGCACTGGAAATTCGAGAGAAGAAAACCGGAATCCGCAGGCTGAAGTACGTATAAGACCACGACTGTAGCACCGCGACGCAGTTATCGGCTGTATCTTTTCCTGCCGAAGGTTGCGTTCGCTCTCTCATTTATCGCTTTCAAGCTCCAAGCTTTGCTTTGCTTTGCTGAGCGAGTTTGCCGCCTCACTCGCTGCCACAAAGGGCTTAGCGCGAAGGATCTCGCATGCTTAGTAAGCTTCTCTCGGCTTCGAGGCTTGGAAAGTGAGCTCGACCTCATAATGATGAAGGTGACGATGAAGCCTTTGTTGCCTTACGATGTATCACTTTCACCCCCAAATACCGTGTGATCTAGCCCTCTGCTTCCTATCACTTGGCTTTCGCTGAACGAATCTGCCCGTCTCCTCGCGCTCATGTCCAGCGGGCTGGAGCCTCTGGTCGAACAAGTCTAGTCTCTGCTCGGGCGTCTCTTTCCCGCCAAAGAGAGCCTGATCAATGAATGGCCAGGCCTTATCCAGAGTCCAGCTGTTGCATAGCCCGTAGACAACCCAAAAAGTGCCACATTTCCAGCTATTTTCCATTTCCTCGGAGAGTCTTTCTACCTCTGATAAGTGTCCATCGCGGATAACAATATTCTCCTGAGTCCTCATCGCTCGAAGAAAAGACTGGGGTCGTGAATCATATACTCTGACCCAGTAAGATACACCCGAAGGCTAGTATTTGGGTGTATCCAAAAGGAGCTACCATAGAGGACTATTCGTGAACTCAGGGGGTGCAGCAAAGGTAAACACCCAATCTATGATGGCGACAATCTTACATTGCTCATCGACAAGGACATTACTTGGCCGAAGATCATCGCAGATTGAATTCACTGCGGCCGCCCTGTTCATTCCGGCCTAGACGAAGGCTCAGTTGCCCTACGAGGTCGAGCAGTATCTTTCTAGCCAAGTATTTACGGCGATAGTCCTCCTCTAACCAGGTGGCATCGTTATGCTAGGTTGATAAATGGGTATATTGAGTCTCCACAAGGCTCTTAAAATAATCTGAGGCAGAGGAAAACATCCTTAGCTTCGTCGTAAGGTTAGACGCGCTGTGAATAAATTCCATTAAGATATACGCTTCCATTCCCCAGTCAAGAATGGATAGGATAGGAATCGTAGTATTTCCTTGATATACTCCCTACTCCCATTGAGACATCAGGACCAATAGATGTCGCTTCGTTCCCATGCCTGCTCATCATAACATTTCCATAGCTTTTGGTAATTATAGCACAAGTGACAAAGGCCAACGCGAGGATTGAATGCTGGTATGTACCTAGTTAGCGTTAGTTGTCATGGATTGTCTAAGGAAGTGCTATTTGACTAAGATGGGGCAAGACGGGAAGCCGAAGGACGAGATGAGCCAAGACCGCAAGAAAGGACCTAATATCGACGTCAAGCAACTTCAACTCCAGATCTGCAAGTGTTACGTGCCAGTGCTTGGGATCTACTGGAGGGCCGCTGGCCTCTTGCTTGTTTATCCTTGCGGTAACCGATATTCGCCTTTTAAAAACTTTTCTAGGGGTAATAACTAACCAGTAGTTAACCGGGTAGTTAACTGGTTGACGAGTTAATGCTACGAAGCCTGCCAATTATCTTACAATGATACCCCGACGGTGCGTCCTGGACACGCGTACCTGATGATGCTTCCATGACGCCTCCCGGACCCTTTAGAGTGAGGAGCTCAAGCTATGGTCCGCTTTGAATTCCCGCCACCTGACACCATGTAAGCGAAGAATAGTGTGGTTGGACCTTGAGCCTCCGAAAGCTTCTGCCTTTAGCTATCTATATGCTGTATGCGGGACTAGGTGTTCATAGCCTTTCTCCGGCCCTTAGAGCTAGTCAAAACCCTGAACAAGGCTGTGCCATTTCGAAAGTCCAGGGTAACTACTCGGCTAGGAGGCTGTGTGGTTGGATTGGAAAAGCAATACCACGAAATATCAAGGCTGTCTTGGGGGTCGGTGCGGTGCCAACGCCCGGCAATATTTATCCGTGCGAGCTTGACATATACAACCAAAACGTCAAGAGAGAGGCCAGCCAGTTGCTTGAGCTCTGCATAGAACCGTTACACTGTGCTGCTGATCCCTGGATTTCGAGCATTCTAACCCCGAGAAGCCGGCAGACCCTGCCCTTCCTATTGGACGCTGCATAGGGAACTAGGAGATGAGGAATCAACTCGCGTGTCAGGCGTGGTAACATATGCAAAGCCCTGGGCCAGATGCTCATATTGCCATGATCACGAGCGAGGTGCAAGTCCTAATAGTTGGTATTACCCCCAGCCGTTGAGACCGAATTCACAGCAACAATGCAATAAACCCGCGGAGTAACGACGCTGTTCGCATACTCGTGCGATAGACTGCTTAAAGCAATGGATTGACCTACACTGAGGGTTACCACTATCCCACACTCATGGTATAAAGCCTTAGGTCTCTGCCTTTCTCTGGCTGCAGTCCGTCATCTTCTCGGTATAACCAGCAGTATCGCGAGAAGACACCTGGATGATCTAGCTCTTAAGAAATGGCACCTATGAAGCCGTTATGCCTACCCTTTCGGGTGCCCTTAGCAAGGCTATCTATGAGAACATGGCGCCCCACCCTACCCGCCGCCAGTTGCTCCTTAATCATTCCAACAAAGCCAGTTTCACTGCCGCTGCAGAGGGTATCAACCTACACCTCGAAGAGCTCAGAAATCTACGAAGCAAACCACGCTCCGCTTGCAATTCTGGTAGGGATTGTCACAACCGCAGCAGTCAGTGTTTTTGTTGCAAGGAATAGAAAAGACAAGACACAGGAGTTATTCACAGTGAAATCAAAAACCGGTACCGATCTCTTCGCAGAGACGTCGGCCGATTATTCCAAACTTCCCAAGGAGACTGCAGTTTTAACAGCTGCACCTCATGTTCCACCGCCGATTACAAGGGATTACCCAGTGCTTCTCCAGGTGCCCTTAGCAACAAGCATGAAAACGACTCAGCTATCCAACGTGTACAAGTATGAACAATGGACCTTCAACGATACTGTGCCTGGCCCATTCATACGCGCAAGGGTGGGCGATATAGTGGAACTCACACTGACCAACCGGGATGTGACGGGAAACCCGCATAACATTGACTGTCATGCATTCACGGGGCCGGGAGGAGGTGCAGCGCTTACAACAGCTGAAGAGAATGAGAGCAAGACCGGGCGGTTTAAACTGTTGCATCCCGGCCTCTATGTGTATCACTGTGCCGCGGCGCCAGTGCCAGTGCACATTGCCAACGGTATGTATGGGCTCATATATGTACAACCGGAAGATGGAGACCTGCCCCCAGTCGACCGCGAGTACTATGTGATGCAGAGCGAATTCTATCATGAGCCCCCAGAAGTATTGGAGAACGGCAAACGTTCGTCGACCGTGGAATTCTCGTACCCTAATGCACTGGATGAGAATCCAAATCTTGTTGTCTTTAATGGCAGCGAGTCTGCGTTGACTCGAGACCAGCCCTTGAAAGCGAAGACTGGAGAATCAGTACGCATATTCTTCGGGAATGCGGGTCCCAACCTAACTAGCTCCTTTCATATCATCGGCACTACATTCTGCAAGCTCTACCGTGACGGCGACGTGGTGAGTCCGCCTGCTAACTGGGTGTCGACTGCGAGTGTTCCTCCTGGAGGCTCTACCATAGTGGATTTGAAAATGGCTGTCCCCGGAACATACACCATCGTAGATCATGCAATCTTCCGCTTAGACAAAGGTGCCGTTGGCTATCTGAACGTCTCGGGGAAGCAACGGCCAGACATCTACCAGAGCACTCTGCCGCCTGCGCCATGCGTTGGATGCAAGCTACATCCTTGATTCTCTTTATATCAGGTCTCTCCCTGTTTTTCTCTCTGCGTTTCTTCTTGAATATAGTCCTATACAGTCATTTTACCATGAGGGCCTGCACTGCACTCTGCCTGTCCACTAGATACGTGTATGTGTCTTCCTTAATATATACTATCGTCTTGCTCCCTATGCGCCAGTAACTGCCGCTATCTGTAGTTATCTCGTGAAAGACCCTTAAAACTAAGGTGCATATAGAGGACATGCTATTACCCTTGGCCCAGCCAGCGAATCCTACTTGGGTAACCTAAGGCTTCCTGTGCAGCCGTATTACCGCTCCGCCGAGTTCATGCCATGATCAACCTCCTTCGCCCTTCTTTCCATGCCAGTGATGATATGCCTGTGGCGCTTTTCTCTCTGTCCCTATGGGTTTTCCGCGATCAGGCACGTAACTAGTTACACATGCGTATGTATGTCCAACTAGTCAACTAGTTCATCCTCCAGGAAGAAACCGGAGCATCGCAAATTCTGACTCTTTTTCCGCGTCACCGTCAGAGCCTCAAGATGTCGCTTCCTTCCTTCAGCTGTGCCTTTCTCTGACTCACTGTGAGCGCTGGCTGAAGAGTCACTCCCCTGTGGCTCCCCTGTCTCTGTGGCAGCGTGTGTGCATGAGTTTCTTCAGCTGAACGCCCCAGTCTCGTCTGGCAGCGGGCTTGATGAATCACAGCGACGTGCGACAGCTTGTCCCGTGTTTGATCCCTGCGGAGAGCGAATCCGGATAGCTTATCTGTCGACTAGTTTGCTCGTTAGCCAGTGAGCTGCGAGTTAAAGTAGATTTTGTTTGGCCCGAAGCTTCATCCTTGACGTTGCTTGTTTGTATCACAAAGTCCAAGAACGCTGCCATCTTTGACGGATGCTACGCCTTTGACTACTCAGTTCGTCTGACGCAAAAACTAACTCGTTGCGTCTCTTGTCGATCATGCTGGCTGGCGTCGTCGTCTTCTTCATCTCTTGCTTGCTTCCTCCTCCGGCTTAACTAGTTATTTAGCTAGGCAGTGAGTTAGCTTTTGCCGTGTCGTCATCGAGAAGTAGTCGACTACATAACTGGCGAAGCTGCTGGTTAACCGGCTGAGCTTCCCTTCTGGCCATCGAAGCGACCAGCAGGCGTCTTGTTATCTCCCTCTCATGATCAAGCCAGCTTGGTCTGAGTCTTCGTATCTGCTCACGATGTCACCGACCATTGACCCCGTCGCCGTGGGCGTTGGGAGTGCTGCGGCTGTCCTGATACTTCTGGCTACCTTGCCGGCGTTCAACAGCATCGTCCAAAAGCTTACCCATGGATCATACATACGCCTGGAGACTCTGCCGGAAGATCAGGATGGAGTAGCCACGGAAGAATCGATATCATCTTATTCAACTACTATCCAGATGGTCGTTATTTACACTGCATCTCTTGTCGGCTTGGTCGCGTCGACGCTCAAAGCTATCATGTCAACAACGCAGGACTCGGTTCGATATAGCGAGGTCGAGAGCTGGTTTCAATTCGGGACATTTGTATGACCCTTTCTTCTTCCTTTGGTGATTTGTTGCTTATCTTTTATTTTACTGTTGTTTAACTACTCACACGCTAGTTATCTAGGCACTACTTCTGCCGCATGTGATGGCACTCTCATTCAAGCATGAATATGTGAACCAGTTCCGGCTAGCTAGCTATGCATCTCTTGCTTCGGTTGTTCAATTGGTCATGTCAGGCTTCCTAGACGTACGTCTCTTGACACCTGCTCACTATGATAACCTGACAAACTTCCAATTCGCCATCTGGATCATTCCATTTGTGGCTACGGCTTGTCTGCTTGTTGCTTGCCTCTGTCTACCGAGACGTCCGGATGTTTTTATCAAAGACAAGGTGGTTGATCGGCAGTATACCGTCTCAGCACTCTCTCGGTTCACCTTTGCCTGGCCAGGTCATCTGGTCAAGTACATCATTAAGAACCCCAATATCGATATCCACGAACTGCCTCGCATGGACCATTATACGCGTTCGGAGAATTTATTGGCCAAATTCTCAGGGCGTCCTGCAGCTCAGGTACTCTGGAGGCAGATATTTAGCTTGCATTATATCACCTTCATTAAACATTGGATTCTGACGGCTACCGAGGCGCTGCTCAACTTTGTTCCAAAGGTTTCTATGTACTTCATCCTCCATGCTCTTGAGCGAAGGCAGGCAGGGGAGAACATAGGAATTGACAACTGGATTTGGACCTTGATACTGGCTGTGGGTTTGATACTGTCATGCTGGACAGGGACCTGGATGCGCTGGGTTGGCGATTCTCAACTTGCACTCCGCATAGAAGCGCAGCTTTGTGCAGCAGTATTTGCTAAAGCAATGCTCAAAAAAGACTCTAAAGGTGGGGAAAAATCAACAACAGACGAGGATAAAGATGAAGAGGAGCTTGATGGAGAAGACTCAGATCAAAAGAGTACTCAACAGTGGATCATTAACCTTATGGGTATTGATGCGTAAGTTTACGATTCCCGTTGTGCAACTGGTACTTGGAGAAGGCTTGCTGATAACAGCAACAGTGAAGAGGTTGGCTTATCAGCCGCTTTCCTGAGTACAATTATACTCTCTACGTGCACATTTATCCTCTCGTTAGTGGTGCTATTCAAACTTATCAAGTAAGTATAATAATATACCTAAACTCTTTCTAGGCTGACAAAAATTTTAGATGGAAGAGTTTACTAGCTGCACTAGTTATCTTTACGATCCTCGCTCCATTAAATACCTGGCTATCGAAGGCATATTCTAAAACACAGGTACATATTGAATGACGCTACAAGGCCAGAGAAAGTGACGGTATCGATGCTAATATTACAAATAGGACCGACTCATGTCAGCTCGTGATATTAAAACGGGGGTAATTTCGGAGGCTCTCCATGGTCTTCGTCAAATCAAGTTTGCAGCCTTAGAAAGAGAATGGCAAAACAGAATCATGGGCGTGCGGTTGAATGAAATGAACGAAGTATGGAGATCATGCTTGTACGGTGAGTACTCAAAATTTGCCACGGCTTAAAGCTTGAGTCAAAGACTGATTATCTTCTCCTTATAGATGTCGGTATGATTTTTTGCTGGGGCGCTGTCCCAACGATGATGACTACAGCTGCTTTGGCCGTGTATGCCATCTTTGAAGGAAAACTTACCGCCTCTGTTGCATTTGCCTCTTTGGAAGTGTTCTTTGAGCTCGAGGACTCGCTATCAATGATACCCATAGTTATCACCGGAGTAATCGAGGGTCTGGTAAGTTTGAGACGTCTTGAGGGCTACCTTAATTCTCCAAACAAGAAGGAATACCGCAAAGATTCGCACTCGATTACCTACAAAGAGGCATCCATTGCCTGGCCTTCGGATGTTGATAGCCTCGAAGACCGATTCGTTCTGAAAAATATCAACTTAACATTCCCTAACAAGGAGCTAAGCTTAGTTTGCGGTCCTACAGGATCAGGCAAAAGCTTGCTTTTGGGCTCCATCTTTGGAGAGGCTGACCTAGTGTCTGGCAGTATTGGAGTTCCCATGCCCCCCTTTACAATCTATCATACACCGGATAATGCCATAACCCCTGAGAATTGGATAATCCCATCATCGGTCGCCTTTGTAGCACAGTCACCGTGGATTGAGAATGGAACACTAAGGGATAATATTGTTTTTGGATGCCCCTTTAGTGCTGAGCGGTATAAAAGGGTTCTTGATGCGTGTGCTTTAACTGATGACCTCCACATCCTGATTGACGGTGATATGACTGAAATCGGCCCTCGTGGTATTAACTTGAGCGGCGGCCAGCGGTGGCGAGTGTCTCTTGCCAGAGCATTATACTCAAGAGCAGGAATACTTGTTCTAGTAAGTGTCATTTGTACTCGAAATACCGTTGTACACGTTTAGCTAACCCAAGTATAAGGATGATATCTTCAGCGCAGTCGATGTCCATGTCGGCCGTCACATTTTTGAAAAAGCACTTACTGGAGAGCTCGGTCAAAGCAGGACTCGAATCCTAGCAACGCATCATGTTGCCCTATGCATGCCCAAGACGAGTTATATGGTTGTCCTTGGAGATGGTGGCACGATACAAGCTGGTCACCCCGACGAGATAGGAGACGCAAACGCCCTTACCAAAGTTCGCAGCACTGCATCGGCGGTTGTCAGATCGGAACCTCCACCAGTGAGCTTCCGTAGAAGAAGCAGCTCCTTTCGGGATAATATGGGAAGTCATGCAACCATGGCCTGGGCATCAAGAAAGGATTCCAATCGGGAAAAACCAACAACCACTTTTGTGCAGCCGGAGGAGCGTGAGATAGGCCAAGTCAAATGGGGAGTTTACAAAGAATACCTAAATAGCAGTGGAGGTGCAATCTTTTGGGTAGCTGTTGCCATATGCTTGTGCAGTGCTCAAGCACTGGGTCTAGGAAGGGTAGGTGTAACATTCAAATGATGGATTTTCAAGCTTATTGCTAACATATTCTCATCTACATAGTCCTGGTGGTTGAAGATCTGGACGGGTTCATCGAAACCGAAAGAACAAGCCCAAACCCCCCTAAATCAAACTGTGATGTCAATGAACAAGACAGGGGATGATGCGCTTTGGTTCTACTTGGGGATCTACTTTGCTTTAGCCATGAGCCGGACGTTGATCAAGTCATTCAGTCATCTACTTATATGGACGGGCACCATCCGAGCATCAAAAGACCTCTTTGAAAAGATGACTTCTCGAATCCTTCGAACACCGTTGAGATGGGTAGATACTGTGCCCGTTGGCAGAGTTATCAATAGATTCACCCTTGACTTTGCAACATTCGATTCAAAGCTCGGAGACGACCTTGCCTACTTGTTCCTCGATATCCTAGATCTGTGCTCTATTCTTGTGGCTGCGTGAGTTGGATCCCGATCTAAATGCTATATAATAACTTTTCTAACTGTATTCTTATAGTGTTCTTGTCTCCTCATACATCCTAATGCTTACGATTGTCCTGTCTGGGGTATGTGCACACTTTGCAATACGATACATGATAACAGCCCGAGAACTTCGACGCATCAAATCCCAGGCTAGATCGCCTATTGTTGAGCAATTTGGCACATCGTTACAAGGCATTGGGACAATTAGAGCCTTCAACAAGGCGGACACCTACATGGACAAGATGTATCGAAACATTGACGACCATACATCTGCTCATTACTACATCATTCTTTTCAATGAGTGGATGGCATTTAGAACCGGGATGGCCGATGCGATATTCGGCGCATGTCTAACATTTATCCTTATGTCCATGAAGGGCATTGAGCCATCACTTGTTGGATTTGCTCTCAACTTCATGCTTGACGGAGCCCAGCTGATTGGATCGGCAATTGACAAGTATACAGAGACACAATTGGACATGAACTCCACTGAGCGCATAATCGAATATTCACAAGTCGCCACTGAAGACCATACCGGAGAAGAAGTCCCTGCAGGATGGCCAAGTAAAGGCCGAATAGATGTCGAAAATGTCACAGCCTCATACTCACCAGAGTTGCCGCCGGTTCTCAATGGGCTTTCATTTAGTGTTGAGCCAAACCATCGAGTCGGAATTGTTGGGCGTACGGGTTCAGGCAAGTCGACTTTGACACTTGCATTGTTCAGACTTCTGGGACTCCGAGGTGGCACCATTCACATCGACGGCATAGATATTTCGACTATAAAAGTACACGACCTGAGGAGCCGACTATCAATCATACCTCAGGATCCAGTCCTGTTCTCCGGGACGATACGGTCAAATCTGGACCCTTTCAACGAGTACACCGATGAACAGTTACAGACAGCTCTCAGACGGGTGCATTTCCAGTTATTCAGTGGAGAGACAGACGAGGAGAGCGGTAACGACGAAGGTGAAGAAGACACGAGCTCTGGGACCGAGCGAGGCAGAGTACCGAGTCTCGACTATGCCATTAGCGAGGGCGGGCTTAGTCTTTCGCAGGGACAGCGGCAGCTGTTGTGCCTGGCTAGGGCAATCGTTGCGCGCCCGAAGGTCATGGTGCTCGACGAAGCGACGTCTGCCGTCGACATGAAGACAGACGCCCTGATCCAGCGTAGCATTCGAGAAGAGTTCCAAGACTCGACGCTGCTAGTTGTCGCCCATCGCCTGACCACGGTGGCCGACTTCGACCGGATCCTGGTCATGAAGGAGGGCGAAGCTGTCGAATACGACTCGCCAGGGGCGTTGATGAAGGCTCATGGGGTCTTTTGGCGTATGGTCCAGGGGAGTGGAGAACGAAGAGAGCTGGAGTCGCTTTTCGAGGGCAAGTAGAGGACCGTCCGTCTCCCGTCACATCATGCGATGCCCTCTCCCTCTCTCTTTCGCTCGCTTGCTTGGGGGTGGGGGAATGAAACTGAGGCCTTGCCCCCCAGCTCTGCCCTGGCCCTGGATTTGTGAGGATTATGTTACCATTTGTAATAGAATAGTGGATATGAAGAAACCCATTGATGAGTCGTGAATATTTCTCTCCTGACCAGCCACGGGCGCATAGTATAAAACCTTCTCCAGTACCTGGCCGAAAAATAAAATATATACTTATATACTTACATCAGGGAAAAAAAACAATACAATAAAAGAGTAAAATAAAAGGATACAAGCAGGAGAGCCAACAGGCCAGCCGACTTGCCTGTTCGAGGATAGACCTGGACAGGTTTCCCTTGCTCGGAGCGTTCTTCCGACATGCCTTGTCATGCCATGCCTGGCATCGTCTGCCCCTTAGCACAGCGTGCTATATGTCTGAATAAACAGGCATATATCCTGGCTGCAGAGCTTCCATCCCCTAACTAGCCCCATCTCGGGCCGCCGGGAAGGAAAATCCTCCAGCAAGGGGTCCAGCAGCGACATCGAACCTCAGGGACGCTGTCGTCAGGCCACTGACCAGGTACGTAGTTATATCAAGGCAGACAGGCATGGGGAAGGGCAGGACTGGCCAACTTCCGCTCTGCAACCAACAGTTCGCAGCCGACTGGACATAGCTTGGCCTGGCCGTTGCTCTCCTTTCCCCAGATCCCCGTATGGGCTGGTTAGTAGGTCCTGCTTGCTATACGCCTTTTGCGTGTTCTACCCGCTAACACGAAGTCTAGGTCGCGATGTCTGTCCAATTATACCAGCGAGCGAGGGACGGTTAACTGTTGGATCCCCGGGAACTCATTTAAAACGGAGTCTCCAAGGGAAATTGAACGGCGACTGGAGAAGTTAACGAGCAGGCTATTGGGCCTATGTGCGCATCTCCGCCGTTGTCCCGTTAGTTCGCCAGTTACAACGGTAGCCGGGCTCGCTAGCTGACGGGAGCGCCGAAGCAGAGACAGAGGGAGAGCCTTGCAAAAATTGATAATGCACTCATATATGCACCCTAAAACGGCAAACGCCTGGCTAGGGAAGAGGAGGAGGTGGGAGAAGAGGAAGAGGAAGAAGAAAAGAAGCCCTACTTTGCCTTCAATGGTAAGTTGGTAACAGGTATTAAATATCCCTACTATCAAACTATGCACTGCACTGCTTTATTTTGCAAGTCTCTTAAGACTGCACTAACTACGCCTCCATGATCTTCGGCCTTGTGCCCACGAAATCCATGCCCACGTTCTGTTGCGAGATCTTGACAGGAGGCGTGGACGCCGCAAGATGCGATGGATGGTGCGATCTCCTTTCTTCTCCGCGCCTCACCAAAGATATACATAAAAGGCGTCTTTTTTTGCAGTAGTAGGCTGCAAGCCACCTTTTGCTTCTGCCTCTTTGATGCACCGTTGCCGAGGATATGATAGCTCATGTCGTATCGTACCGCAGGAATAACCGTTGAGAACGAGGAAGCGGAGGAATAAAACCGATGAAATACAGAAACACGATAACACCCGCGGCCGGACGGTTACAGACAGATTATAATATAAAAAGCAAAAAAGGAGGGCCTCTTTTTTGCGCACGTCCCGTTCGATAACTAGCTATGGGCTTTCATATTGGCCATGCCCATGACAAATATTCTCGCCAGGCTGGAGGGATAGAGGGATAGAGGGACATATAGGGAGCCACTCAAAGAAAAGAAAAGAAGGGCAAGAGAGAAAAAAGAAAGAAAGACGCAGAAGAGCGTGAGAATGCGCTTACATAGATGCACCGGGAGTTTATGTATACATTTCTCCGTGTTATCTCTTCCCAGGGCCAGACTATATGTCTGAATCACGTTGAATGTCAAGGGTGCATATACATACGTATACCTACTGCATCATCCTACGGAAAAGAAAAGAAAAAACCAAACGGGTGGGGGACTGAGGAACGAAGCAGACAAGACAGGAGGAGAGTTGATGAGAAAGGATCAAGCGTTCGCTCTTGGATCATCGAGCTGCTCGCCGTCTCGTCTGGTCTTGCTTCACGTTGATGTAACGTTCGAACTCACTCCTGGCGACTGTGCGCATCTTCTGCCTCGTTTCTTCTTCCTGCTCGACCTGCTCGCTTTGCTTGGTCCTGTGGCAAAGTCACTGCCTGGTCGGCTATACTGGTCCTCCTTTGTTGCAAGGTTGATTATAGGCTGCAAGAAACGCCGACAGGGCCACGGGGGAACGGCCCCATGAATATACGAAGTTGCAGGCCATTCCTACTACTCCGTACTGTGACGCCGGCTACTGCCTTCTGCTGCTGCCGCTGCTACCACGGCAACCACTGCTGCTGCCACTGCTGCCAACTCAAGGCTTACCTCTGTACTTCATGTACAACGGGATGGCCATCTTTATCCCCCGCAAGGGACCATGCCACTAGTTACTAGTTAAGGGACGGGAGGAGAGCGAAAAAAAGCACAGGGCGTCACTAGCCATCCAGACGGACCAAGGGATGTACTCTAATAGTACCAAGACACCAAAAGCTCGGTCAACATACCTGATTCCCGGTCATGCCGACGTGTGGTGGTACGAAATTCCCAGCCCAAATTAGCGGCCGAGACAAAGTCACGCCCAGCACAGCTTCTCCTACTGCAGCTTTATTATACATGCATGCGGGTTGTCCTGTTGGTTTGGCGTCTCGACGTCCTGCACGGTTCGAGAGGGATAAAACAAAAATAGGGGGAACAAGGCGCTTCGCGAGTTCGCGGTACGCACTAACATTCGCTCAGAATGTGCATACCCGACGAGATACACTTGTCGAAAGGGCAACCCATCCCTTACAAGTGTCCCATTTCCGTCCATGTGGGAGCAGAATCGGGATGGCTTTCCATTGTCATCTGTACGACGCTGCAGTGAAGCAAGTTGGCATAATGATCAATAGGCTGAGAACCCTTCTCCGCCCATACCCTCTCGGTCTTTTTGAAACCCTTTTTTTGGTCTAGTAGCCGATGCATAGATGTCGCCCCCGAACAGACCTGCTGGCCGGCTCACCTCCAAGGCCTCGATATGGATACGTACATATGTCCAGTCAGAGCCCGTATGAGTGGCACACTCACATGGCAGTGCTACGGGCGAGAACAACCCCCACAGACCAGAGGGCCGACCAGAAGACCGTCGTCTGAGAGAAGATCTGATCGAGATTATGCCTTGCATAAAACCACCTCATAGCGGTCACTTGCTGCCGCTAGGCTTGATTTGAATAATGGAGAAGAGGCAGAGAGGAAGGGAGACAGGGCCTCGAAAGGCCAGGACGGACAGCACGCGGAGATAACTATTAACCAGTGATAGACGGAGGAAGAAGAATGCAGCAGAGCATCAATTGCATGGGGAGTTTCCTTTTGTTTCGTTCTCCCTGAGAGATAACGAAGGTCGGCCAACTCTTCATGTTCAAATAGTATTCCCTTTCCCCCTCCCCCCTTTTTCCACTGCCATCAAGCATGAAGCAAGCTCGAAAGTAAATGGCCAGTTTGTGGGGTTTTTGTGTAGCTATATAACCAACTAGCTAGCATAAATATGTATAATACAAGTCAAGCAGATAACTTTATACCGGAGCGGGTAAAAACATATACAATAAGCAAGAAGAATTAACACCAAAAGGCGAGAACAGAATCGAAAAAGGAAATATATAGAAGAGGGAAAAAAGAGGAAAAAAGCAAAGGAGAAGTACCACGGACACAGGGCAAGCAGAAAAAGAGAAGAAGAAGGTGTTTCTTTTCGTCTCATTTGCTTCTCCCCACGCTCTGGACTTTCCTTTGGCTTTTTCCAAGTCGGATTTCCCTTTTGGTTGTTGTTATCTTCAGCTCAGCCTTTTTGGAAATGCAGCCCCTTCCAGATCCCCTTCCCATCCCAGTAGCCAGAACGCCGGTAAGAGGAATGTTAACGTAGAAAAGACGATGAATATGTGAAAGTGGGTGAAAAGAAAAAGAAGAAAAGGAGGAAATCAATCGGACTGGTCACCGACCATAGTACATGATGTTTTGAAACCATTACCAACAACCGCCATTAACCCAGATATAAGGTAGAAAGGATAAAACAAGAGAAATAAAAATGGAGAAAAATGCCTTAATTGAGCAATGCTTGAAGACCCATCCGAGAATCGCGAGAAGTAGAACAAGAAGCAGGCTTTTCAAGATCCGAAATTGGTGGTAGCTGGTTATGTGGTGCAGATATGGAGTGCTGGTGGTGTCGTAGTGAGGATTGCATGGGGTGAGGCTGGTAGAGGAGGTTATCACTTGAATGATGTGGTTTGGCGAAAGACGAAATTAACGGGGCACTGCCTCGCCGTCTTTCGTCATATGAAGAGGCGGATGATGAGGAGCGGTGGTGGCTGTGGTGGATTTCAACTGGGGTTGCCAGGGCAGAGGGAGAGGTGACCGTCTTGGGCGAGGCCGAGGCGACTGAGTTATGGTCTGATACCATGGATGGAGGCCCACCAAGGGAAGGAGCATGAGACATCTCTGAGAATGCGGGCGAGGTCATGGCGGAGTCTGTTGCCTGGTTTGGGTTGCGTGTGGTAAAGATGGGAGTCAGGAGTCGCCGTCCGGCGGCTGGTGACTGCGGCTGGGAGTTACACTGCTGCCACCTTGCACTATTTAGGGTCTCCTTGGGCAGGTCATATAGAGATGAACGGTACTCGAGCGGACGAGGCGAGTGAATGCGCTGCTGATGGTACTCCCCTCGCTCATCCTGTTGGTGCTGGTGCTGATGCTGTGATGATTGATAGTCTGAGATAGAAGCCCAGGATCGTTGTCTGTCCATGTGCGAGGCCTGGCTGTACATGGCATGTTCGGTCCGGGGACATCGGTACTGCGTTTGGGGGGACCTAGAAGATGCTTTCTGATATGGTGGCTCAACCCGTCCGTTGGGAGTCCTGGAGGGAGATGCAGATGAAGCAGGAGAATGCGAGGCAGCACCACTGCCAGCAGCCATGCCTCTACGCTTTCGGTTCACGCTTCCGTTCCACCAGTTCTTGACGGCATTGTCGCTTCTGTTGCCGAGTCTCCTGGCGATTTCTGCCCACCGCTTACCCATCTCGCTCACCAGTCGTTCGATTATCAGCCCTTCCTCGGCTGAGATGGGGTCGTGATTCAATGTTGGTTTCAGGTTCTGGTGGGATCGTTCTCTGCATTGCTTTGGTGATCGGTATTTCATATGCTGTGAGATGCGGACCCAGTTGTTTGGTCCTTGACTGCTGACTAGTTGCAGCAATGTCTGGTCCTCCTCTGGGACCCAGGGTCCTCTCCTTTGGCTCTGAGGCATGGTTGAATTGAGATATTCACGGGCGTTGATGTGTATGTGTTATGTGTTGTATGTATATATGTGATATGTTTTTCTTGGTTGTATGTATGTATGTGTGCCTTCAATCCCCGCGTGCGCCAGAGCGGGAGGAGACAGGAACGAGTGACGGATGATTGACCACCAAGGGAGTAAAGGAAAGGATATCAAAAGTCGATCGACGGTGGTATGTTTTTCATGTATGTATGTGTATATACGGGGAGGTGACCCTTAGGTGTGATGCACCGGAAGGGAAAAGGGGGTTGATAGAGGGGGAGGGAGGGTATATGTAGTGAATGTGAAGAGACGGAGACGAAGTAGCTGGACCCGGGAGTTGGAAACGAGGAGCGAGTCAAGGGATAAGAGAGAGAGAGAGATAAGATAAACTAGCAAGCAAAGCAAGTAAGCAGCGAAGAGGAAAATAAGGTCCGCTGAAGCCGGGAATAAAAGTCGAGTCTTAAACTTCAAGCGTCCACGGATCTTGCCTAAATCAAGATTGTGATTAATTTAAGAGCCGTAAAAGAGTTGGAAAAGTCATGAGCAAGTCATGAAAAAAGCAATGAATATGGATCGAAAAGTCGAGGGAGGAAAGGTCAGGATGGAGCAGAGGAAAAAGCAACGAGGAGGAAAGCAGAGAGTTTGGTATTTATTTTTCCTTCTCTTTTCTTTTCTTTGATTTGAAAAAAAGAAGAAGAAGAAGAAGCAGGAAAAAGCAAGTTGGCGGGTAGGGGAGCAGTAGGAGAGAGGCAGGGTGGGAATCAACACCTTAATCACCCCTGGTCTTCTGATGGAGAGGCCCGTAGGTGGGTGCAGTGGACGGGAAGCTGTTGCTATACTTAAATATCAAGGAGTCTGGGGAGCAGTTGACTCGGAGAGACACACAGGGCCGGTTGCATATAGGTATATAGAACTATTCATATACTGATGTAGATATATATATTTATACAGGACTCAGTATAGACCTGTGTTTATAAATATATCGCAGTATACGGGACACCGTGAAAGGGGGAAAAAGAAAAGAAAGTGGCCATGCATAAGAACAGGGAATCATACGCTGGGAGAAGAACGACCACACGGAGAGGATACAGAAGGCAGAGACAGCGAGACAGAGGCCAAGGGAAGAAGATGAAGACGGAGAAAAAAGCAAGCTGGGTAAAAGAGCCAGCAAAAAAGCAAGAAGGACTTCAGAAAGAGTGGGAGAGACGCATTGCAAAAGAAAAATATCCAATCGGGAAAGTAGATCAAAAGTGCAAATAAATATACAGCGAAAAAATAATAAAAAACAGGAAGAAAGAGTCTAACCGGCCCTCAAGGCAGGTTTTGTCTATGGAGGCATTTTAAGCGTACCTTGACAACCGAGATCTGAGATCGTCAGGTCCGATGGGGGTTCTCGAGCACGCCAGGGGGCGGATATGTATGATCCGGGGGGGAAGGGTGAAGGGAAGGGGACGGGTATGCATACACATAAAACATATACACACTTATGTCAAGAAATTATATGTGTATATATGTCAATAAATATCAGATGGAGAACGGTTTATGTAAGGGCAGGGGTATATTAGGCCTAAAGGAGTCAAAGCGGAAGCAGACATGGATTGTTTGCAAAAAGAATAATAAAAAAAAGGGAGCAGGTGGTTATAATCACTCGTCCAAATTTTCAATTCTTTTGCAAGAATCGAAGAGAGACATGGAGAATGATGATGCAGGAGGGATGGCAATAATTGACAGGACAGGAATGCAATGGAAGCAAGGTAAACGGGTGCGCACGAGAATTCGGGAATGGAGAGAAGGAAGACGAGGAACGAGGCAGCGGGCGGAGACATCTCTACCGAAGATACGCACTTACACAGTTCCTGCAGGTAGATCAACCAAATATCCGAGGTGTTGCAGTGCAGTCAGGGCCCAGGGCCGCCTTGTGAAGGGGCCAATACGCGGTTCGGCCGTGGTTGTAGCGTAGGATAGTATGGTGATACCACAGCATGATGGCAGGTGCAGGTGCAGGTCAAGGCCACCAAAGGAAAAAATAGCGATAAAAAAGAGAGACGAAGAGGCGATCTTGATCATGCAACTGCCCAGACTTGCTTGTTCGGAGTGAACTACCTGACAAGGGAGAAGGACGAAAAGAAAGAAAGGGAGGGTAAAAAAAGGAAAGCTAACGAAGGCGTTCGAACGAGAGTGGGAGCGTCTATATCGAGGCTGAGAAGGGTATCTGTCAGTTTTGGGGGAATATAAAAAACAACGACCGCCCACAGGGGAGAGAAAAGGCGAAGGGAGAGGAGGAGAGGGAAGCACACACTCACGAGCCACTCTTCAGAGCCGATTTTTGCAAGATACTTACCATTGTCATCCAGAATGCAAAAACAGGAGGAAAAAGCAAAGACGGGCCTTCCAAGGGCGAGGAGGATACAATGATTATAGTTAGTGCAGCAATGCACCTCTGTCTGGTTTCCTTTTTGCTATGCGTACCCAGCAGGAAGTGTGGCAGATATTCCAGATCGTGAGGATACACACACACAGGTAAGCAGGCATGTACATACGGAGCGTCCTCCCTCTCAGGCCAAGGTGCAGGGACAGTTTTTGCTTACTTAGTTATACAGGGAGCTTTTTAAGGCTTGGAAACGATCAGCAGTGGAGAGAGGAAGAGTTATTCCTTGCTTTTTCTTGCTTCTTCGTCTTCTTCTTCGTCTTTCTTTATTTTTTGCAAGGGTTGGCCTGGGATATTTGCAAAGTTGTTCGTTCTGTTCTCCAGATATACACATATATGTATACTGAAGTAAGACCCGGTCCACCAGCCCAGGGTCCCGCAGGCGTAAGTAAGTACATACTGAAGTAAGGGTTGCGATGTGGATGTGCTGGATGCCGCGAAGGTTCGCCCTCTGTCTTCTTGTCTTCTGCCCTCCTTTCTGGTCACTCACTCTCTCCAGCCCCCTGCCAGGACCAATCAAGGGCATGAGAGACCCAGAAAGTGAGGGAACGGAGCAGAGGAAAAAGAAACGGAGGCCGAAGAAGCGTATTCGAAGCAGCACCAGCAGCAGCAGTAGGCGCTTCCTGTAGCACTGGAGCAGGAGAGCAGTAGGCAGAAGAAGCAAAACAATCAGTAGTTAGGCAAGATGGCAATAGAGAAAAGCAAAGAGAGGTTCGGGCTCATCCCGGTCTTTAGCTCTTCTTCGTCTGCCATCATCCCAGCAAGGAATGCAGGGAGCGATAATATATACTAGTTCAGGGTCCGACGAAGTTTTTGTAGAAGGTTGCAGTCGTGGCCGTACTTACACTCCTCCGTAGTAGTTTGCTGAAATTTGATATTCTGAACAGCGCAGCCAACATCTAGCTATAACAGCGCCAGTTAAGCAGCTAGTTATATTCAGCTGTCAGAAACCGCAGCAGCTTGGTACCAGGGGTCCAAACCCAACCCATCCCCCTGGAGCCCCCATGGTCGTGGCCGTGGTTGTGTCGAGCGAGGATAGATGGGGATGTGTTGCACGAACTGGGCGTGTTATCACCAGCTATACCAAGTGGTTTAGTTACTCCGTAACAGGCGGGATATCAGGCCTACCGACGCAGGTTAGAGAGAAGGCCCCTTAATTCTTGGTTGATACAAGTGACTACTAGCTATCAGCTCTCGTAGTTACCTCGCATTTCACATGCTACTTCTCGTGCTTCTGGGGATAAACGCTGGCGTCTCTCTCTCCGTCTCTCTCTCTCTCCCGCGACCAAAAAGTACCGAGCCAGGAGACGCAGGAAGAAGCAAAGAGAGAGAAGAAGAAGCAAAGAAAAAGGATAACAGGTCGACTAAAAAAGAAAAGAAAAGAAGCTCAGTCAACGGCTTCAACTCTATCGGGCTCGGAGCATCTCCTTGCAAAAGGCTTTTCATCGTCCCAGCCTTGCAAGAGGCTTTTTGATAGGCTCACTCTGGCCAGAAGCACACAACTTTGATACATTTGGTAGGAATCTCGAGACTTCGCCTATCAAAAGGGAGCACAACCACCGGATGTAACGTCTTTTTGGTGCCCCCTTCTCTGGCCACCGCGGACACACAAGACAGACTTAGTTAGCTGTGTCCAGCGTCTCTCTGGCCGTCTGCTTCGACCGTCTTGGGCTGGCCGGCCTGCGTTTCATCCCGACTGGCAAGGCAGAAGCGCAGGAACGGACTTCCCACAGGACCAGCGTTTACCCCCAACTTAGCTTATTCAAGGCCATTCTTCGCTCCTCGTTCATCGTTCATCGTTCAGCATGATCGACTGGGTGTTTCAATCTTCTCCATATGTCTAGACGACCTTCCAGAAGCATCCGGCCGAGCCAACCGTCGATATATCCCGCTTCCGGATGGCGATACAAGCCCCCATGGCCTAACAGTCGCCATCTACCGGCATTCACACCCTCTCTTAGGCTTCCCCTGGTTGTTTTCCCCTTCAGGGCAGCGGCTAACAGGCTCGTCCTGTTGCTTTTGGTTCTCGAATAGCATGTCAGATGGCTATATCGAAATATAATTACAAATAATAAAAACAAAATAAAAGGCAGCAAGAGTCAGAGGAGCTCGACAGGCAGAAAGGCGTTGGACGTATGAGTTATCCATTTTCTTTTCTTTTCCCTCCTTTGCGGTCATCCCATTTCGGCGAACGTTTGTCCATCCCACGGAGAGTGCGCCACGGACTGGAGTGTTTGGCCCCTTTAGCAGCAGAGCGAGGGATATGTATGGATGAATCCATGCATGCATGAATGAATGTCCCTAGTAGACGGGATGAATCTGATAGATACACATGTTCTCCCTCTCTCTCCAATTTTTACTGAATCCAGGGGGGTGAAGGGTCTATCCTTTGCCTTGTCGATGCTGCTCGCCGGGTAGAACCCTGTTAGGATAGCTCTGAAGATGGCTGACAGGGTAGTTATTTACTTCGATGAAAGACGACAATGGGTAGATACTTCAAGAAAAGACAATTAGGTAAAAAAAGAAAAGGAGACGGAAAAAGAAAGAACCAGATCTTAGAAAAAGGAATTCAGCCATCATATTCGAAATATTCTACAAAAATACAAAGGGCGTGAATAAATATCCTGTCTTGCTGAATGCATACGAACCAGAAAGAGGGAATTACCGCGAGGGAGAGCCGTTAAGCTCTGCTTTCGTCCTCCGCTTGTGATATCGGGCAACTGTACGGAGTACATGATCCTCGGTTCTCTTCAGCCATGGTCTAGTGATGGATGTCAATCAGACAAGGGAGGCAAAATTCCCTCCTAAGCGAAGCTGGGCGGACTGACATCATGCAGAGAGATCGATATACTCCATGCATATCGTCCATCTCTGGGGCGCCGTCAGGCAGAACGCTCTAGCGGAGATCAACGATAATACGAGATAGCAAGCCATAAGAAAGGAGACGCGACGGAAAAGGGAAGATGGGAAAAAAAAACCCGCAAGACCAAATTCTCCGAAGAAAAAGCATTCATTTTTTCGGTTCCTTTTCACTATCGTTACATCCAAGTGGTCCAAGGGATAGACATGATATCGACATTTGCCGTGGGCTGGAAGTAGCCCTGAACGGAGTAGTAAGTGACAGGAATCATGTACATATCACCAAGCCTTTTAGCTCGAATAACCATTAGTTATTGCCAGTCTTACTGCATTTGCACTTAGCCTTCCCATACTATGTATGAAAAGGTAATCACCTCCGCCCTCGTCAGCACAACGGACGCCTCTTTTTTTTTTTCTCGCCATAAGTGAAAGGGGTTGGTACAGGAAGCACGAGATGATCAACCTCGCTCCGTTTCCCATTACTTAAACCCCCCCGCGCGAGCGCGCGAATGGCGCTGGCTCTGGCGCCGGCCGTCGCATGCTTGGGGCAAGAGAGCGTGAAGCGGCCAGTAGTCTGAATCAAATAGTTCGAATTTTCTTTCATCGGACACCCCGATGGATAGGGTTTCGTTTCTGATAGAAAAAAACATTGCTTTTGACTCCCTCTCGCTCTCTGGAGCTCTGGAATTTGGTCTGTGGCGCTTCCAACGCCCATTCATACGCCATCGCCCATGGGCGAAAGTTCGTTTAATCGGCAGCAGCAAGGCGTGGGCAGTGCGTCCACGAACGTTTGGTACGGCGCACTTTTAATATAGTAGCCATTATAGTCGTCCTGTCAATCACTTGTTGGCGTCACGGCAGCCCCGGTTCTGTTGTACAGCCTGGTTCCCATTGTCCAGCGTCCAGGTATTTGGTAACAGGGTATGGGAAGAGAAACGTACTGACGGGACATCAGTATCCCAAATGATGCACAGCATTGCGCTCTTTCCGCGCCGCGAAGTCCGTTGCAGCGGTAACTGGAAGAAAGCGTGGGAGCATTGATGGTGCTGAAGGTTAGTTACCGGCAACCGGATAAAGGGGACCAGCTTGATTAAACGTCTTGCCTACCTGTAACATAGGCGTTAGGAAGCGCTGAAACGCCTTCTATCGCTCAAACATCAGACTATTTGTCGCAAATCGCAGCTCGGTCGTTTGCTCGCCTGTCCGTGAGTCAAACACGTCCCTCTTTTGGGCGTGTGTATGAACGTATGTCCATGTAAGTACGGGGTACAGGTAACTACTTACAGCGAAAAAAATAAAACCCCCCCCAATAAAAAGATAGAAAGATTAAAATAAAAAGGAAAAGCACACTCCGTCGAGAGGAGCGACAGAGTCAGTTCAGCAAAGAAGCAAAAAGCGTTGTATGTTTGCTTCTTCACAAGCGACTCTTCAATATCCTAATTAGGAAATTCGTTTTAACCATCCCGTAGTAGGAGTAACAACGCTTGTATCGAGTACACCACGCTGCCAGCGCAAACTCCATGCATGGCAGAGGCCCGAGGCCGTACTGTATACATGATGAGAGAGGCTTGCATGGAACGGGCTTCTGTGTAACAGGCCTGCTCCTGAGCGCCTCCAGCTCGAGAGAAAAGCAGCCGAGGACCAGCCAGTGGGGGGAGTTCCTTTTCTCCAAGCCGTTGCACTAATCTTACCTTAAACCCGCGTTTAATTAGTATCAGTTGAAATAAAGAATCCGTAAGCACGGAGTCGACCTATATGTCTTGATCCCCTACTGATAATAGACAGCTGTATTGGTTCTGCTCCCAGCCGACTGGGACTCCCGTCTGCGTACAGGAAAAAGGGAAATTATGGCATGGGAGAAAGGCGAAAATAAAAAAGAAAAGAAAAAGAAATAAAGAAAAGGAGTTGAACTCTTTTCGTCGAGAAAAAGGTAAAAAAAAGGGAAGCTGTGGTCGGCTGGGTTGGTTCGGTCCAGTAATCTGCCGGTATCAATCGTTTCATTCTCCGGGCCGTAGATTTACCTAACCTGTCCAATAGACTGGTTTCGAGCCCTGGCCCTTCTATATGAGAGCAAGAATATAGGGGAACGGACCTGTGGGCCAATAGCAGCGGGACGTTGAGTAAGGCAGTCAATTTACTTCAAACGCGATAAGTAATCCAACGTAGCCAGACGCAGGGGCACCAACAGGAGTGCAGAGAGACCGTTCTGCATCCGCAGTATTCATCTGGCAAGGCTGACATCTATACCCGCGAAATATACGGAGTATGGAATGCGCGAAAAAAAAAAAGGAACCTGTATCGAGATTGAAGCCGAAAACTGGGTCTCCTGTCAGCGTCATGCATGGCCACGAGGACAAAGATGTTCGAGGAGAAATGCATATTTTGACAAATAAACAATATCACGAACGGATATTAGCATGCATTATGCTCCCAGAACATGCTGCTTCTTGCCCCCTGCATATTCATAACATAATGACCTCCTCAAACGAGATATTTCAACGACCACTCAACCTTCGCGGCCGTAGGCGGCATCCACAGCTCGACTTGACTGGAAAGGTTAATACTTGATCCAGTCCTATCTCTCTGCTCGTGAAGATGGGGGGCCGCGGACGCTGAAGTGTACAACAGCATAACACAGTTGCCGGACTGGATTGAAATTTTGCGATGCTCAGATCTCCAAAGCCAAGCGGCTGACACAAGCTGCATGTAATCAACAGCGAAGTCGTTGAGGAAACTCTATTCTGTGGCAGGCTAACTGCCAAATAAGGTGAATCGGGGCGCAAGTTCGCGAAACCAGCAACTAGTTCCCTTTAGTCATAGACCGACGAGTGGCCCTTGTTATGGAGTTAATCACGTATCTCGACGGACCATACTATGGGAGAGGTCGAACGGGCAAAAGGGTGGGAAATGTCAGTGATAATAATACTCAGATGTTAATACTAAAAGGAGAAAAAGAAAAATCGAGAAGGGCTGTGCAGACGGACTGGAGAGTCGAGTTCTCCAAAGGTCTAAGCTCCTGCATCCGCTCCGTCCTGTGTTGTTGCAACTTGCAACTGGCAACTGGAGAAGGAGGCAAGGCTATTGATTGGATGCGGGAGGTTTGTTTGTCATGTTTCAACTAACCTGCTCCCCATTTCAATAGCCTATCTGAATCCGGAATCATGGAGCTTTTATTTTTGCACTGTGCCCGTCGTTCTGACATTCCTGTTTCGATCCAATGGGGCTCCATAATCGGATGGCCAGGGTGGGCATCCGCGATGTATAGTGCACAACTAAAACTGCTTAAAACATCTTAAGTTAAGCATTCTTGGTCTGGCCGTCAAGACACGAGGGCAATTGTGGGCGAAGTCGGTTTGGTGATTCCAAGCCATGCTTATAGTATGTTTTTTGCACTTATTTTTCCATCGAGTCTATGCCTCTATAAAGGGTACTCCGTACTATAGTATAAGTATATATAATAGTATTGGTATATAGGCAGGGTCAGGGGCAGACGGGGAAAGGGGAAGACGAAAAGAAGTTTCAAAGAACGCACGTACATAATATCCCGCAATTCTCTTTTCTTCTTTTCGTTATACACGACAAATAGCATTGACCTCCTGCCTTTTCTTCGGTCTTTTCCCTCCCGGCTAGGAGATAAGATCGACGGCGTTACAGTGTTCTTTGCATGGCTGAACTGCGTTCCTACCTGGTCCCTGGTGCTCGGTCGTTATATATGCCAGGACTTGGTTGTATACCTCCAGGGCTCGCGACTCGCCCGATAAACGGGAAGATGGTCGAGAAGAAGCGGCTGGTGGCAGTGGTTGGTCCGCTATCTGGGGATGGATGGGCGATATTAAGCTCCGAACCATCACCCGCCCTAGACTAACGGCAACGTTTTTCTTGGTGCCATTTCGGCCTGTGCCGGGCGCACCAGCCCTGAGGGATATCGTCAGTTTAATGCTCCAGTCCCCAGGACATGGTTCTGTGGGCTTTCGGCACCGAGGTGTGTTCCTGCACAAGGGTTGACTGGAACGCTCCTGGTTCACAAGCCTTGCTGTTGCATAGTCGCCGTCGGTTGCCAGGCAGCAGTCCGGTCCTTTTTCATCCTTCGTCTCGTTCTTTCTCTTACCTGTACGGAGTACTCCGTATCGCTGTTGTCCATCGCTATAGCAATTCCTACCGCCAGCAAGTACTCTGTAGTACCGTCCACGTTACCGTTGGTTGTTTCTGTTCGCCAAATCTGGCTTACTTGAGCTCTTACTAAGCACAACATGACTAATATCATCCTTCCAGAACAGGTTACTTGCTTGGCAAGTCCATATCGGGATAAGTGTGTTTTTCTTTTTTCGACGTCGTCGTTTCTTTTCTTCTTCTTCTCATTCTTCGTCTTGATTCTTCGCCTTGATTTTTCTTTCGAAACAACAGCACATGAGTTCGAACCTCGTTGCCGAAGGGAGCAACAGCAACGATATGCTTGCAGTGGCGCTGATACCTGCACGATCGCCGTGCGCTGGATCCTCGCTTAAGGAGCCGTTATCGAGATCGACAAGATCCACAGCCGAACGTTACATCGTTTCGACCTTGGCCCCAGTCAGAGCGCCATATCTTCCACAGCAACAACGCCAGCGTGGATGTTATACATGCTCGAGACAATGTATGTCATCACGGAGAACCTAACCGCCTCGTATCTCATGGGGCTAGTTGCTCCATCAGATTCTATATTTATATTTATCCGTATACTTATACGGAGGAAATGAGAAATTAGTTTGATGGAGGCTGTCCCCTTCTCACGGTGGAGAAGTTACCCGTCTCATTGGCGCTTTACACTGGATGTCTGAATAGTTTTATGGAGTCCATTCGTATAACTATGTATACCTTTCAATCATGCTAACAAATACCAGATGCAGTTTAACATCTCCTTATATATTCTCCGTACTTTTTCTGACGATACAGGTACGGATCAATAACTCTCTTATGGGTAGACGGGGGTGTGCGCTTAGATCGCTCAAAATCTCCTCTTGAGGCCAAGTTCAGTGTATGGATCTCCAGAACACCATGCATGATGCTCGAGAAGCCTCGCAAGTGGAGTTTGCGCCATCTTCCATCTTCCATCTTCCATCTTCCCTTCTTTCTTTTCTTTTATTTTCATGGTTAACAAAACGGGCATGTCAAAAGATTGCTTGTGGAGAGCGGCCATGGGTTAGAGTTTAGGCAGGCTGGGGGAGAGAAAGGGAAGAAAAAGGAGAAACAGTGGGGGTATACTCAATTTCAAAAGGTAAATCCACGTTAATCTCTGCATTGCATTGAATAGTATTTCACCTAATTAACCGATCCGTTTTCTTTGCTCAAGAAGCTAGCGCGGCTGGCTGGCTCGCCATCTAGCTCAACTGATCAAAAGATACGCAATATCTCAATTACCCAGTATGGAGTACTCCGTACTTGAAACGTCAAAAAGGAAACAGATGTACCTCTTCCAAGAGTCAAAAGAACTTCAACCCCCTACACTACTAATATGAGTTCTCCATGTACAGCGCACATCAACGGATGTATATTGCCCGACCGGGAAGGCCAGCTGTTGTTGGTAACCAATTACATCCTGGCCTGACCCTTTTCTTCTTTCTTTGCCTTTTCTCAATTTTGAGGTGCATCACTTATTACCATGGATCAAATCAATATTGAATCTGATTAAATTAGATTAACTAATTAACTGGGCGCTGAGACCCAGCCAGCTGGGTGGACATAATTCATACACGCCTACCTTTTGGTACTCATCACATTGTCAGTCCCATCAGCAAGGAACGTACGAGGTATGAGTATAACATCGGTATATATATGTTCAGGATCTCAGTTTGCTATTGATGATAGTGCTCCATGTTTTCCCCTTTCTTTCGCTTATGCCCTTTCAGCTGAACACGGGTTTCATACCTGTATCTCAAGGCTAACAGCGCTAATCTACAGCTAGATTCCATTGTTGAGACTTGTTGGGAATGATGGAGATGAAGCATTGGCTGTTCCCTGCTACTGGGTCGTGGAGTGAGACAATTCATCACGAAGCTACCAGCATTATGGATGGCGGGAACGATGGGGAGATCGATCCCACCCCTTCCGCTGGGCCCGGCATCACTTTCTTGCACACTCGCTAGAGGGAGCCTGCATCTTTACTCCGTACAATGCATATTTACTGAATACTTCCTAGAGTTGGCATGGAATGTCTGTTACTTCAATGACAGCGGGCTCGATGTCGTACGGGGCTTCATGCCAACAACATCCAACATCCATTCAACTACCAACAAAAACACAAATGGTCTCTCTTCTGCCCTCTTTCTCCCTCAAAGACTAGAAAGCAACACCCTCAGTTGGCTACTACCAACAATCTGAATGCAACGTCTTCTTGCACACGTATGACGTGCAGAATTCCTGACGAGATACAAGGACATGTGCGATTGACCTTAGGTAGATGCGGATGGTCCCCTCCTTGATGTTCGGCTAAACCTGATCAGATCTGCCGGGCCAAGGCAGGTACCAGCACATCCCACCCTGGGTAAAAATTCCAGCCAAGGACCCTTGTTTAGGATCTTCTGTCTGTTGGTCGCCTTGATTTCATCTGTGGGTGGCGGACGGTGACACCGTCAAAAGAACTCGCGCACGGCTGATTGGAAACGTCAAGCACACCTTTCCCTTATCCTCTCTCCCACGGGGGGCACACGAGAGGCGAATATGCACTCGACACTGTGAAACCAGTCCGGCAGGTGTAGCCAATTGGTGGAGGATTGGACATACGTTCATGCAATGAATGTACCTTTCTATATGTCATGTTTGGTTCCCAAAAGCCTCCACATCGGACGTTTTATCTGGTTCAACTTCTACTTTCGGTTCGATCCCGATGCTTTTCTTGTCCAGCTGGACAACCAGTTCTAGTTTCAGATGTCGCTCGGTATTTGAACTTACATACAGTTAGCAACAAGGTTATCAGCTCCTCCGATTCCATAATAGGAACAGAGAGAGACAGAGATCACAAGGTGATAGGAGACAGGGAAGAGGGCGTTGCACAATTCCGTAAGCGCACAGATAGTGGTATCCAATCATCGCCGTCAACAAGCCTGCAAACTTCAATCAAAACCTCTCATGTGTATATGTGTACTATGTCGATGCCTTCAACCACGCAAACATGCACCTATCTAATCCCGAACAATAGAGCGCGCCCCCCCAAAACCCCACCAACATCAACTATGGTGGCATAGAAACCGGCTATGTCATCCCGGGAGGGGGTTGGAAACGGGAAAACTCTACAGCGCTCTTTGATACAGCTAACACGATACCACCAGACGAGAAGCCAGATGCCAGAGAGCAATATATCCCGTCTGGACGTAAGATGCAAACGGGAGGAGATCTGCTTCTGTTGCCTTCAGAGGTACGGAGTATACCCACCTAATCATGCCCGTCATATGAACCATTCTCATCTTGTGGACTGGAGCTAGAACATTACTCTGTACACAACATGATCAGGGACAGCAACTGGCCTGGTTTCTGTTCTGTTTCATTGTTAGCCGTGATCACCTTTCCGGCCCTGTCCATGTCTTACTTTAAATCCTGATAGTCACTTGAGCCCTCCCAGCCCTCACCTAGTTCGAATTAGTAACGAACTGCTCCATACCACCGAAGTCCGATGATGGGATATCCCCGATTGACGGGATATTCAATTATTGATACCACTTGACCCGTTCGCCAGGGGTTTAGCACAGAGCACTGTTGGTCCTTTATCCCACGGGGAAAACGGCTTTCCGCTTCCCCCTTTCTGATGGACCTTGAACTCCATCCTTGATTGGTTATGGTTGCTATTGGGTCTTTGCTCTTAGTTAACGGGGTGTTTCCTCTTCCTTTTAGTTGGCCGAGCCTGTCGCCCCGTCCAAACTTGAAGCCAATTAATCCATAATCCAGTCTTTTTTTTTAAGCTTTAAAGGAGGCGAGTGTGCTGGAGCCCTGATGTCGGCTACAACCAAGACGTAAATAGTACGAGAGAGACTGCTACCTAAATAATAAGAAAAATAAAAATAAAACGATGGATGAATTGATGGAGACTCACCGATTGAGCCCATCTCAGCTCCACAAATGGCTGCGATATCAAATAACTTGCCAACGTCCAATGGCAAGCAAATAACAAGGGTGAGGTGGTGGTTGGCTTACCCTCCTTCTTTTTTTTTCGCTTCTTCCAGCCCTTAGATCGCACTAGGATCTGTGTTTCCCATCCCCTCGGTTTCTCGAATTTTGGGGCTCTCTCTTTTCCCACCGGTTGCTTCACTTCTAGCCGTACTTTGCGCCGAACGAAGGATGTGACTTTTTTGAAGCAAGCCACATACGGAGTAACAACCCCGTCAACTCGATCCCCATGCTCGAGTCTAGTGACTTTTAGCTGTAGGGCAGCTCCTCCTTTTTCACCCGTTTACTCGGCTGAGAAGGCGAAAGACGTCATATCACCTCCGTCTTTGAGCGTTCGCCACCCGGATGCCTCCCCCGAAGCCGCACTATCACTTCGATACGGCGTTGGCGATGGATAATGGAGGCTTTGGGACATGGGAAGCCTGCCCTCGCAGTTCTACCTTTTTTTTCCCTTCCCCTTTTCTAGAGCCTTTATGACTGATGAATGATCAATCACCCCTGAATCCAGCTAGTTCCCATCTACCTGCTGCTCGGTAGTTTGAAACGGCGAGAACCGGGATACTCTACTCACAGATAGACCATGCCGCCGTTTATTACGAAGTGAGATCCCAAAGGGCGTGACGACATCGATATGCATGCTTAGGCGAGTTCGCTCCACCCGTATATGTCGACCTAGTCGGGATGATTATTGTGGCAGGTAATCTGATCGTGGCTGAGTAGTTAACTGGGCCACCCAATAATCCAGCAAAGTGGTGAGATGTACACACCTTGAGAACAGCATCTTTTCCATAATAGTCCAGTCCTATTGTTAGCGACACTGATATCCAATCATTGAGGGATACGATAACTCTCCTTCAACCTTTGTGTCAGTACGAATTTCGATGGCCACTGAATTTCCTGCTACTGGATGTGACCATGGAACTCAAACGATTACTCATTGTCATTTAATTCAACGCAATGATCAATCAGCCCTTAAATCGCATGTCCATTGGCTAACATCACTAATACCCAAGAACAAGGAGGGATAGGAGCAAACAAGAGCTGAATATCCATTCATCCGGCCATCTCCAGACTTGTTCGCATGGTCCGGGAATTTTTGAACTGCTTGTCATTTTCCTGTCGGTCATGCAACCAACTCATTCATACCTTGGCCTTAGCTCTAGAACACTGGCCGGTAGTTACATACCCCTTCTGTGTAGATTTGCCTTCAGCCCTTTTTGGTTCGCCCGTCATGCAGGTGGCGCCAGGCCCTTTTACCTGAATAAACATCATGTCCGCTCCAAATCCATTCATTGCAGCCTTATTCGCTAGCACGTTGCTCAGGAGAACGGATACAGAGCTTGCTTCCTCAGGAGGCAAAAAAGCCCTAGCAATTCCTGAAAGAACTCCGGGCTTACAGCTGGAAACGTAAGGAAAGTTGCGTAAAGCCAGCCTACCTTCCGTTCGCGACAATTACAACGTCACGGAGATAGGAACGGAGAACTGCGGCACCAATGATATCAGACAAAGGGCCCCCAGCCAACAAACGAATCAACGTCTAGGACAAAGGTCTTGGACGTATTCATATGCAAGGCATTTTCGCAGCCCAGCTCAACCGTATTCATGGTGGTGTGAAAGGGCGATTCGCAGCTATCCAGTTCACCACAGCACCCACTCATGCCAGCTAGTTATGTCCTGCCTGCATCAATCGTTTGGAGGCTTTTTTTGCTTTTCAAATTTGGGCTCCATTCGGGCATAAGGGCCAGCTGGATCTCAGCTCGCCAGCTTCATCCTCCGCCGTTGCATAAGTAAAATAAGTGTGACGAACGCACCGGCCGGTAGGAATACCTCGGTTCAGGTACCATAGCCAGCTCGAGGGAACTGGTTAAAGTAGCATATACCCTTTCATCGCATGCCGGTCGTGGGTTACTCAGAGAAAACATGCATGGTGTTTTCTTGTTTGGTGAACTATGTGCGTTCTCCGCGGATAAGAGAAGTAACCATATCATAGGTTACTGGTCGTCATACACCACATGTATATACGGGGTACTTTATCCCATGTGTGCTGGAGAGTTGTGAGACAAGCAGTTAAGTAACTTGTGTGCTCGAGCCGCTGCCACGAAGAACAGCGGGATAGGCGGGACGTTACACCGTGTCATCGAAATGTCAAGGGGATGGACAGCGTTCTAGTTGAAAAATCCCATAAAACCACCCACCTACCGGGTTTTGCTCACCCCAGTCCTTGTACATACCGACATACTGAGTGCGAGAATGGCGCCACGCAAGGCAAGCGGATGTTTGAACGCGTGGGACGTCGTTTCGTTTTCTCACCGTGGTAGGGCATTAATGCATAACAACGTTGATGTTGAGATCTTAGTTGACATAATATAGCCGGGCCGTGCAGGTAGGTGGTAACGAACATCTCAATTTCAACATGTTGCGAAAGCATGTTCATTTAGTTTTTCGTAGAAGCTACTTGTACGGAAGCGGATGCATATTGTATGTATGCAGTAATGCCATTGCGCATGTATTGCCCCTGCGGGCATTGTTTTCATTTCGAATATGAGAATTGGTCTCTGGTAATACACGAGAGGGACAAATGATGGACTCGTTAAAGGTGACAGGGTGCTGTTCCTCTCAAGTCAAAGGCAAATGCAGACAGACTGTATGAACTGAAATTATTAATCAGTAATGGGTGTTTTATACAGGGCAAGAGAAAAATTAGTGAAAATAGCAGTCAACAGTCAACGGTCAACGGTGCTGTAGAGGTGTATTTTGCTAGAGGTGAAATCGCCTGAAACAAGCCCAAACAAATCTAAAGGGGCAGAAGTAACAACACTGGTATAGATGGCTGGGTGAGAAACAAAGAGCATAGGTGCTAATAAACGTTTCCGCTATGCAGAGAGCCAACTCGCTACGAGGGCGCTTGAGGTATCAAATCGAGAAAAGGGAAAAGCAAATCAAAATCAAGTACATGATCGTCATATCACAGGAGCCCGCAAGGGCTGCATAATGAAGGGGAATATTGCATAATTAGGACACCCATAGGGCCAACAAAGTGCAAAATTGCCCTTGAAAGCGTGGATAAATCGATTTGGTATCGATCCAGGCCATCTCAAACGGAAAAGAAAGGGCATTGGGAATTATAAAGTAGATGATCAGGGTAATAACAGGGGAAAGATTAAAATCCAAAAAAAAAAAAAAAAACGTGAAAGGGAAATCGAAACAGAACAGATATGTCATGAAAAAAAAAATACACGCATCATAGCCATATATCTTTCTCTTCTCCTTGAACCCAGTTCGCCCAAACCTTCTCGTACGCCTCTTCCAAATCATTGACCCATCTTCGGGTATCAAACAGTTTACTTTCCCACCGATTCAAGTAAAGCATTTTCCGAAGTTCAAACAATCGTCCACTTGCTCTGCCCTGGCTATTGCCAAGTTCGTATTTCATCCCCAAACCCAGCTCAATTGCAGTCTTTTCATATTCAGCCTCAGAAGAAGAAACCAACTGCCTCGCAGCGTCTTTGCCATCTTCCGTCTGTGGAAGTGCGCTTGTTAAAATACTAGACGCCATGCGAGAGCACATCTTGTACTTATATCGTGGAAAAGTGAGGAGTGGTGTACCACTCCAAAGAACGTCAGCAGCGGTGGTGTGAGCATTACACTCTGGTGTGTCCAAGAAAAGGTCACAGATGCGAGCACGGGAAATGTGAGCATGCTTTGGTGCAACATCGGTGAATATGATCCTTGATGCAGTTGCTTCGCCAGCCCAGGCTTTTGCCGTCTGCCGGAGATTTTGCTCGCCAACGTCAGGGAAACGAAGGAGCCAAAGTACCGCATTTGGAATACCGGCTAAAATTCTTAACCAGGTACGAAATGTTGTTGGTTCGATCTGATAGCTGATTGTTAGCTTATATTATGCTTTGCTTTAATTTTATAGATCTTTCAGACGTACCTTATACAGTTGGTTGAAATTACCGAGAATCACTGTATCATCCTTGAGATCGGGGAACAATTCCTTGCGCATCTTCCACCTATTTGCTTGCTCCTCTTCCCACGTCAACCTAGGTCCGCGAGCATCAGGGGCACTCTGCCTGTGATCGCAGCAGAAGAAGGTGTGTTTGGTATATACAATTTTCTCATTATATATCCAGTCATCTGTGTCTTCGCTGTGATCCACGTCATATAGTCTATCCTCTATTCTTGGCGATTGTCCTCGAGGGGCCAAAGTACTAGGTGGAATGGAGAGTTCATCGGCTAGGATATAGTCAGACCATTCAGCACCCAGCGACCCCGCAAATCCCATGAAGGACATATGTATAGGTGCCGGTCGAGCTGCAAACACCTCGTTGCGAGCGCCTCGCGTGTATCCATTTAGATTGACAAGGATATGAACACCGTCTCTGACAATCTGATCCACTAATCGATCCACAGACCAACTGCTAACATCGCGGAAAACAGGGGCTTCCCGCTGAATTTGTTGGCGGTGGATGGAGTTGTCACTGGCTGTGGTTGCATAACAAATCGCTTTTACACGGCTTGGATTATGGAGGCCAAAGACAGACTGCATAAGGTGGGCCAGAGGATGGTTGTTAAAGTCGGATGAGACATATCCAACTATGATTTGAGGATTCGGTGGAGCTGGAGGTTGATATACCGTAGCAGGGAGCCATGGAGAACGAAGAGTGGAGCAGGAAATACGCAAGCCGTTGCGCTGAGAGATGTGGCGGATTTGCTTCGCGGATAGCGGGCAAGTAAATGTATGGAATGGCAGGACAGTGGGAGCACTGGGCGGGGCGAGTGCGCCCGGGAATCGAGGACGTGCATACTTCGAAGCTGGGTATTCTCTGCGGTGCACATATCGATCCTGATACCATTGCCAGCCAATATACTTCACAATTCGTTCAACCAGTCGCACGGTCCGGGATCCTTCCCACTTTTTTCCTGACCAGGAGCGTAGTAAAGCATTGAGAGTTGTACGTCTGCTCATTGCGTCCATACTATTGCTGGATGGGAACATCAAGGCGGAGCACAGTTGGTCCGGGGTTAAGTTCTGGAGAGTACCACAACCCCAAAGTTCGCCGTCCTTCAGTTGTTTGTCCACGATATCAACAACTCGTTTGATCCATCCGGTATCAACCGTCATTTCCTTTGCATCACGTAGCCGGCCTTGGTCATCAACGTGCCACAGATCTCTAATACCACGGCCAGGTGCAATGCCTCCTCTACCTCCCCAGTTGCAAACAGAATTCAATGCATTTGCTAAGCCACACACTGCTTCAGCAAAATCTGGATTAGCATTCACAGCTCGTCGATAATATCCAATGGCATCGTTGATTCTGCCAGAATCCTTTACGGCATTTGCAAGGTTTGCTAATGCAATATCAAACTTATTGTCACATTGAACAGCGTGTTCGTACATTTTAATTGCGGCAGGCAATTGGCCGATGTCCTTGAGAAGGCTCCCTAGATTGGTATAGAGATGGGCGTGTCTTGAATCAAGGGACAGACCATAATTGTAGTACGCTAAAGCAAGCGAAATGCCGCTGCCAGGGGTGACTCCAGGAATATCCGGAATTTGATATTCACCTGCCGTGCGAACAGATTTTGCGGAGGTTCCTTGAATTCCGGCGAGGAGGATTCCAACATTATTTGCGGTTGATGGACTGGGCTGTAGCGACAGAGACAGGTAATATAATGCAAGGATATCTCGAACGCCTGGTGTGCTCCTTAGAGTCCCGTTTGAAGATGTTGAAGCCATACCATCCTGGTAGATCTTGGCCAGCGACAGTAGCGAGTTGCTGGTTGTAGAAATTGCGGCCCTTTTAGCCAAGCCATCTGGAAGATATTGAAGGCCGGGCAACGTTCCCTGCGGATGGAACACTAGCTTTGCCGTTTGAAGTGCCTTGTCGGGAAATAGCAGTATAGTTTCCTTGGGGTCATATGGTCGACAAGTAGGAATACCGTGCCTGTTATCATCACCAAAGGCTGAAAGTATATGGCGGATAAGGCTCTTCATTCCTCGTCGTTTGCTTGTGCTTATGAGGATGGCTTCCTCAAAAGCTCCAGCAGCGGCCACATTATCCCCCAGCGCATAAAGCATGTTCCCCTTGGCATGTATGAGACCAAGCATCCTGCCATTATCGGCCCCAGGTATAGCATAACCACTTGATCCAAAGCCAGGGGCTGATTGGTCGGACCCGCGACGAGCAAATGCCAGTGGGCTCTGGATGCTATCAGTGTAATCAAATGCCATTTTGTCGGCAGATTCCGTAGTTGATACACTGGATTCCCTATCTTCTGACTCCGTATCAGATTGATCGCATGCACGATTTGACTTGAAACAATCGCCACTTGGAGGTAATCGTAACGAATTTTCGACATATTGAACAATATTGACAGCTTCCTTGCCTCGTTGACTGCTGCATAACAGTCCGATGAGATGTTCAACAGCATCAAAGTAGCTTGGGCGTAATTTTATAGCTCGCAACCAGTGCTGAAGAGCCTCTTCCCGACGCTCCAATGCTAGAAGCGAAGCAGCAAGGTTGGAAATTGCCTCGACGTGTCTATTTTAAATATGGTTAGCTTAAGACAGTGTATGAATGGATGAAATTAAATAAACCAAACTTACGCAGAATCTTGGTTTATAACCCGGTTATACCAACGGATGGCTCTATTGTAGTCACCCAGTCCATAAGCAAGACAACCACCAACCAGCATTCCATCGATCCAAGTCCAACCACTCTCCTTGCAGAGGCTAGCAAGCATTTCCAAAGCAGAGACAGCCTTTTCTGATATTGACATTGCCTCGTGCGTGGGGCTGAACATACGAGACATCGAAGCTCCATGGCTACGTCGGATTGTCCGATATCCATTCATCGACATATCGGAAGACATTCCGTGGTCGAACGGTTGATTTACATGCCTCAACTGGGCGGAACTATCAATCGACGGGAATTGCCTATGGGCTGGGTGTCTCTTGGTGTCGAAAAATCCACTCACAGACGGATCTAGGTGAATGGAATGGCTTCGTTGTGGATGCATGCTCAAGGGCTGAACATGTGGGTCGTGAATCCTGGGTTTTCTGACGATATTTTCCGAATGTGAGAAGTCGGAGGTTGGTTGTCTTGGAGGTTTAGGGTATATGCTGGGTTTGAAAGGCTCGCGAGAATGAGAGTCTACACCCTGACTTGCTTTCTTCCTAGCATTATGCAATGAAGCGAGAAGGTCGACATAGACGCTGTGAGCCCAGGAGAGGGTCTTCTCTTTGAATTCTGAATTTCTCGGTGACCTGGTAACGTTAGGTGTGGAAGGATGAAGGCCATTTTGCGAAGTTTGTTGCCAGCGTAGGGAGTCAACCGTATCTAAATGATGTATGTCATGCTTTGAAGGAAGTGATGGCCCATACTGCAACTGGGGCTGATCCCAGATTTGATCGGGGTTTTTTTGAGGAATATGACTGGGAGCATAATGTTGTTGAGGCCTTGAAAGGTCATGGGCATAGATTTGATGCTGCTGGTGCCCGTTTATAGTTGATTGGGCCGGGAGTGGGTTCCAGGAGAACCCTGGTGCGAGAAATTCGGAGGGGGGGAGGGATTGTCTGTTAAAAAGCGATTGAGCATCTGCGAGCCGGTTATTATTAGGCAGCGAGTGTTGTCCTATTGAGGGTGTTGATTGGTATCTCGTATCCCCAAAGGTGGTAGGCCGATAAGGTGGCATGTATGACCCATCAGGCCAGTATTGACCATACTGTGCAGCAGCAGCAGACTCGGGGCCACCAAGGCCAGGCTGCAAAGAGGATGCAAGCACTGTGGGAACCGTGGGTAGATTCTGCCAGTAGTTATATCTCTGACCTGTGGGTAGACTGGAGGTCTGATTTAGAACCGAGTCGATGCCTCCTCCTTGAGCGGGATTGAGAGATCTAATCCAGTTAGTGTTTGGAAATTCTTGCGGCATACCGTTGTGCACGGTATTTATTCTATTTGCATCTTGCTTGAACGCGGGAGGAAAATTTTGGTGCTGAGAAAGAGGTAACGGTTCGACGGCCTTGAATTGTTGTAGAGGATCGAGGGCGAGGCCGGGCTGCGGCACTATCTGACTATTGTCGAGCGAAGAGACGAGAATATGTTTGGTGGCAGGCTGCTGGATAGATCTATCTCCAGGAGTGGCATCATAACCGGCAGCAAGGGTACCATTGGGTGTTTTTCGTCGTAAAGTATTCTCTTGCGAGGTAGGACCGCCATGTATTCGGCCGTCTGTCAGAGTGTGTATTTCCGGCCGCTGAATTGGTCGTGGGCAATGCGTCCTGCTTCCTCTAACCAAAGAAGATTGCCCATGGTTGGCATACTGTGAGAACTGGAAGCCATCCTGGAGAGAATGTATGCCTTGTCCGTGGAGGTCGTAGGGAGTATTTGTCGAGTAAAGAGATTGAGTATGGCGGTGCGGGAGGAACTGGAGAGGCTGGTGTGCCACCGACGGCAGCATCTTGAATGCTTCTGCCCGAGAGGAAGGGGGGGCTGGCAAATGAAAAAAGAGCGTCTTCCCTTCTCTCTCTCCCTCCTATCTATTCAGTCGTGTCTATCGCAAACTAAAACAAGAAAAAACTACTTCGAAAAAAACAGGCGAAGCAGAGTTCTTCATCAACCAAAGAATCTTCTTGTTCGTTTTCGAGGCCACATCACGGACACGTATGACTTCTGGTCGGTCTGAAGAGGGATGGCTCCGAGTAGCACGGCGTTCTTTGGTAACGGGTGTTGGAAGGGCACTGCCCTGAGCGAGACGGGGAGGATTAAAGGGTCGTTGCAGTCCGGCTCAGCCGCACGCGATGAAGGAGGGAAGGTTTCTGGTAACAGGCGTCAAGGTCAGTACACACGCCGGCCGTTGTTCCAGCCCATCAACGAGAATAACGAGTGATCGCGGCGAGGACGGTCGAAAAAGATGTCGTTGATCCGTCCAGCTGTTTCTTTCCCGCCGTCGTTGATGAGATGAGGTTGAGGTTTCTGCCGGCGAGACAAGAAGGACAAGAAGGGCTCAGGCGGTGAGTGAGGCGAAGAAGAAGAAAAGAACAACGACGAGACGAACGACCAAAGCGCAGGAAGCAGAAGGCAGAGAGCAAGTGAAGAGAGAACAGAAAGCAGGCAAAGGCAGACAAACAGGCAAACAAGAACGATGAAGAGAGCGACAGGAAATGGTCTCCGCTTTGAATACAACAAAACCTCGTTCGTTGATCCGAGGGCCTGGAGTCGACTTACTTAGAGGAAGATTTAAGTATGGGCTCTCGCGACCGAAGCACTAAATTCCTGGGTTGAAGCCTGCCCTGGCGGCGACGGTGGAGACATATGAGGTCAGGCCAGGAGGTTTCAAGAGATCGGGAACAAGACGCCACAGCAGGCTGCCCTGGCGAGACGCAGACGGACAGGAACGAGAGGAGCAACGGGACGGGGCGGACGGTCGAGGAACAGTCGGACGACCGAACTAAGAGAAGCAGAGCCAGGGATAATAATAAGGGAAGAAAACAGGAGAAAGAGGAAGAAGGAAAAGAAGCAGACCAAGGCAAATTGAAGAACAGAGGATCTGTTGTCGACTGGAGATGGATGTTAGCCGCTAGGGCGAGCCAGGTCCACACCAACACGGCAAGCGTATTTAACTGCACTTAACGCCAACTCTATAACCTAGAAGGAAAGGAATGGCAAAAGTCAAGAGACGAAGAAGGGTGGGAGCAGAAGGATCAAGGGGAAGTGATGGACAAGAGGAGGATAGCCACTGGACAACGGCCGGCCATTCAGTGACAACACCTCAGACAACGAGACAGTGCAGAATATGATGCAGACGATAGAACCGCCCCCAGCAAAAGGACTCTCTGGGTGCAGTTGGAGTCGAAGGCAGTTGGACCAGCGGCCAAGCAATGCGGTGGGCTTAGGCGATCGCAGCAAAGAAAAACGCCCATCAACATGCTACTGATGGGGCTATTATTAGAGGCATGGGGAGGGAGGGTTGAAGGTGGGACGGGTGGTGACAGGGACCAGGCTGGGCGGCCACTTCTTACTAGTCGAACACACTGGAAAAAGCAATGGCCTTGCAGGTCTCAGGACAGGGATGCAGGCTAGCTGTGCAGGCTCAGAGGGTTGTGTGTGGATGGATGGTGCATGTTGATGTGCCATGGACGGAGTATATGGACGCCTATGGGATGGTATGGGACGACGATGACACATTTTACTTACCTCCAAAGCGATCTCTTTCCCTCTCCCTGGTGACAGCGATGTGGTCGAAGGATGGCCGTCTCCTCTCTCCTGTGGGCTTCTCTCCCACTCTTAAGATGGGCTGAGGGCGCAACTCTGCATACAGATACGGTATGGCGGAACCTATTATTCTGGGACCAGCGTCGGCGTCCACCTGGTTTTGCGATAATCGGCGTGCTTTTTGTCCTCTGCTGTGTGGGTGATACTGATGGCCGTTAAACGCCCAAATGTCACCGTGGCTTGACTTGGGACCTTGGGCCTCTTCCAGAGCGCCCCCGAACAATGCACTGTATGGGCATGATTTCTCTACGGGCTTTTGACCTGCGATTCCACGGGCTTCGCGCATCAAAAGGGGAAATTTCAAGATGTTCATCTCACATACTTAATATGGCAAAGCCACTTTTGCTTCGGAAACACCGGGAGGCTACACATATCTCACCACCTATCAACCATAGAATCCTCTGCCCGTCATCGTCATCACCACTAGAGCCAGCATTCATCATCTTGGCTCGCGGCAACTGACAACATCTCTCAGCGTGGCTGTGGATGAGCTCTCTATATGGCTCCACACCTAGGCGAGGCTTAACCGTGTGATTAATCATGTTTCACTGGCCTGTTTCGAACTCTCCTTCCAGCATCGTTATATATTTTATATACACTCTTCTTTCGACGGGCCCAGCTTCGCTTTATCGCAGCCTCTAGAAGAAGAAAATAAAACCGTACGGTATGCCTGTGGAACGGGAGTTGGGAAAGAAGCAGTAACGGTGTCCTCCTGCTGCGCTTTGATTACTTTTTAACCATCGATATAATGATGACACGCATGGGTACTTCCCGTACATGGGCTCGGTTGTAGCTTGGCACCTGTTGGATATCGTCAGCATACATGGTCTGCGGAGCATTCTTCATTTGGGAAAGGATGACTCCGCTGTGGCTCCAACGGTTCCACTGATACATCCGCTCCCTTTCTCTTCGGCAGTCAGCACTACTTGCTCGCAGACACGAGGTGTCCTCGGCTCCTGCGTATATCTGACAGGCGTTTGTTGATGCAAGGATACACGGCCGCCCGTCTACCTCCTTCCTCAAGCTTTATAACAGACGGGCCAGAGATCAGGACGACGGAGATGAATCTAACACTCGAATAGCTTGAGATAAAAAAATCTAAGGCCACATCCACATCAGACTCCACTTTGATCGGTTCAAAGGCTTGAAAGCATGGATTCACCCACAGAGTTATCTCCACTTGGCCCGGGATAAAGGCGATCCTTGGCTGAAAGGAATATCCTGGACCACTAGGCCTTGGAGGGCCAGAATTGCCTTGAGAACCTTGGGAATCCATAACGACAGAACTTTTTTATTTTGTCAATGACAGAGATACAGGATGTGTGGTGGGCTTTCGATTCTATTCTTTGACCTGGCCTGGCGTTTGGACACGTTGAACCATCGCCATCAGCGGGAGGTAAAACCTAAATGCCTCTCTGGTCTTGTCATTCTTTCTTTCTTCCTTTTTTCTTTCTTTACATACGGAGTACTTTTGTCTATTCCCGCAGGACGGGGTACCTAACCAGGCTGACCCGAGGAAGCCGATACCTTATGGAGATATCAGAATGGCTAATTGGCTATTTGATATAAGAAACTGGAGCGGGAATAACCACTATACTCTCAGACACAATCATTAGACTAGCCACTCTACAACAACCTTCCCCAGGACTGTTTTATTGTACTGGATGGTTAATGAAATAATATGGCAGATGGTTTCGCGTTGGAGCCCTAAATGTTGGTTCCTTCTCTTGAGAATTTAATTTAATTTTCTCTGCCCGAAATTTCCCTCCACGCAATGCGATGGTTGGACATGATAGTACATGCACTGGGCTACTCCGTACCTACGCATATATGACCGTTTCCTGCACCAGTTAATAACTGATGTGATAATGATTTGTTATTGCTCTGTATAGTTCAGATCCGGTCTGCGGACCTACGGATACAGAGCTCTACAGCGTGCATACATATGCTGTGCCAACTGGCTTTACGGGGGTATCTTTGGCTAGTTTGCATAATAGAATGTGAAAAGCGCTTCAATCTCATCGGTGGACTTCATGGCTTCGGAACTGATGCACATAGCTTATAGTCAAGGGAGATGATCTTCGTTGTCCCAAGCCATGGCCGAGCTGCAAGCCACTGCCAAAACGGTGTTACAACTGATCACATTCTCCATCACTTCACCGTTCAAAGGGGCGAAATATTCCTGTATGTGGCATGCAAGCTGCAATCACAGGATCCTCTTGCGATATCGACGGGCCGTCTACCTTTTTTCTTTCTTCCTCCTCCCCCCCCGTTTGCCTACCAACAGCTTGTTTGATCTCCCCTCCCAGTGTACGGAGTAAGATATCTGATTACAACGGCCTGGCGGGAATAAGGCATTAATAGTAATAAGATGATTGGTTCAACAGACGTGTCCTTCACTTTTTGCTCGCTTTGACGCGCTCGGATCTAGTTACCAGTTGCGGGGATATGCATCGGTGTTTCCTACATTAAGTTGCTACAAACGGGGATCTCGGGCCAGGGCAGATATGCACATGCATGGTCTGGGCTATTCGGAGCGAGGAGGCAGAATGTGAAAAAGAAAGGGTAGCTTGACATGGATTCTTAAAAAGCATCACCGAGATGAGCGTATCAGACCGCGCCCTTTGTCTAAAGGGGAGTAAACATGTACCCAAGCTAGAAGGCGCACTGCATTCACTCAAACGATACGAATCGAGTCATTCGGCTCGCAGTTCAGAGTATCTGGGAGAAAAGCTTCTAACCCAGTGAGCTTTTCAGCTCGTTCAAAATTAACCCAGGTAGGTTATCAAAGTTATAGAAGAGATTTAGACCTTCAAGATGGACCACTGCATCCACAGGATAGATACACGAGCATGCCTTCCTCCGAAAAGGAAGTAATACCCATGCAAAATCCAGGATACCGCGGTGAGTAGTTGGTCACTCGATCTCCTTTGCACCAAAATAGGCCAGTACCGTAGAGATTTTGCTCAAATGAAAACATTCGCGCTGGTACAGGCCAGAGTGTTGGCAAAGGCTGGGTAAGGGGTCAAAGGTAATATAGTGGAAGGGGTATGTGGATTGGAATGTAATGTGTTGAAGAGGAATGAGAAAAAAAAGATTCGTTACTTCGTAAATCCCATAGAGTAATGGGAAGCTCTCTCTGAGTAGTAGTAGTACAAGTAAAAGAAATCAAGAGCAGAAACGGCATTTACGCTCGTTTCACATCTCTTTTTGTCATTTCATTTCATTAACTTCTTTTGATTTTTAAATTTACTCGGAGGGCACTATAAAAAACACGTTAGTATACCAAACTAAGTCAAGAAATGTAAAGCGAGTTAGCCACATACCGTCAATTTCACCAGACTTGACATCGTCGCTAACGTCCTTAGGACTGCGTCCATCGACCTGGCAACCAACGCTGAAAGCAGTACCCAAAATCTCAAGAACAGTTCCGCGGAGCTCCTTAGCAAAAGAGCGAGGTCTCATGATGCGGGCAATCTCCACAATCTCATCGAAAGGAATAGACTTGGTGTGCTTGATGTTCTTGTCCTTCTTGCGGTCACGTGGAGGCTCCTTCAGGGCCTTGATGACCAGAGAGGAAGCAGAAGGAACGACAGAGATGGTAGCCTGACGGTTCTGAATGACAAGCTTGACGGTGACACGGAGACCTTTCTGTTCATTTATTAGCACTGAATGGACACCAATTAATGCAATACCCGTCTGGTTATTCGAAACATACCCAGTCACCGGTGGCCTTCGCAATATCTTCACCGATCTTCTTGGGAGAAAGACCGAGAGGACCAATCTTGGGAGCGAGGGCAGACTGGGCACCGACTTCACCACCAGTGGCCCTGAGGTGGCTATTGAACGAGGGATTGTCAGTATGTTGGGGTTTTTAGATGCTTAAAAAAAATTGTGAATAGGGGTAAAAAAACTTACATCACCTTGATTTCGGTTGGATCTGGCTTTGGAGCTGTTTACATCATATATGTCAGTCGGCCGCCATAGCACACCAGAGGAGATGATACTTACGCATGGCGAGTGCGAAAGGTAGTCTATCTTCCTGGTTCTGTTGAAGGGTGGTGAGGTGGTGAAGTGCGAATCTCGAGAAGTTCAAGCTCGAAGTTCAAAATTGATTTTGTTCCATCTAGCGAACTAGCGTGTTAGGGCAAAGCCCTAATATATCACGTGATATAAGGTTACGGGTTCATTTCCATACTAGGATCAAAATACCGTAGTGATACTATCTCCTGGCAAAGTATCATAATGGTACTTAGCCGTTTGTTTAAGCGTAATCTGTGGTCTCTGCGCCCAAATTTAGCCCAAGTTCCCCGGCCTACTTCCTTTCTACCTCAAGGACATATTGTCGATGAGGAAGCATGCCCAACCTATGATTCCAAGAGTTACTACCCAGCTAAAGCTGGAGATCTCGTTGCGAACTATCAAGTACTTGTAAAGATAGGCTGGGGATCGCGCTCAACAGTATGGCTTGCTCGAGATATTAGAAGGTACCTTGGCTTTTAACTATAATATAGGGTGTCTGACTAACACTTTCGGGTTTAGATTCAGATGGCAGTCTGAGCGGCTTATAGCCTTAAAGATTAACAATTGCAATATTCAACAAGCAAATCACGAGCGTGATATCGAAGACCACATCAATAAAGCAAACCCGTCCCACCGTGGCCATGTAATTATACGCGCATGCCTCGAGAGTTTTGAGGTTACAGGACCAGAGGGTAAACATTTATGTTTAGCCTACGAGCCCATGAGAGAGCCTGTATGGCTCTATCAACAGCGGTTTCCGGATAGGAGGCTTCCATCTTCCCTTATAAAGGCATTCCTTACTATGATTTTGACGGGACTTGATTATCTGCACTCAGAATGCAAAGTTGTTCATACGGGTAGGTTACCTTATCAATTTCATTATAGAACATTAAACTTAGTATTATTCTACAGACTTGAGGCTTGAAAATATCCTTGTTGGATTTGAGGATGAACATGTAATTGAAGACTTTGCAAAAGCCCAGCTCACTTTGCCTATGGAACAAAAAATCGACCCTACTGGCCGAATCGTTTATCGATGCCATAACAACTTTGGGCCACTAAAGAAGTTAATGAACATACCAAAGATTGTCGACTTTGGCCTGGCCAGACATATTTTGGATCCAAGCGGAGTTGAGACGCATCCTATCCAACCAGATCACTATCGTGCTCCTGAGGTCATCCTTGGTTGCGGATGGTCCTTCAGTGCTGATATCTGGAACATTGGCCTGCTGGTAAGCCGTGTTGGGCACCTTCTTTTTTAATGTTCTACGATCTAACAAATTTGAAGGTCTGGGGCATGTTCGAACTCAAAGAACTCTTTACGCAGGTCCGAGATTCCCAGGGTAACTACAGTGCCAAAGGACATCTTGCAGAAATGATAGCCTTGCTAGGGCCCCCTCCCAAAGCATTAATCGCAAAAATCAACTCGATGCCTCCGAACCCATGGCAATTTCCCGTTATGGGCGATGACGGGAATACCCACAGTAACCCAAAGGAATTTTTTGGTGGACCTTTTTTCAGCGATAAAGGTAATAAGTGCTCAATCACACCTTTGAATCACACCTGCTAACTCGTCGTAGGTGATTTCATGCATAATGGCCTGATACCGGACCGGAAGCTTGAGGACACGGTTTTATCGCTTGATGGGAAAGAGAAAGAGTTACTACTCTCTTTCGTGAGCAAGGCGGTGGGCTGGCTTCCAGATGAGAGAAGTACAGCACGGGAGTTATTAGAGCACCCGTTCCTCCAAGTGATACCCAAGGTCTGATTACTCTGATACATTCGAAGATACTCTATATACAGAATCAATGGCTATGTAATTGGTAGAATTGCAGGGCTCCCCACCATCAGACATTACAAAAAAAGTTAACCATTGAGAAAGAATAATGATCTTGTATAACTGCTCGTCTGTTTGATACTGGCAAGCGCGTGCTATAATTCCAGTCGACTTGGATAATTTTTAGCTAGCGCTATATCTCATACTCTAATAACGTGCTCGAGGAGTTTTACAGCTTCTTTTAATCTATTTATATATCTGGTATGCTATAGTAAGCTCGTGCTATGAAACTAGTTAATATTCGCTCCAAACTGTAGCTCAAAGCCGTCTTTGGTACGACTTTCTAGGGTGTTCACTACCAATAACGATTAAAGTAGTGAGCTAACATTTCCCATGAGAAGTTTTTTTCAATCTACCTGACTGTAGCATTGCTGATAATGAGATTGAGCTTAGAGTTTTCTTTGAGAAACTTTTCAGCACACACCCGAACACTCGAGAGGCCTGTCTGATCGATTTATGAAGAGAAGCTTGACATGACCGGTGTCAAGTAGGCCACCCGCTCCTCCGCCTTTTTGAGGTAGAATACTATATAGCGCCTCAGCGTTGTCTTTCTCGCTGTAAGAAGGTAGTATGCGCTTTATTTGAGCTCCTCTCTGGTCTCTCCGGAAAGTGGGTGGTCACTACCTCGTGGATTTCGTCGGGGAATTTGTTTGTGAATCTGTCGATAGTCTGTATAGATATTAACTAGTTATCTATTATATCTCTTAGTTAGCTAGTTCACTCACCGATAATAATAGATTGCTCCCTAAGAGCCTCTAGTGGCCGACCTACTGCTACATCGTTGACGCAGTTGACATAGCCGAGGGTGTGTTTGATCTCATATCATTCTACCACGCTTCTCTGAGCTAGCTTGGGGTCTTGAGGATAACGCTGAGTCTGTGCTGGCTGTCTTCGGGTGATAGCTGGCAACGTAGTGGCGTGAATCGATCCCATATTTACGCGGAGGCGAATAGGTATGGCTGGAGAGGTGAGACGCCGGAGAGACCTCTACCCTGGGATAATATAGCAAGAAAAATAGGCTGGAAAGATTTTCTCAATACATCCTCTGGACCCCCTTTCCCGGCATCTATAGCCTATTTACTCTGTCTTCTATCCGTTTTCTATCTAACGGGACCCCAATCCTCTATATACTTATTCCCGTTTCGCAGCCATATGCCCATGATATGAACAACATTCCGTCCCGGTAGTTATGCAATACTTCAATCCAACTTCTGTATCCAATCATAAGTCATTAACCCCATGTCCCAATATCAAGGGTAGAGAGAAGTTGGCCGGCGCCGTAACACACCACAACGTGCGCTAGAAACTCGCTCTTTAACATAGCACGCAAGCTGCTTGCCTCGAGCGTCCGAAAAATACTGTCCTTAATCCTGCCCGAGAGACCCATATCATTCAGTGCATGAGCGGGGAGGTCGTCTGACTTAAAGCGTGAAAATACCCATTCGCACCCTTTACACAAAAGACCGTGCTCAAGGGTTTTGTCTGGCAGTAAATATGGAAACTGCATTGACGCCATACCGCAAAATTGGTCTGGTTTGCGTATACCCGTCGAGGGTAATAGCCATGATGGGTGGCCAGTCAACGGTTCAGTGAGAGTGTCCAAGTGCTCTTGGACTGCGGCGGAGTGTTCATCCTGCAGCCAATCAGGTAATGTTTTCCAACTAGGCATATCAGGGGTTTTGATGGTGGTGTTTAACATTGGCATCGAGCCGTTAATCTTTGCAAGTTGCGCCGCGGCGAAGACAGAAACAAGCTTCGGTCGTTGTCGTTTAATCTCTCGTGTTTTATAAACGCCAGGGATACTTTTCATCGTAGGGAGCTTTTTAAGCTCGCGTGTCGGGATTCTATAGATTGTCTGAGCTTTCGAAAGGGGGAGTGCCCAGAAAGACTGGTTATGGGCTAGACACTCATGGCAACATCGCTCGCAGGTTAGAAGGAACAAGAATGTGCCAAATTTTCCACGTGCGACACATGCCTTTGACCGTAAGACAGTATATAGTCTATCAGCTGAATAGTGGCTAAGAAGATTGGATTCACCAAGTGCCGCAAGGGTATCTGGTATGTATTTCATGAGATCGCGGTAGATCGGTAGCGACTCGACTGTGATTCTACCTCGCTGGGACACAAGCGAAAGACGAGATAGAGACTGGAAATCCAATATATGTAAGCCATTGTGTAGAACCTCGAGAGGTAAAGAATCCAGAAGGCCTAGGGGTGATGAAACAGGCCGGCGCTCAAGCGTTGATGGTTTTGCAGGTTCATCGATTGTGATCATGGGTCCCAGTAGGTCGTCAGGGCGATAGGATATATTTGTGAATACATCTTCGTCGCTTGGTGTTTTAGACATAGTAGTATTAGCCAGTGGTCTATATCGATGATTGAAGCTCGAAGATGTATACAAGCTGAAGGATTTGTTTGGTTTTAAATAAGTAGTTATGATTTAAGGTTAATGATATATTTAACTTTAGTAAATCAGTATTCCGACGGTATTACTCCGTACAAACCTATCTATTGCCGGTATAGAAGAACCTCGGTGGGTCGGTCCTTGAGATATCCCAGTGATGATAGCATGGCCATGATTTAAATTCAAGCACTGGAATTGACTAACTAAGCAAGTATTGATCATTGAATTTTCACTATCACTCATGTAACACTTCAAAACATGAACCATTCTCTCATCAGTTTGTGCCCGAAACAGCAAGCCTAGGCGGATTGATATTAGCATTGAAATATTGATTAGCTTTTAAGCATGATACTTACTTCATAAGATGGTCCATAAACGTCTGGAGGGAAACATCATCCGTAAATATAGTCTGGGGGGATGGGCCACCTCCGTAGCCGCCGGAAGAATGTGTAGTCGATGGGTTAAGCTTAGAAAGAAGGAAACGTGCTTGCGAACCACCTGCATCACAAACGATGAAACGGGGGAGTGGGAATCGGTCTTGGATAAGGTCCTGCAAGGAAAGAACGTTAGAAAATGCCATAAATGATCTACTGGGAGGGACTGCATACTCTTGCGTCTTCCTTTGGCTGATCAAGAATTGCCTTGAAGTTCTCGTAGCCTTCTTGGTCCTGATATCCAGCCTTTCTCCATTCGGCCATTGTCTCACCATGGAAAATAAGGATGTGGAAGAAAGTATCCAGGAGTAGAATGTGGGCTGGCTGAATGGAAGCAGAATCTAATAGCACTGGTTGGCTACCTTCATGCTCGAGTGAGTAGGAGTCGAGGGTAGGTTGGATCATGACTAGAGAATCGCTGACGGCCTCGTGATTGAGAACATGCCGGTAGAAAGCAGTCTCGTCTGGAGAGTTGTTGAATACCTGCAAGAATTGACTTCGTCGAAGATGGAACATGAACTGAGGGTAGAGACTAAAGTTCTTTTCAAGTCTGAACGACGTTTGGTCATCCTTTCTGTAATCGGCGAATCGTGAGCAGAGCCTGATAAGCATTCGATCAACCCATCTTAGAACGTCTGGGCCGTCATCAACTTCCGCCTTGAAGACTGCAATACGAGACATCAAAACTGCAGCAGCCTCCTGGTCGAACGAATGGGCGAGAGCTGCATCTCCTGCAGGGCTGCTGAGAGGTCTTGCAATGGTTGTAACTCTGAGATGGTATTGACCAGAAGAATGCTGATAGTAGGTCAAGAACTGCATCATGGCTCGATGAGGACCTTGCTGCATAGGTGCCGGACCACCCTGGTTTGCGATCTCGAAGAACAGGCCATAGCTTGCTGCGGGATCAATTCCGCACATCTTCCAAGAGCAGGTATTTCCGATTCCGCAATCTGTCTCACCAACTGAGCTGGATTTCTTATTTAGAGAGATGGCATGACCGATCAGCCCAGTAACCTTTAGTTCCTTGGTGGTGAGAACTTCCAAAGATGCGTTGAATCCCATGGTAAGGTTATCATTCTCATCTTTATCGAAAATTCGAACGAAAGATTGTTTGAACTGAGAAGAAGTGAAGCTGTCTGTAAGCAGCATATGGCCACCGGTCGAATTAACCAGGCCCTTCATTTCCAGTAGACCGACTTGATCAAGGCAACCGACATATATATCCACAATGTGGCTATTATGAGCTGCTCTCTTTGCTAAGTTATCATAGAACTACAGTTTGTTAGCCACTGCCGTATTATTTTTGTGGAGAAGGATTGTCATCATACCTTGACAGCTTTCTTGAAATATTTGATATTGTCCCGGTCAATATCGTGGTGGGAGCGAATTGGTTCTTTTAGTTGAGGACCAACAACTAGACCAGGGCCTTCGGATGCTGGACCGCTGGTGAACAACATAACTCGGCCACCAGCACCCTGGAATGAGGTCTCCATCAGGCCAATGGCAACACTAAGAGCAACGCCGGTACATCTTAGGGGACGCCTATCATTGGCAACAGGCCAGGGGTCTTGCTGTAGCTGTTCGAGAACGTTTGTAATCTGATAATCGGCCTGTTGAACTGGGAGGAGGAATCGGGCCGCTGGCGAGTTTGCAGGGTTTGGCCTATTAGGTTGCTGTGGTGCAGCGGCTCTAAGATTGGGGGCGAGTAGGCCAAGCATCTCCTGAACTTGCTTTGCAGAGTAGTCCTTGCTTCCTCGGAAAACATATGACTTTGCACACTCAGTGTATCCAATTTCGTGGACTTGTGCCTATGGGAGACGACATCAGCAGGTTGAAGCAGCGGTCCTAGCCAAGCTTACATACCATAGTTCCAAAGGTGATCAAGCCGACGAGAGCATTGGCGGGCAATAGGGACAAGCTCATAATGAGGGATTCCTTCAATGCCTTCAAGCTGTCTTCCTCCTGGCATGTGTCGACGACATATAGGAAAATTGGCGGCGCGGGCGCAGGGCGGGCTAACCGATATTCAACAGTGCTGTTCTCTGGGTGAAGCTCCGGCGGGATAGTATTTTCGGTGATATCCTTGTAATGCGGCGGGAGAGGGTTGCGTTGAAGACAGAACGGGCATATCCAGATACGGGCACGAATGTCAACGTTGCTGTTCAATATGGCCAATTAGCCGATACTCGATTTAAGTGGGAAGTGCGGGGAGGTTTGACAACGTACGCAAAAGGGTTGAGGACTGCCCTACAAGGCATCTTGCAGGTAACCGGCTCATACTGAAGCAAGGTGCCTTCTGGCCGCTCCTTCAATGGGGTGTATACAGCTCCAATGGGGACCACAAGCCGAGACGCTTCCTGTAGCCACTGTTAGTACTCCAAGACTGCATAGATCCGGCCGCAACCTTGCAAAATGAAACGAACCATGCGCGTGCTTGGAAAGGTATTCCAGCTTAATCGGACGCCATCGCGCTCCTCCGCATCATTCCACTGATCTTTCAAAGCCTCGTAGTCCATGTTGTCACTAGGTCCGACGGTTTGGTATGGAGGTCAAGGGGCCCAGGAGGGAGGGATGGTAGAAGAAAACAAGGTGACAGGGCGAGTGTATCAATAACTAAAAGCTTGCAAGCATAATCACATTAGATGGAAGTAAGAGTAGTCTGCTGGCAGCGAGCCCGTTGAATAGGTTGGCAGAAGTCCAGGGCAGCTCTTTGCGAGATTTGGCTTCGTCGTGGTGGTGGGAAAGCCGATTTGATGCCAGGTTGCAGGATGCGGTAATTGTGGTCTCTCTCGCCCGCCGTAGCTCGTTAGCGCCAACAAGAAAATATAAAGAGTGAAATTTTCCTCCTCTCTCTTTCTTTCTCCTTTTTTTCTTCTTTTCTTTAAACAACGCCGACATTAATTCACATTACATTGGCAGCTCCTGTCTTTTCTTCTATGACACTGCTGTTTTCGCGTCGCGCGAAGATCGAAGTCTTCATACCCATTGCTGGGCACCTGGTTTTGATGGCTCATTCTGATGCTTTATGAGAGGCCGGGAATCAGCAGAGGTAACACTGACAGCTATCTAGATTGGATTTTTACCCCCTGTACTATCCTCTTCATTCTATGATATCCCTACACATCCCCTACTATTGTCGAATATTAATTTGGCCAACATTTTGGAACGGTGTAACCAGTGTATACAGAAAACAAACACAGATAAAATCAGGAACAGTGGACTATTGAAGCCTGTTAAATATAAATGCAAGAATTGAAAAATTAGCATAAATAGACAAACCACGCCCGGGAAGAGTACCAGTTACGCTGTTAGATTGCCTTCAGCTCATATCATAAGTCCGTAGTCATTTCACGACGTCATTTCAACCTCTGTTTTCGGTGCGTTATTGAGGTTCTTCAGCAAGTAACTGCGCTTGAAATAAACATTCGGGTGAACAATGGTATCGAGCTCAGTTTGACTCCATATCCCTTCATCCCGAACTTTCTTTAGTTCGTTCTTATGCACATGCTCGAATACTCGATTGCATGCAATATGGTAGCGGGTTCGACCAACATCCTCTCGTACACCACGGAGGGTCTCTCGGTCAGTTATACCAACAGTCTCAAGCAATGAGATGAGGTTATCAGGTGAAAAGTGTCGATAGGGGCACCCGTGTGTCTGGCCGGCGCCGGGAGCATTGTCGGTGAGAATCTTTTGGCATGAGTATGGTGGATATCCTCGTCCTCTCCGATTTATATCACCGCCAACATCACCGTATGCATGTCGAACGTTATATTTATACCTGGAGTTGAACTCGTCGTCTGTTATGTTCCGGAATGATCGCCGCCAGAACGCTAGACAGTCATCAAGTGACAGACCAATGCCCTTGAGAAAGAGGGTATATTGAAGTCGCCCAAAATGTTTCAAGTGTGCATTCTTCCGGAGTTGCATATGAAGGTTCCGCATACAGAGTGGAAAATGCTGTGCTAATACGTCAACTGAGGCAGCATTTATCGGGGCTCCAGGAACAGCACCCTCCCCTTCGGAATAAGAAGAATCTGCGGTTCCAAAGTTCTTCGATAGATGCTGGAGAATTGGCGAAAGGCGGTCATCTTCGTCAAGCCGTGGTAGAGCACGACTGGTGAGCTGTAAAGTTTTCTTGGGTTAGGTGCCTATAACTAGTACTATCAAGCGCAGTTGTCCAAACGTACCTCCATAGCTTTTTCTAACCGGGCCGTGAATTCTGCAAGTATCATGCTCAGTTGTTCACGCAACGGCACATATGCCTTCCCTTTCTTCACATATACATTTCGGCGCTCGATCAATTCGGGTAGAATCCCAGTCGACCTTGAAACCAACTTTCGTCATCTACCCATCTGAGACCAGGTGTCGATGCCAACAAAGCTTCAGCCAATTCAGCCTTTTCTTCATCAGTCACCGTTTCCCAGTCTAAGTGTAAACTGTCAACAAACTCGCGTCGTTCCCGTGCGTCATCCTGCTGAAACCGGAACTTGAACAACATAGACTCCAAACGAACAAACCGTCGCCTCAAATCATCGGTTGAAGCGAACGCAAGGCGTAGTATGAAATGTGAATAATGATCCTTCTGCCTCTCAGCTTGAAGAATATCATCACTACTGCTGCCCAGAGAGGTATTTGAGTTTAGTGGGAGAAATTTCTTGAGCAGAGGGGCGATGTGGGCAGCTGTTTCCGTCGGGGTCTTATTTCGATAGGAGCATGCTTCCAATTCAGATAGAACTAGAATTGTCAGCACTAAACGACCTCAATGCCCAAAAAAAATGGGGGTTTCATACCTCTAAGACGATCTATGGCCCATTGTTCAAATTGTTCCAGGGTGATTTCTGCTGTTGGAGGCACTACATAGAAGTTCAGCCGGTGCAAATATTGGAGGTGTTTATAGACCGGCGTTGCAAACTGCCGCTTTTTATGGTCAATGCCAGCCCGACGCTTCGGGTCAACTCGATTCCTGTCGTATTGCATCATGGTGAATCCGTTATCACTGTTGTTGTCGCTGTCGAAGATGTTTTAGTCTTCGTGTCGCTTCTCTTGCTTCACGCCCAGAATCGCGTCAAGACGCGAAACCACTTCCCGTAAACTTTATTTAACGTATTCATGTGATATTTTATACTAAATGATTATATAAGCCACAACACATGCCAAAGTTGGCTTGCCATTTTTCAAGATGACAAGTTCAGAGGAAGTAGGCGGATACAGTAAGGGTAAAAAGTACTTAGGCAGCATGGAGTGCTTAGATAGTTCATCTTTGGGCTGCAGTGGAAGGTGGTTGCCTTGACTGTGATCGATCTTCGCAAGCTCAACCAAACTCGCCGAGAACGTCGGCTGATAATGTGGCACGTGACGCGCTTCTCCCGGGCGTCTGGTTGGTCCCCGCAGAGCCGTTCGCCCTTCTTTTCCTTTTCCGAGGTCACCAGCTCCAGCTCAACATTTCCGAGGTCGGGCGTTTCGGGTGAACATCGCCAACGCCGAAAACACTTGCATATCAACCAGCAATTTCCCATATTTCGGGTCGCACATCATACTCTTTACCACGTCACAACGGGCTATTCGAAATACCAGCCAGTTAGCTTCATCTACATTTCGATTATTTAGAGTTTTTACGCCGTTGGAGCCAGGGGTTACTGGACCTGCATATCGCTCTTGCGCATTTCTTTGGCAGACGGGCCCTGCTTTTCTCGGCTTTTTCCTGACTACAGAATGGCCGGTGCAGCGACTAGACGGTTGAAAAAGGCTGCGCGGATTATCCTCGTTGGTGCGCCGGGTGTTGGGAAAGGAACCCAGACGGAGAGATTGATAAAGAGGTACCCACAGCTTGCATCGATCAGCTCGGGAGACCTGTTACGAGAAAACATCCGTAATAAGACCGAGATAGGTGCGTTGGCCTGGACTCACTCATTGCTCGTTGATGGGATCCATACTAATGGTAATGAACTACAGGCCTCAAGGTTCAGTCGGCTCTACATGCAGGCCAATTGGTTCCTGATGCCACCATCCTAGAATTGATATCCTCCGAACTTACATCTAAAGGGTGGCTTGTGCCATCGACCAACGTTTCATCCAAATCCGCTCCGTCATCGAAGAAATCACTCAACTCCTCCGCCTCATTCATACTCGATGGATTCCCCCGAACAGCCATTCAAGCCAACAGTCTCGAATCCCTTGTTCCTATAAACCTGGTTGTCCATCTTCTTACACCACCAGCCATTATATTATCGAGAATATCTTCTCGATGGGTTCACCCGGGATCTGGCAGAGTATATAACACTGAATTCAACGCACCTAAAGTTCCCGGAAAGGATGATATAACAGGAGAGCCACTTGTTCAGCGGGACGACGACTCTACCGAAGTCTGGAAGGAGAGATTCCAGAAGTTTGAAGAGACCAGTAAACCATTATTGGATCATTATGAAGGAAAAGGATGTGTTTTGCGCATTGAGGGCAACTCAAGTGACGACATTAGCCCCAAGTTGTTTGCTGAAATCGATAGACGATTCTGTTGATACCCACCTCAAATCATGTTTGTGAAAATGATGCTGCACATAACGGACAGTTTTAAAGACGGTCTCCTTTGGACAAGGACAGCTTTTAGTTTCTTTTCTCTTCTTCTTTCGACTGTAATAACATTGACAAAGATTTATCACTACATAAACACAGAATATGGGCTGCTAGAAACCATATCATTATCGTCACAAATAGCATCAAATACTCAAAGACAATCATCTTTAACGCTAGAACGCTCAAATCAAGAAAGTATCAGTCGTTATCCCAAGGCCGTCAGTCATGTAGACGAATCCTTCCCCTGGTCTATAGCATTCATCCTAGACTTGAAATCTCTGGGGCTCTCCCAGTCATTTGAGCCCTTTGTTTTCCAAAGGCCCTTCCCTTTCTTCTTAGCCAATGCCTCAGCATCTCTATACTTCTTCTCCTGTTCTGGTCCGCCAAATTCGGCGCCAGACTTGGCCTCATAAACAGTGGCCAGGCCTTCTCGCAGCATCTGCAATCCAATATCCTGAGGGAAGAATAGAAACCGATAAGCATATACTGTGGCTACAATACGGCTGTATTGATCAGGTCGATAGACGTAAGCACGTATTCTGCGACCGGTAAGTCGGTTAATTAACCACTTGTGTGCCTCTTCGCCGAAAGGTTGGGATGGGCGTCCGAAGTGAGCGAGCTCTGGTGCATCAACGCCCGCGATACGGATGTGAATCTGTAAATAAGTTAGGACTCCCATAAGAAGAAATGACGGATCAACTGAAGGGATTTATACTGTGTTGTTCTTCAACTCTTTCTTCGAAGTAGGCACCTTTCTGAGCCATCCCCATCCCGCAAGCATTCCACCAGGCGTGTGATAGATACGAAAATTATCCCCATCTCCCACACTTGTGACTTTGCCCAGTATACTTCGCTGTCGAAGGTAGGAAGGCGATATATTAGTTGCTTCGGGGATTCGCCGTAGGTATCGACGGTGTATTCGAAAAGCAAACAAAATGCCACTTGTTAACAGGACGGTCGGTATAAGATTTGACGGTTCAGCGTAATGTGACCAATTGATTGCATTGGACAATGAATTCCAATCCTTATTGGATTTCAAGGGGGCTGTCGGCTTTTCATCGCTACTGGAGCTTGATTTGCTATTGCATTTGCATCCATCCTTGTCATTGTCTGATGCCCAGAATAGCCATCGCATAATGATTGCTTGCGAGTTAGCAGAAGCCTTCCAAAATATGACTAGCACTGAGACAGGACAAAGGTATCATAGAGACATCCGGCGTCAAGGATGTTACAAGAAATAGCAATGAGCGTGTCAGATTTTGACTTTGGTGGTATTGATAAACGTCCTTGCATTCTTTCGGTCAAATAAATATTTAAGCTAAGAGACGTCGGGCCTTGGCACGGCGCAACGGACTTTATTTTGACCTGTGCAACGAACTAGGTTTTATTACAGTCAAGACATTCAATATTCAATTCCAACAAGAGGCCTTTTGCCATGACATTGGTGCGTGAAGTTAAGTCTATATATCTTAAACTGTACAAGTGATAAAAACCAAGATTAGTATGAAACTGCCTTGGGATCTAGTGGAAAAATCAGGATAAGGCATGTATATAGATCAGTTACAGTATCCGAGCTGTAAATACCCTATTTTAGCGTTGCAGGCATGGATTGCTTTGCTGCTGCTGCAGCAGCATCAGCGACTTTCTGGAGTCTCTCCTTCTTCAAAGTTCGCAGGTAGGCGAATAGTAGAATAAAGAGTAGTTCAATCCTAAAGAATATAGGTGAGCAATAGGCTTACAAAGACATTTATCCGAGATTAATCAAGTATGAAACCTTACCTCTCTTTGGCCATCATTAAAAGGCCTTGAACCAACAGCCCTTTCATAATCTGGGGACCGATGCCTTTGAAAAGACTTAGGACACCTTCATGCTCGACGATGTAGCTCATTACTTCGACAAAGCTCTTGAATGGTTTTCCTTTCCTAGATGGCGGTGGGCGAGACTGTAGACCAACCTTGGCCACAATCAATGGCTGGGTGAGAATGGTAGCTAAACTCTTCGACATGGCGCCCAACACTGGATGGAAAGTTAGTTTTTATATATACTCTAGGGAAACTGAAACTGGAAAGGGAGTGAGGTACTCACAGAATGCTTCCATGGGCCGTAGGTTATTCTTGCCTGGGTATATAATCTCTCTTAGGCGTTGATAGGCACCGTAGGTTATGGCTGGGTTAACAACCAGAACAAGGCTGGCCTTCAGTCCTCTCCATAGCCCACTCCATCCATCCTCGCTATTGATGACCTCTCTGCCCGTGTCGATAAGCCCCTTCTTCTCCCCCTTAGGCTGAGTTTGCTGTCTTGTTGTGATAACCGCAACCGGGATTGTAAACACCTGAGCGATAGCTCCAGCAACCGCACCAAGAGCAAGCTCAGCAGCTGTGCCAAGGTTTTGGTTCGGTCGTGATTTCATATATAGGGTTCGGACGATAGAGTACCAATAGAAGTAGGCGAAGTTCGTTGAGGCAACCCCAATAAGGGAGCCATTCATACCGGAGTATAGACCAGAGAGACCTTCATCGGCAAGGATTTTCTTTATCGCATCAATTGTAGAATTGTAATGTACCGTCCCATCGGAAGCATCACTTTTCGGTAGTTTCTGGGATTTGACTTGAACTTGTAACCGAGTCTTGACGCTGCATCACCGAATCCCCCGTTAGTTATAGCTGCACCCCCAAAGCTGTAACACAAGGACCACCGGGTATATAATCTTACATATCTAATGGGTATACGAGGGCGTTTGCAACAACGGCCCCAGTTGCCCCTGCTACTGCACTCTGCCAGGGGGAGAGCTTCGATTGACCGGACATAGTGTCTAAGTATGACGATGCAGTCTTTCAGTAAGAAAAAAACAAAAGACCGCAAGAAATCCTCTCTTAAAAAGGGATGGCGAGGGACTAGGGGTTAAATAAAGGATACAGCAAGGTTATGTATGCGTCACGCAAGCGAATAAACCGGCCCGGTCAATGTTCAGCTCTGATCGCTGGGAGTTGTTTGACCTGCGATTTCAAGCCCCGGACGAAAACCAGCAGGAACTGCCGTAACCTAAAGCTGCAAAGCCGAGGCATAAACTTGAGCTGATAGGCACCTGTGGGATCCGAGTGTATTATGTAAGCAAGTCGCCGGTAAATTTTCGGTGCGCGTTGGGGGAACCAACCTTCCTTCAAGGATCCTTTAGCTGAGCGCCAAAATAATATAACGTCACTAAGCTGCTTGGTGAAGGGGGAACGTTGTTATTCTTCACATTTATTTCCGTCGTCGTTACGGAAAGGGAAAGGGGCCATTTTTGACGTGGCTGTCTCTTTGCGCACGTAGGTTACTATGAGCTGATAGGCCTCATTAAGGGTTACTGCGATGTCCCAGCTAAGAGACATCAAGGTCCAAGCACTGGTACCTCTTCCGTTGTCTGCATAAAAGAAAGCATGACAATGGCCATGACTCAGCTGACACTCTCGCTCCTAGGAAGCTGAGAAAGATGTTCGCTCGGCCTCGACTCAGAAAGAGGCGTTGGAGGCTGCAATTAACGCGGCAGAGCGTTATATGAATGCTCTCCGGCTGGTTAATGACCCGGTTGAAAAGAAACTGTTTGACTCGAAGTGCAAGGAATACCTCACTTTAGCTGAAAAAATCAAGCAGTCCAGCAAGGATGGAGACAAGAAATTTACCCCAGTGATACCCGCTTTACAGCCCATAGATGCAGTGGGCAGAGAACCAACCTCTACAAGGACTCAATCTAATCGCGAACAGATTATATTACTCGAAAACTCCAAGCTCAATGGGTTTGTTTTTCCTCCATGGTCAATGACAGCTGCACCTGATGTAAGGGAATTTCAACTTGACGAGGACGGTGGGCTATTTCGGTAAGTCTCATCGTTGCCCCCAAATTGGCATAGGCACCTTACTCATATACACTTGCGACAGTGATGTTTCTGATCTCCAAATATGTCCTGTTCAGCGTGAAATATTCGATGGTTGGAAACGGCCTTCGGAAATCCTGGGTCATCATACGTCAGGTTCCCCAATCTTGCTAGGTTCAAATCCAATGGACCTAGTTCAAGATGTAACCACAGATTGCTCTGTTGTGGCAAGTCTGTGCACGGGAGCATCACCGTGGAAGGAAGGAGTTTCTCAGGTAGTGTCCATAAATACCACATTCTAGGACGATTTCTAAATGTTTATTATATAGCTCGTTCGTTCTGTACAAATGTACCCCACTGAGGACGGCAATGTTCCACATATTTCTCCTTCGGGGAAGTACATTTTTCGTTTCTATTTCAATGGCTGTTACCGAAAGGTCGTTATTGACGATATGCTTCCTTCTTCCAAGACTTTGCGATCACTGCACGTGATAGATAGAAACAACCCTTCAGCCATATGGCCCGCCTTGGTTGAAAAGGCTTATCTGAAAGTAAGAGGGGGTTACGACTTCCCGGGAAGCAACTCTGGGACTGACTTATGGGTTCTAACTGGTTGGATTCCTGAGCAAGTCTTTTTGCACCATGATGAACTAGCTCCTGATCATCTATGGCAGCGTATTACCAAATTCTTCCAGTCTGGAGATATATTGCTAACGTTAGGTACCGGGAATCTGACAGAGTACGAGGAAAATGAGCTTGGCCTTATCAGTTTACACGACTATGCAGTCTTAAGCTTCCAAGAAAGGGATGGAATTCGTCAAATGCTTATCAAAAACCCATGGGCCGCTGGGCCTGTCTGGAAAGGACTAGGTCAGCTGAGTGAGAGCTATATTCTAAGTGATGAACTCGAACCCGAACCGTCACATCCATCAACTACAGCCCCAGGAACGTTCTGGATGGCCTTTGAAGACGTCCTCCAGAATTTTGATAACCTGTATCTAAACTGGAATCCCGCTCTATTTAACTACCGCCAGGATATCCATTTTCGTTGGGACCTGTCGTCTACAAGCATAGTTCCAGGGTGCTTTGCGGGAAATCCTCAATTTGCTGTTTCCACCAAATCTGGTGGGACGGTATGGCTTCTTCTGGGGAAACATTTTAAGACTGGAGATTATAAAAAATTGGCGAACCAACTCTTGGAAGTGACTCCCGGCGCCGACCAAGCAGGGTTTATCAGCCTTTACGTGTTTGACAAGAAAGGAATTAGAGTTCATTTGGCAGACGGGGCTCTCCGGCGTGGCCCTTATGTTGATTCACCAAACACGGTGATGAGACTTGAGATGCCACCCAACTCGACCTATACCGCCGTCGTGTCAGAGCAATCTCATCAGAGATCGCTGTATAGCTTTTCTATTTCCGCATTTTCTACATCCCCAATTAGTATCAACCCAGCGAAGGAGATATATTCTCACGTCGAAAAATTATCTGGGGCCTGGACTGTATCCACAGCCGGCGGTAATGCTGAATCTGAAAGATACCCCGAAAACCCCCAATTCCAGATACAAATCCTTGAGAAATGTGATGTCAATATTCTCCTGGAAGCGGAAGATCCTGGCCTTGCAGTCCATGTGAGCCTTATTTGGTCAAGTGGGGGTCGAGTAGCGTGCGTTCGTTCACGGGATATAGTTGTTGGCAGTGGTGATTATCGTCGTGGAGTCGCTTTAGCAGAGAAAGTAGATGTGACCAAGGGGCTGTACACCATTGTTTGCTCAACATTCACGCCAGACCAACTGGGAAAATTCACCCTTTACGTTTCTACCACTGCGCCTTGCTATGTTAGGCAACTGCCAGCCGAAGGGGCCGGCCATTTAGTTATGAACTCCGGCACTGGAATTTTCCCTCCAGGGACGGACAGGATTCTAGCCCCGATTACCACTCCGCGCCTGGCACGGCTAAAATTAATATGCAGACGCCGCGGGTCATCGATTGGAGATCGCAATGCCGCCCCTTCCCCAATACTTATGACGGTGGAGCTTGGGCAAGGACCATATAAAGAAATCCTCGCTGGTTCCGGAGATGGGAACTTCACTGACGATGTCAGAGGCGCTCGCATTGAATCAGTAGATCTGCAGCCAGAGTTTGAACGGCGAGGGGGGATATGGCTTGTTGTTGAACGTATTGGTGGGCCAAGTGGCCAGGTTGAAGATCGCGTGGAGGTGGAGATTCTTTCAGAGGAGCGGATCGGGATAGGTTCCTGGGGTGTGGGTGATGGATGAGGTTTTGCGAGTCCATAGCCGTAGGTTATCACTGCCTATATGTTCGAAGAGGCGAGACATGTATCAATTAAGTGTTAATACTGATATATCGACAAGTCTTAGACATTGTTGACCACCCCCTTTATAAGTTCCTGCTTGTCTGGTTATCTATGTTGCTACTAGAGCGCTGAGTGGTGGAGGGCGTCGCTGACTAAGCAGCCTTTAACGTCATTTGTTCCCCACGCTCTTCGAAGCTCTTTTGACCTGCAGAAGAACATCCTCGCCTGGTTGCTATTTATCGACCAACATCCGAGCGCAGAAGCCATCAAAATGTCGACAAATATCCCGGCTGGTCTAAAGGCAGCTGACATTAGCCGCTTTGTGACACGAGCAGCGCAGCTTGAGAAAGCAAAGCCAACTATTTCATATTGGTGTAAGTTGTGTCAGCCTTGAGCCGTCAGTATAGTTTTATCACTCCCTTACAGCGTTGAAAGCTAATGGGAGGACAAAACATAGGTAACTTCTGGGCTGTGACTCAGATTTTAGACAAAAAGCTCCATAACTCGGATGAAGAATGCCTGAAATACACCACTGAGCTCATGGATAAGCTTGAGAAGGTATGGCTACTGCTATCAACCTTTTTTTGTTTTTTACTTGGTCCTCCCAGGTCACCAAGGGATTAATAGCAGATAATTTCTAGATTGCTAACTAGAATTTGGCATTTTAGTTCAAACAAGAACATTCTGAGGATGATACGATAACCGATGACGCTGCTGGCCAGGCATATGTAGAGCAATTCGCTCTAGAGACATTCCAAAGGGCAGAAAATGCAGTTCGGGCAAATAAAGCATCTATGTGGGTTTGGTAAGCCCCTTTTGGGTAGCTTGACCAATTCTAACAAAGTGTATAGGCAAACTGCTGATACCTTCCAAGCAGCCGCCACCTTCTTGGACCTGGGCCAAGCCTGGGGTCAGCCTGACGCGGAGACAGCTTCGAAAGTTAAATATGCCAAATACCATGCGGTCCGAATTATAAAGGCTATAAAAGCTGGAGAAGATCCAAACTCCTCCAATCCTAAACACGCGGAAGCGTCACAGGAACCCTTAAGCCCGGCCGAAGGAACGGATATTGCAGGTGACACACAAGCACTTTCAGAAGCTCCTAGAAAAGGGCGACAAGCTTCTGTCGAAGATGTTCCAGATGACTTCGACAAGATTCAAAGTAAATTGGCCGCGCAATCGTCATTGAATGAATCTCTTCATCCTTCGCGTTCATCATCTGCTGCGCCTCTGCCACAGCCTACGGGTGGCCTTAATATCCCAAGTGTACCCACAAGTACGCCTGGCAGCGGAATGCCCAGCCCTCCAATTAGTATACCCCCAGGAATGGTAGATTTTGATGACAGTTTACGACAAAGGCCCTCACAGCTCTCTAGAGCTACTGTTCCCGACCTGCCAGCAGCACCCTCTGATTTCCCATCACCTGCATCAAGCAATGCCGATTTACCCTCTCAACTCGGGCCAAGATTCGACTCTTCTTCGCTTAATGTTTTCCAGTCGTTCCCTCCACCTGCCCCGGAACCTGAATTCCCTCCCACAGAGTCTCATGCTCTTGGCCCTCCCCCGCGTACTTCGCCTGGAATGGGGGTTGACAGGACGTCCCATCCACAACCCCCAATGGTGGCACCAATAACCCAAATCCCTAGAGACACGCTACCTGTATCCTCATCAACAGCTAGAGCTGGCAACTCTGCCCAAACTGTTGACGAAGAAGCAATTTCAAATGCTCAAAAGCATGCACGTTGGGCAGTGTCTGCGCTCAATTTTGATGACGTCAATACTGCGATTAAGGAGCTGCAAAACGCTCTAAATTTCTTGAGATACCGTTGAAATACCATATACCATATATAATTTTACATATAGCGTCATGTGGTTGATGAAACATCACTCCCCCTAACTTCTAGGTGCATGTGAAGCCTTTCTAATGCAGTGGTTTAACAACATTACTAGGAGGCACAGCTTTATCTCACCTTCTATCGCAGTCCTATTATCATCTTGTTCAAACTATCAAACACATGCTGCATATCGACAGCCCAAATTGTGTCTAAAAAAACCGGAAATCCAATGCAACGTACGCTCTGATCCTCATGTACCGCTCTTCAGAAGTATCAAATACTGCCTCTTGCCATTCGTCAGTTATCCCTTCTATAGTCTTTCCACCCATATTTTACATTTACATGGAACCGAAGTCTTCTTGCTTCATCGGTGAGGATTTCAGGAACGAAACTGGATGTATTATGGGTTATGTATGTATACCTAGTAAGCAAATATTGATTGGAAGAGCTTTGGGTACTTATCTCTAGTTCTATGTCATCATTCCATACCATTCATATAGTATGTGATCTTCGAGAGGTGTCTTGAGAGATTAATTCTATGCCCTCTTTCTCTCCCAAAATACCCAGTACTTTGAGTACCCAGCGCACATTTTACCACCTAGGAGTATCTAGTTGAATAGAATGCTACCTAATTCAGCATATATAAGTCGTTATGGATCCTCTTTTCACAGATGCCGAAACAACTAAAGGTGACTCCAGACTTTTATTTACTATAAGTCCTTCCTTTTCATGCTCGATGGCCGCTCTAAACCGAGAACATAGCCGTGGTATAATTTGATAACGATACTCAGAAGTGGAAGCCCTTCCTATATATATATATACCTCTATGGACAGCAATTGCGCGTGTTTTTAATAGCCTTCCGGTGAATAAAAATAATAGTATATGCGTTATTTCCAGGAGTATGTGTATAACTACTCTATTCACCCGGGAGCGGGTACACAATCGTTCTCCCATCATATACCAAAGTCTCACACCGGTTACAAGCATATTCCAGGCGTTGTTCGAGATGAGAATTGACTAAGTTAGAAGCACGAAAAGGTAGAAAAAACATATGCAAGAACAAGCTTCGATACCCGTGTATTCGACTCCCATATATGGTGAGACTCCGCATTTTAAATGTCTTTCATGTTATATGGCTCCACAAGTTCTGGAGAAATGGACTGTTTGTTGATTTAAAGGTATATGTACACAAGGAATGATAGCCAAAAAGTCTCTTTAAGTCTGTAATACCCACCTTGACTCTCCTTTGTCTGCCTATTCTATTAGACCTAGGAAGTAGCAAAGGCTATCAGGTATCTGGAAGAATAGGTGATAGTTATATGGTGATGTTCTGGCGGGTAAGATGAATCCCATCTCCAGCCTCAGATGATCGGGTTGCGGAGAACAAACTAAAGGATGCGTGCCGAGTGCTGGGAGGAGTGGACGGATGTAACTATCTCCCTGATGCAGCCGTATACCACCTGGATCACCTGGATAAATATAATATGCCATCACATCAACGGTTTATTTTATCTCCCCCCCCCCCCCCCCCCCCTCCATTATTAGTTTATCCTACAGAAGATGTCCGTTAAAGATGACTAGTAGGATAGGCTCGGGCCGGCCAAGGCCCCACATTGAGACCCGAGGTTCCAGAGCAGCGGAAGGGCCTTCATCGCCAGTCTCAAGCATAACAAGCGACATCACGTCTGTAGTTCGCATAGAAGACCTGTAACCAAGGCCTGGGTTCTGCATTAGTCAACGACGACGGTTTGGTTGTTGAAACCCGCCCTGGTCGACAGGATAATAGGCTACTGGCTTACATCTTCTCGCCAAGGTTCGGGGCGGCCGTGGTTTGTCTCTCCTTCTCCCTATGAAGAAAGGACTGGCAAGCTACACACGCAGTTTCGCTACGTGCACACATTAATCTCGGGATGGCCGACTCTAGTTTACATGGACGTGATGAGGCGGTGGTATGTTCTAGCTAGCATGTAGGTTTTCCGACTTCTATCAAAGGCCATCCATAGTTGTCCTGGACACGAACTCGAGGTGCGTGAAACAGTGCTTCTTTCCTTGTTTCCCCTGTATTACTATGCCTGCTTATTTTTTTTTTTACAAAAAAAAAAAATAATCAAACAATATAGGATCAAAGGTGATAGGTGAGACAAAATCAGGGGATATTCAGTCGAAGGGCATGTAGCCGTAAGCAAGGAAATGCGCTTGTTTAGGAGCCAGATCAATAATCAAACTTGGAAATCAGTTATCTCGGCCAATTGTCAACGCCGGGATGCTCTCTCCCACTAACTCTGAAGAAAGAGAAACATGCATTTATGATGGATATACTGAAACGCTGCTAATCTTTGAGAGTGGAATTGCTTGTATCTTGGGAGGATGCTGTCTTCCCCTGGCGGGAGCCGCGGATAACGGACAACCAAGACTGACACGCTAAATAATTAGAGCATACTCCGTATACTTGCAATGGCTCTAGTAAACCCGAAAAGAGGGTTTTATTACAAGCACTTTGAGGGTAACTGTGTTTGACGAAGGAATAGGGTATAGGTATCATTCCAGTCAAGGAGTTACATCTGGCTGAAACTTTGCAGGTTAACTCCACAGAAAAAAAGAAGTTGTGCCAATTTGGTAACAATGAAATTCGGAAATCCTTTAAGGAAGACAAGGAAATGTTCTCATGAGTGCTTTGGTGGGAAGATAAGGGGCTGTTGTTCGTATTGGTTGATCAACGGCTTCAGCTTGTTGCAAGAAAGAATATATACTTACGTGTGTCAAATGGTTAGTCGCGCAACTCGGCCCCGACAGGTGCAAACAACTCCGAGCAGAATTATAGATCTACAGTAGCTGGGCGTGTTACTGGGGTTGAAGGGGACGATATGTCTCAGAATATCTTGTCTATGATCCTCTCCATCCGCCAGAAAGGGACAATCTGAGTGTGCAAGCGGTGAAGGGTGAGTTTACCTCGAACCGGAGGGTAATATCAGAGGGAGAAGAAAGGATGTTTGTGCTTCCAACGCCTAATGCTCCCTGAAGATTGGAAAGGAGCCTAGGGTTTCCCTGGGGTTCACCAACATTTACCTTATGACCAACATATATTGCATATATCCTGGGGAATAAACAGTATGTGATATCGCACTGGCTGCTGACAGGATCACCAACTTGGTCAGCTTCGCTAGGGGGTCCAGGAGCCTTTTCTTCTCGCAGCTCGATGGGTCCCAACATGCAAGTTCGATATCTTAGCGTTAGATGGGAGGACAGCAAGATTTCAATATTGTGCTATGCGCCGGCCCATGTCGAACTCCCGACAGTCTGTCTCTTCGGATGCGCCCCTTTTCCGGGCGACCAATAACGGAGAATATACGCTGACTCGTGAGATGCAGATATGCAAGGGTCCTTTCAACCAATATTATCGACAACGTCTTCGCTGGCTTGCGCTTCCCCCCCTTTTTAATCTTACCTGCATTGCATGATCTATTTCCTTCTAGAATGATCATGTATCACGTTAGTTATCTGTTCGATTCCCCCCATCCCTTGCGGCGTCACAGTCTTGGTTTCAAAACGTTACCGGTCCTGCAAACCATCCTGGCCACACAGAAGAGACTAGCGAAGACTGATGACGACACCGAAATACGATGATGCTCTGGGGGAAGGGAGGAGAACGAGACTGTCAGCTGAGAAGAAACATGTCTGCCCCTGAATTGTTTGATGATAGGGCTCCGCAGGATTCGTCCATGTCCACCACCCGAGAACGTCGGTATTTTGACAGGCCCTCGTCGTGCTTAAGAGAGAGGGGAAGGATACGATGAGCAGAAAAAGGGAGCGGAAGGAAGAAGAAAAGAAAACAGAAGCAAAGATGGCCAGAGGTAAGGAAGGAGAGCACGGAATTGTCGGTGTGACCAACAAGGCAGCGAGCGAGTGGTACAGGCCTGGTACGCCAGTAAATTACATCGATCGTGGGCCCTGCAACTCGCACTCCGTAGTAAACTTCGGCCACAGAGAAAGCTGTGTTTAAAGGTGTTACACCCGGTGGTGATATAGGGCTATATCAAGATATAGGTTGTATAAGTATAGACCCTTGCGGTCAGGCCTCACATCCATCCACAGTTACATCACCCCTTAGCACAGACGAGGGGCTTGTTACCTAGCCTGGCGCCATCCAGCTGGTTCTCGCTCGCGCTGGCTTGCGTCTCGTTCTCGTCTGCTGCTGCGGGATCAGCCCCTGTTCTGCGGTATCCGATGATGCATGTCATATAAGTGGATTCAAGCCGCCAATTCAGCAGGAGAAGAGGTTGAAAAAGCAAATACACATCCTCCCTATACCGAGTCTTAGTACTAATTCAACTGGTTGCCCCCCACCCTCTGCTCCCTCGCTGTCTCTTCCTCTCTCGTCAGAAAGAGAGAGTGAGTGAGAGAGAGACACAGAGAGAGCCCGAGTTGAACAGGATAGGACCGTTGTTGAGCATACACCAGTATAAGCCCTGAAAGACTCGAGCCAGCGTTGGCCGGACGCCCTTCGAACCGCCAGTCCTTAATATCAACCTCATCCCGCCTGCAGTCAACGGGAGGGGGAAAAAAGAAAGAAGAGAAAGAGTGAGAGAATAGGTGGAAGAGAGAACCCCACGCATATCCCCTTACTGTGTCCGCTTGCCCTTGATTCCAGCCAGCGTCTCACGTCTCGACGGCCTCCTGACTCTGGATCTCGCCAGACTGCTGCCTCGAGCATAGACCGAAGGCACATCGAGATCCGGACGAGACCAGCCAGCCCTACAATCCGGTCAGCGAAGAGGACAGGAGAGACATCGAGAGCGTGAGAACGAGAGACACACAAAGACAGAGCGAGAGAGAGAGAAGGCAACGCGAAAGGGGGGACAAGGAAAAAGGAGGGAAAGGCCTTGCTTATTCTTTTTTATATATCTCCCGGTCAATTCATTGATCTCTTCTATATCCTCCGGCAGCTATAATATACTTAAAAAGCAACGATCAAAGAGCACCATCAGCCATGTCGGGCGACTCTTCCAGCAAGCCGAGTGTGCTTGTTGTTGGCGGGCTAGGTATGCAATCGAACACAAACCACCAGCAGAAGAAAAGAAGCAGACGTTGATGTCGATGTCGATGTTTATATCGAGATCGATGTCGGTGATGATGAGCTCGAGGCTGATCCGTCTTCTTTTTTTTGGCCTCGTTGCCGTTTGACAGGTTTCATCGGCCGACATCTCGTTCACCACATACACAAGAACAACCTCGCCTCAGAGCTGCGGGTGGTCGACAAGCTGCTTCCCCAGCTCGCATGGCTCTCGCCTGAGATCTCGGAAGCATGCAAGGACCGTTTCGTCCAGGCAGATGCCAGCCTTGAGCGTACGCTATTCCTCCCCCTCTCCCCGTCCCATACCATCTCATAGTAGCAGCAGCAGCAGCAGCAGCATCTTAATATCAAAAGATGCAGCAGGTCTCTGACAGTTCTTTCCGCCCTACAGAATCGCTCCCTCGTGTCTTTAACCGTGCAGACGGCGCCCAGTTCGATCTGGTCATTAATTGCGGCGGTGAATCGCGGTACTCGCATCCAGACGATGTCTACCGGCTACGCAGCCATGCACTCTCAGTTGCTCTGGGCAAAGAAGCTGCTCGACGGGGAGTCAAAGCCTTTGTCGAATGCTCGTCTGCGGCAATCTACAAGGTCGATGACAAGCCACGCAAGGAATCAGACAAGCTGAAGCCCCTACAGAAGCTCACCAAGTGGAAAGTCACCACCGAAGAAGAGCTAGCGAAAATAGACGGCCTCAACCTCGTCGTATTACGATTTCCATATGTATACGGAGAATACGACACCGGCCTGCTGACATCTGTCATTTGTGTGGGGAGAACGTACAAGGAGATCGGCCGCCCTCTGACCTTCCTGTATGCCAAAGAACGTCCTCTAAACACTGTCTGGGTGGTGGATGCTGCCCGTGCCCTCTGGACTGCTGCTGCATGGCGTGCATCCAAGGGGCCTCTACCTCCCAGCCAAGGCCAGCAGCCATTCCCTACCACTTTCAATATCGTCGACCACAACAACACGCTAAAGGGTGATCTTGCAGACGCCCTCGAACGCAACTTTGGCATCAAATGCGAATTCCTTGGCTCCCTGATGAGCCAGTTCGCCAAAATGAACCAGGAGCAGATCCTAGACGAGATGAACGAGGAAACTCTAGAAGTGTGGTCAGAACTCCTGCTGGCCAAAGGGATCACTACATCGGGGCCCATAAGCCCCTTCTTGGAGAAAGAGGTTCTCAAGGACGCAGATACAACTGTCGACGGATCCCTGTTCGAACAGACCACTGGCTTCACATATCTGAAGGAGAAACTTGACCCGGACTGGCTTAGTAGTGTTATCAAAAGTTACGAGCAGATGAACTGGTGGCCTTGATTCGTTCGGTACATGTTTTCATCTCTGTTCGGCCGTGATATGCGTGTTACTTGCTTCCTTTCTTCTTATTAACCACTGGATAGATGAGAAATACCTCTCTCTCGTTTTATTTTTCCGTTGCCTCTCTCCCTTGTCATGCCATTTTATTTATTTATTTTTGGCTATTCACTCTGCGGTCTTGCATCTTTTCTTTTCGCTTTCTTGCTCGAGACGGGATATATACATACACACAGGATCGATCTATGGATGCATGGATGCCCAAGTTTCTTCACACTCCATCACTTTCTTTTTCTTACTTTGACTCCTCTTACGCTCTTCGACGACCCACGATCGCTTCCTTCGTTCTATGATCAGTCTAGCTTCTAGCTCTCTCTCTTCCGACTTCAGCCTTGTTGCCTTCATATATACCCCTGTTGTAATATAATCAATACATCGTTACAAAAAAATGAAAGAAAAGTGAAAAAAGGGAAGAATAAGAAACACGATTTGAACATGCGTTTTCGATTATTTTAATGATCACTCCGCGATGGTGCTGCTGTTGACCTATCGTGGACACATCGTTGTCAAGGCAAGACAGCCGGGTTAGTAATATAGAAAGAGTGCAGCCTGCGAGGCCAGCCATGATATAAAAGTACAAAAAAGAACACTGCTATGCAAAAAAGAAAAAAGCCAAACGTGGAGTAAGCAAAGGCAACCATAGCAGAGAAATGGAACAGATCAAACGAGCAAAAAAAAAAACGTAATCAAAACTCCCACTCCTCGTCTACTGACTTGATAGCCCAGTCGAACTTCTCGCGCATGGTCTTCGAGAAGAACTTCTCTATCGGGACGTTGAACTTTTTAGAGAAAACCACAGTCAAGCGGGGATCTATGTAATTCTGTGTTACGAAGTGGCGTTAGCGATTGATTTGCTTCTCTTGGAATGACGAAACGAGCGAGGATCGGGCTGGATAACGATGCAGGAGCAGAAACAGAAAGAAAATAGAAGAAGAGCAGAAGAATAGAATCCCGCCCAAAGAAAAAAAAGGACTTACAAGCTTCGATGTGCCAAGGGCAACTTCCTTGTTATTCTCCTTGTCTTCGGCTTGAAGAAGCATGTTCTCGATGCGCTGGTCAATCTTGCTAATCTGACCTTCGAACTTCTCGACAGTTGGGCCCCTGCCCTCGGCCTCCACCTTTTTGGTTTTGTTCTCTTTCTTATATTTAGCCTCGAGCTCATCAGCAGCCTTCAGCCGTTCGTCGAGCTCTTTAGCTTTCATCTCCTTTTCTCCGTCGGCGACTCGCTTCTCGTTCTCTTTATCGAACTTTTTGCGTATCTTCTGGCGAAGTTCTTCTGCAAGGAAAGCCTGATGCTCCTTGATCCACTCCATGTCCAGGTCTTCATCTAGCTCAAAATACGCTGCACCTTTCTTCTTCTTCATCTTGGGTTCAATGGCAAGAATCATCTGTTTAATTCGCCATTTCTGATATTGTAGTCCTTTGATCTAGAAAAAAGTTAGGTAAATTGTTTTCTGGAAAAGGCAAGTTGATCAAGGATAAGATAAGAAATGATAGACGATTGTTTGCTTACCCGATCACCAAGTTTTTCCATCTGGTTGGCGTGTCCTGCGGCAACGGTACGTTTATGGTTGCAAAGTATAGCAACCTCACGGTTCGCATCGTTATACTGCTTAACCTTCTCTGGAATGGTCCCGGTTGCGGACATTTTCTTCAAAAGCGTTGCCATAGTGTAAGAGGCGTTGTACGTACGGAATACCTTGGCAGTAAGTCCAGTCATGTAGCTCGATAGGTGCTTGTTGAGAGCCGATGTCTAAAGATAAAACGGATTAGAAGGTTTATCATCAGTATAAAAGCCAGGTACATAATAACAGCCTGCATACCGTGAGTCGATCGAAAATCTCGTCACCTTCCTTCTTTGGAGCCTTTTTGAATATCTTGAGATTTTTGAAAACTTGTGCGTCGACCTCAACTTCATCGTAGTATCTAATACTGTCCTTTCCGAGGAAGTCGAAAACAACGGTGTTTGGGGGCTTTAATGTAACATGTTCAAACTTGAGAGAGCAGCAGCCAACAGTATCTGCCTCATCTTCGCCTTTCTCGTTTCCAGCACGGAGAGCGAATTGATCGATGAGGTAGACGGCTGTAGCTCGTTGCCGGTTGACCATGAGCTCATCCTTGAGGCCCTTTTTATAATCCTTGCGGATTCGATCAATATGTTTCTAGAGGGGGAGTAAGTTAGCACAAAGGATGGAAGAGTTTAGTGGAATAGTAGTTGAATAATACAAACCTTGAGCTCTCGAGCTTTCTCGAATTTCTTATAGTCACTCTGACCTTTGACGTCTGAGTTGGCAGCTAACATGACATATTTGTAGTTACCGTTAACATTTTCCTGCCACATGGCCAGCCATGTGCCCTCCTGGTCATGTCGAACCTCTTTCCAACGATGTCCCTCGGGAGGGGTCGGGACGGGTGCATCTTTGCCGATGTTGATCGTAATCTGTTCGGGCATGACACGAGTTTTCACTGTGCCAGTTTTTGGATGCTCTCCACGACCACGGAAGAGAGCCGGAGGTTCAACGCGGAAGTTGCCAACCTTCTGCTTTCGCCCATCCCATATACAATACATATACGGGGCTTCGGCGGCATCCTTTTCGGCCTTGGCTGCCTTCTTCTCAGCAGCACTCATGGCTTTCTTTTCAGCGCGCAATCTTTCGTAGTGCTCAAAAATGGTTGTGAAATCACACTTGGAAAACTCCTTGATCTGGATAGGTTTGCCCTGGGGATCCTTTGCTCCGCCAGTTTTCTTGATTATTGCCTGGAAGTCGTTGAAGAAATTCTTCTGGAAGATGGGGTTTTCGACATTGTGAGTAGAGTTGAGCATTGTTCCAAAGTGTGAGGCTACCTCTTCAGCATCGGGATGCAAGGTGATTGGGACACCGTCGTATTTCAATTTCACGTCCTTTGGAAGCGGTTCATAAGGTGGTGGGAACACGACTCCGTTGTGCTCCAAAGTTGTCCATTTGATGGTGCCGTCGCCTTTGGATGGATCTTCCCACCATCTGTATTCCTCTTCGGCTTCCTCCTCTTCAGCTTCGGCTTCCTCGCTGGGCTCTTTCTTTGCAACGGGCTTGGCCTTTTTTGCAGGCGTGGTGGTGGCCTTCTTTGCAGGAGCCTTGCGTGCAAGAGGAACATCTTCATCGCTAGATTCTGATTTTTTGATACCGTTAGCTTGAGATTTTTTCCCATTTACAGTGACTGCTTTTGCTTTTGCTTTTGCAGGTTTGGCGGCAGCCTTTGCAGCCTCTTTCTTCTTAGCCGCTGCCTGGCGATCCTGCTGTCTGAGGGACTGAGCCTCCTTTTCAGCGCTCTTTTCGATATCAGCTTTTTCAGCAACGAGTCTCTTAGCTTCTGCGGAGTTGATGAGCGCCCTTTTCCCCTTCTTAGCTTGAGATATCAGGGGCGCCTCGTCCGAGTCAGAGGGCTCTTCTTTTGGTACGGTCCGACGACGCTTGCTCTGGGAGGAGAGTCAGTCCGGCTGGTGCTGTAGAAAGGGAGAAAGGGGGGCAAAGTTTATCAGCCGAAGGGCGGTGTAATTGCGAAGAAAGGCTGGGGGAAGGGAGCGTGGTTATCTCTCCTGGCGTACCAATGGTTTATCGTCCTCTGCGCTGCTTTCCGCCTCCGCATACGAAGGCCGACCGGCACTGGACCTAGATTTCCGTTTCGACAGCGCGGCTCCGTTAGTGTCCGCATCCTGCATGTCAACCTCGTTGTCCTTTGCAGGGCCATAGCGGATCGAGATTCCTGGCTGAGTGGTTCCGTTGGCAGACGCAGAGAGGTTGGTGGACTTGGGCACGATAGCACTGGACAACGGAGGCTCTGTAATGAAAGAAAACAAGAAAGTCCGACTTGTTAGCCATGCTGAAGCTCCCTAGGACACACTACAGCTCCCAGTTGTTGTGGGGTGGCTGCGCCTCTCTCGTGGGAAGAGATCAGCTATGCTGGTATCCGTCACTCACTGTGAATGCTTCCGTTGGTCCTCCTGGTGCCGGCAAGCGGCGCATCGTCGTCCGAAGAGCTCATGGCTTGTAACTGAGGCCTCTGCAAGGTCTTTAGACGGGGCTGACAGTGTATCTCTTTCACACGAAGTGAGAGCCGGGCTGACCGGGCGATGGCGAGCTGGAAGCCAGGCCTTGCGAGGCAACCGAGGGGAGTTATAGTGAACGAGAGGTGACGCCTGAGCGAGAACTGAGCGAGAAACGGAGCCCAAACGAGGCCAAAAACCGGGAGCAGGAGACGCGGTTGCTTATATAGACACAGCCAGAGCCGTGAAGGAGAGAAGAAAAAAGGGCGAAAGCAAAGAGAAGAAGGAAACGACGACGATGAATAAATAATAAATCCAAGATTTCGCTCTTTTTCTGCTTATTTTCCTTATTTTCTGTCTTTTTTTTGTTATTTTTGCATCCTTTGCCGAAACGGGTTTAGCGCCGCTCACTGCCCATTTCTGGCTTGTTTTCTTCGAACGTCGGAAAAAAGCAGAAAAACGACGACGAAAACGACGACGCAAAGACGAAGAACAGAAGCCATCGACGCCGTCTCTATTCACGCAGTTAACCAGCCTATCTCGGCCGCCAGTCCCTCGAGATGCTCTCGCGCACCGCCCGCCCGGCATGGAAGGCCGGCTCTGCCGCCGTCGCCCGGTAAGCAAGAGCACCCAACCTACCCGAAGGAACCACACAGCGTCGACCAAAGCTGCCGCAGGCCAGCGGTGGGAGGGCGCCGGGGACGCTGGGGGGCAAGCAGGAGGAAGAAGCAGATGCTGGCGGGTGATAGCGAGCCAATTGACCGCTGACGATGTGTTTCTGTGTAGTGTTGCTCCCGCCAATGCCGCCAACTTCGCTACCCTTCGTGAGATCGAGGGCCGCCTGAAGTCCATCAAGAACATCGAGAAGATCACCAAGACGATGAAGATTGTTGCCTCCACCCGCCTCAACAAGGCCCAGCGTGCCATGACTCTGTCCAGAGCATACGGTGAGACCTCCGAGGCTGTCTTCGGCCAGGCAGAGACCAAGCCCCTCGAGGGCCTCAAGACTCTCTACATCGTCGCCAGTTCCGACAAGGGTCTCTGCGGTGGTATCCATTCCGGTCTCAGCAAGGCTACCCGACGAATGATCATGGAGAAGCCCGATGCCGATATTGTTGTGCTCGGAGAGAAGTCCAAGGGACAGCTCTCCCGTTCCAACGAGGACAACCTCGTCCTCAGCTTCGCCGGCGTCGGCAAGGACGTTCCTACCTTTGCCGAAGCTCAGGCTATCGCCGACCAGATCTGCCAGCTGCCCACCGACTACGCCAGCATCAAGATCGTGTACAACAAGTTCATCAACGCCCAGACCTATGAACCCGCCACCGTCGAGGCGTTCTCCGAGGAGGCTATCATCCAGTCTCGTCAGTCCCTCTGTTTCTTCCTTTCTTTTGTCCTCTGTTCCGTAACGTTTTATGCGGCTTAACTAACACCGTCATAGCCAATGTCGTCGCTTTCGAGGTTGACTCTGAGGTCCTTGCTAACCTCCGCGAGTATGCTCTTGCCAACAGCTTGTACTGGGCCTTGGCCGAGGGACACGCTTGTGAGATCTCTGTAAGCTTCACCACTTAACCAACCGCATATCAGTCAATTGCTAACCTCTCCTCTCCCAGGCCCGTCGTAATGCTATGGAGGTAAGAATATTATTCGGAACTTGACATATCATCAATATCATACTTACCTTTTTTTCACTTTATAGAACGCTTCCAAGAACGCAGGTGACATGATCCAAAGGTAAGCTATACACCCAACACAACTCTATTTCGACCATGCACATCTAATTCCCCACTGTAGATTCCAGATTCTCTACAACAGACAGCGTCAAGCCGCCATTACCGGTGAATTGGTTGAAATTATCACTGGTGCCACCGCTTCGGAGGATATGTAAAAGTACGCAGTCGAGAGGCCTTAGATGCGAGCATCGCACATATATCTCATGTGTGAAGTTCTTTTTCCCCTGCATACAGATCTAGATCCGTTCACCCATTTTTGTACAAAGATAGTTGTATTCACAAGAGATGTTTCTTTTGTTTCCCTTCACCTCCCATCGCACTAAAACACCTGTGGTTTCCCCCTCGCTCCTGTAAGATCAATTGTTACCAGTTATATCTCTACCTATCCGCTCAATGGCGCATTTACCGCCGTCCACGACCAACAACTACATCTTTTTGTCACTGTTTTCATCCTCTTCTCTGTCACTCATCCATCTTCGTCTCCGTACTATCACTAGAATCCACCAATTAATTTTGATATCACGTGATGCGCAATATGCCGAGATGACTAAGCATGTCTTGCCCGGGGTTTTAAAGTGAACAAAAGAAGCCAACGTTGCAACTTCGTCAGGCCACAGTGTTCGATATCGAGGAAGACCGCTGAGCGAGTTGTATATATAGGCCGTCTCTTTTGTTTTGCAAGACCGTATAGACAAATTACTTCTATGAAACCAATTTGTTGAACCTACGGTCTCTCAAGATGCTGAAGTCAAGCTTGGCAGCTTTGCTCATTACTCTGGCCATAGAGGCAGTACCTGCTTCTGGCCTCTATACCAAAAAATCGCCTGTACTCCAGGTTGACGCAACCAACTATGATCGTTTGATTTCACGTTCAAACCATGCCTCGGTACGTGGAGCCTGCCATGGAATCTCCTGCTATTGTTTACATGCTAACTGGTAATATATAGATTGTCGAGTAAGGAGATATACCCAATATTGAAGTTTGTTTTAATATAGTTACTTACTTTTATAGATTCTATGCTCCATGGTGCGGCCACTGCCGAAACCTGAAGCCTGCATATGAGAAAGCTGCTAAGAACCTTGAGGGCCTTGTTAACGTTGCAGCTATTGATTGTGACGATGACAAGAACAAAGCTTTCTGCGGCCAGATGGGGGTCAAGGGGTTCCCAACCCTCAAGATAATTACCCCTTCGAAGAAGCCTGGAAAGCCTAGAGTCCAAGATTATCAAGGAGCTCGAACTGCAAAGGCCATTGGTGAAGCTCTTATGGAGAGTATGCCGAACCATGTCAAGAAAGTCACCGATAAGAATATTGAGGAATGGCTCTCCCAAGGCAATGAGACCGCAAAAGCAATTCTCTTCACCGAGAAAGGTACCACTGGCCCTACTCTGAAGGCACTATCTTCCGATTTCCTTGGCTCTATTTCATTCGGTCAAATCCGAGACAAGGAGACGTCTGCCATTGGAACCTTTGGCATCTCGAGCTTCCCTGCCTTGGTCCTTCTTCCTGGTGGCGATAAAGAATCCATCTTGTATGATGGGGAGATGAAGAAGAAGCCGATGATGGAGTTCCTTAGCCAGGTAGCAGAGCCAAATTCCAAGAAGACTTCAGAAAAGCCTAAGCCAACGAAGAAAGCCGAAAAATCCACCAAGTCATCAAGCACACCAGAGAAACCAGCCGATTCCGCCAAAACGGGTAGCTCGAAAGATAAGTCTGACGACAGTACCGTGCCTAGCTCCGAAGGTTCAGAGAGCCCTGAACGCAAGACACCACCACTACGATCACTGGCAACCAAGACAGACCTCAAAACTACCTGTCTATCTGAAAAAACTGGAACATGTTTACTTGCCCTGATTCCATTACCGGGTTCTCCATCTGACCCGCCGCCACCCGCAACATTGGAGATGATAAACGCTCTCACTGAAGTCTCATACAAATATACACGCAACCACGCAAACATCTTCCCTTTCTACCTTGTCCCTGAAATTGCCGAGGAGATTACCACTTTCAAGAAGAAGCTCGACATCCAATCAGATGGTGAACTGAAGATCATCGTTGTCAACGGCAGAAGAGGTTGGTATAAGTCGTATAACCCTGAAGAGAGGGGTGGATTTAACCGTGAAGACCTGGAACAGTGGGTTGATGCCGTTAAATTCGGTGAAATGGAAAAGAAAAAGATCCCAGAGGGCGCTTTGATCGGAGATGCACCCGAAAAACCCGCCGAATCCAAGAAGACGCCAGAGGAAACTGCGGACAAAGTTGAGGAGGAGACTGCTCCAGAACCAGAGCCTGAACAAGAGCCAGTCCAGGATTCCAAGGAAGCTCAGCAACCAGAACACGAGGAGTTGTGAGGGGTTTAACGTTACTCACAGCCGTGGAGTTACTGTAATTTCACTAAGCGTAGCTGGCTGGTGCTCTAGCAGCAGCCCAGATATATCTGTTATTGTAAGGGAATTAGCGTCATTATTATTTAAATAATTCAAAGCACTACATTGATAAGATTGGCTCTACGTGAAAGTATACATCCTCTGGGAGTATACATATAACGCGTATAACTACGCTACAGCTGCAAAAAGAGTTTGTAGAGCTAGAACACTATTTTTATGCTATTTACAATCATCTAACACGCATTTCTGCGTCATGAACATATCAACCAATCAGTCCCTTCTCCGGCCCTCGGTGCCCTTTTTTACCTTCTTCCTCTCCTTGCTGCCAATCTCCTTCTCATAAATGTCTCTCGCAGTTTCGCCAGCCTTCCGTTTAGCGGAAGATTTCACACTAACTGTCTTAATGCTGCTATCTTTGGATGACGACGTGCGGATCTGCTTTTCAGCTTCTTCCCAACCTACAGCTCCATGTTCGATCTCGTATCTATATCATAATTAGTATAAGTGCTCTGATGATCAACGTGAAGATAGTTTACTTACTGGTTCAATGGGAGGGCATCAATTAAGGCTCTCTGCTTTTCCCGTAGCGCAGCATCAACCTCTCGTCCACCCTCCTTCAGCTCGTCTTCTAGGTCAACATCAAGGGCACGGAAGCGGTCCTCAACGATCTTATCATCATGAGCCTCGGTTATCTCCCTCTGAGTTATGGCTTTGTTCGTTGTAAGCATTGCGTCTGCTACGGCTCCTTCAAGAACGGAGCGGAAATGTGTGGACACTTTTCTCATTATCTTAATAAACATCGCCATAAGCTGGGTTGCGGCAACTTTGAGCTCCTTTTCCACATCATCGAAGGTCTTGCGCTGTAGACCAGTGGCTAGAAGGATAGTTTGTTGGACACCTGAGAGGTTGGCCCCCGGAGTTAAACGTCCGGAGAAGTAGAGTGATGCAATTGCGGGGACCAAGTCGAGAATAACATGATAGTCTAACAAGTTGTTCGCGTAACTATCAAGTCGTTTAAGATCAAAAGGAGAAAAGATAGCATCGATGTCTGCTTTCGTGACGGGAGATGGCTTAAGCGAAGGATCGGATTTTGCGATTGTAGTGGCAGACTCGCTCATGCTCAAGGACATGACTGATGGGAATTCGCGGAATTGGTATGACAATAGCGATTGGAAACGTTTATGGAAATCTGATACAAATGCTCCAAGCCACGAAGCGTCATTAGATCCAGTAGAAAGAGTACGGATCATAACACAGGAGTGCTCGCCAGTAAGATCGTTAGGTGTTTGTCTTAGATAGACAGGAGCGAACTGAGATCTTTTCCAGAATTTATGTAGAGGCTGTGTCAGGCCAAAACTCACACCAACGTAGTCAAGGGAGCCGGGTTGTCGTTCAGAGAGCTTTCCAAAAAGAGGAGGCATTGACTGGATATCCCTGACATGGACATTATCATCTAGAAGATTAGACTCCTCCAATTCAGCATCAGTCACACGGACCATTTCCTCAGGGGCTGGATTCTCGTCCTCTGATAAGCTAGCAAACTTGCCCTCAAAGAAGTCAATAAGTAGCTCCAAAGCACGAGAGCCATATCCCATCCCAATGTAGTCCGGGTTAGTGGCAATTCGTACGATTCGCGCTCCAGACAAACCAGCAAAATCCTCGTCCTGAAATTGCTGACTGACAAGCCAAGGAATAAGATCACCACCTGCTCTTTGGCCGCGGCTCAAGCTGTTCAATACACTTTGCTTACTTATCTGGCCTTCTAAAGCAATCTGAATGACACATAATGGCTCAGGGAGCTTTGTTGCATTCTCATCGACAGGTGGTACCAAAACATAAAGCTGGTGAGCCGGCGCATCGCTCATGAGTTGAAGGTCATTTGGAGAATTCTTGTAATGACTAGCAACATATAAAGCCATCATCTGGTGGAGGAATTTTTCGGAGACTGGGTGGAAAGAAAAGAGGGTATCACGGTTAACATGAAGCAATTGGCATTGAGATGGATGCGGGCATCCCTGGGTATTCAATTTAGATTTTGGCAGAGTCGCGTCAAGGCACAGGAGTTTGTTAAGCCATTTTTCGACGGAGTCTCCTTGGGTATATCGAATTGGCTCTGACAAAGTTATCTCGCGTAGAGTTCTACCTCCCGGATGAGAACCTCCATCTTTCCTTGCTGCCTTTCCAGTGGATCGGTCAGTGATGTCGGTATCGTCGGCACCGTTCAATTTAGCCCCTCCTCTTGACTGTTCTCGCAGTTGTTGTATCAGCTTCAGAGAAAGAGATCGCCCAGTGCCTTCGTAACCATTGATCGTTGAGGCCATAAACACAAGGTAAGGCCCCATTAGCTTTCGTACTAATGGCAAGGGGATTGCTGCGGCCTCGTCAATGACCAAAAGTTCGGCTTGTCCTAAGGCAAACGCATCCTGAGGTTGTATATATTGTATTGTTTGTCTGTGTTGCCGATGAACATTGACCCTAACAATTGCTTTGTTGAAATCTGGATTAGTTGACTGAAGGATAGTGTAGTCAACGTGATCAAGGTAACCCAATTCATCGAAGCCCTTGAATACGAACTCGAAGAGAGTCTTCAAATTCTCCGGGCTTGGAGAAGTAATGAAAATATTACTATAGCCATGTGCAATGGCAGCGGAAATGGCCACGCCGAGAGCTGCTGATTTTCCACGTCCACGAGCAGCAGTTAAGGTGACGGTACTGCGCAACGTTTTTTCCGCGATAGCGTCCACAAATGTGAGGAGTGCCTTCGCCTGGTCGACAGTTTTGGCCAGTTTCACCAATGCTCCTACTGGCTGTGTGTCTTCTAGTTCCGTCTTTATGGACTGTAGCTCCTTTTTGCTAGAAGAGTTGGCTTCCTCTTCGGGATCAACAGGTGGTAGCGGCGCGACTGCCTTTCCTCCAGATATAGGAAGTACATTTAATTCATCATCAACCACAAGACATGTGTTGCAGCTGCCCAGGGACAAGATAAAACGCTCATTGAATCGTGCCACAACATCATCATGAGCCTCCGTCCGGTATCTCGAGTGTATGTCCATGGATAGCGTGTACAATTGTTTCAAGCTCTTCATACCTTTCAAAAGAAGGATGACGATGCCACCACCCTCAACTGTCTCCACTGTCCGTGCAAGCAAATTTGGCGTCAAGGCTTCAAAATCCTGTAGTATACACATTCCGTATGTATTTCCCAGAATCTTTTCCGTCTCCTTGTAATACACATATCGGATCTGGTTAAGAGTTATAAAAAGTTCAAAGGGGTCATCGGTATTCGGATCGCGTATTCCTCTCTTTATTTCTTTCTTTATCTTCGTCTCTCTCTTCTTGCGATGGGTTGTGAAGCCGAGTAGGTCCTTTTTATATGCCCATAGCACCGATTTATTCTGTTTTACGTCGACGCTCGACATGATATAATGAAGGTGAACAATAACATCTTTGGCCCGGTCTCCGACCACAACGAAGAAACTTCTTTTCTTTTCCTGGATTCCATTGCGAATCAGCGCCGGAATGCGCGAGTCAAGTGCCTTTCGTGGCATTGCGCCGGGATAGCTCTTGTAGAGCAGTCAAAAGAGTGAATACTGCAGAAGAACTTTAGTCGTGAGAACACAGGCTATTCTAAGGCATACCAAGTAAGCGAGCCTGGTCAAAATGTAGGTACCTAGGGAGCAATCGCAAAACTGCTCGATAGATGTTGAATTGAATGAATCTTCATCCAAATTTCATCGAAATTCATCAAAAAAAAAAAGCTTCATCGGGTAAACTTTCTAAACCTTGATTTTCTGCCGCCTCTCACCGCCATGATAAATGTCATGTGATCAAGTGTTCAAGTCACGTGAAATAGCCGATGTTCCTGCATAGTTCACGTGATACTTAAGCGATAAAGAAGCTTAAATCGCCAATCGACTGGTCGAAGTTTTGGCTCCATCTGCTTAATCACAGGGTTTGATCGCCAACGATGGCGACTAAAGCTTAACGACATCACCATTACAAAGAGCAACACAAAGATTTAACGGCCATGTGCGGGTAAATCATCAGTTAGTACGGAGTATTAGTATTTTGCATTATCTATATCTGCTGCTTCAGTGTCTGTTTGATATTATCAATAGTCTGTGGGCTGGAGGTAGTTATATAACTACTAGTTACCGCTGACAAAAACCGTTTCACTCCTGGCGGACGAGAACTGAGTGCAAAGCCAGCCATGGCCGGACTGGATACTTATCCAGTCAATGCAATGCATAAGCACCCTTTAGTGGCAAATTGAACTCCCGAAGTGTTGATACTGTTATTACTTTCCGCATAATGGATCTCGCGCCCCTTTTAGCCTTCACCCAGGTTTGGTTATGTCGTCACATAGGGTTATTATGGGTGCGCCTGTCAGCAAGGTAACGTATAAAAGCAGAAGTTCGCCTGCAAAATCAGACTGGCCTAAGTGCCCCAAAGCAACGCGAGCATACCCCGAAGACGCTATCCCCAGAGCTACGATCAATAGCTACCACGAGACTTAATGTGTTAATGACATAGCACTAACTATGAGCCACACTACCTATCCAAGCTCGCCTCTAGATTCTATTCATGGCGACAGTCATGATGCCGATGCTAATTTTGATTCTGATTCCGATGATGGAGAATATGGTGGACTAAAAGAATTGAAAGTTGCTCTCATCTCTTTCTACAAAGCCTCAGACGAAATACCCGACATAGCTGCTTGGTAAATGACAGCCATTGCTCTCTTAATACTGGTCTCAAGCTAAAATTCCCACCAGGATATTTAGTGCTAGTATTCTATTTTTGCTCATCTACTCAAGAACATCTACCTTTTACTGTGAGTCACTAAAAATCAGGGACTGTCCTAACAAGTTGGATCCAATTTTCCTCCCTTTATTAACCTTCAATATGCTATAGGCCAGTCTTCATAGTCCTCGTCCACTATTCTATTCATTTCAGGCCTTATACTATCAGCGATCAGTTATCTGACCTCCAGGAGACAATCAACTCTTGAGTGGGGCGACGATAAGGCAGCTTTACCGAAACCGACTTTGTCCAACTTGAACCCTTGGAGCAATCGATATGCATCATTACGACATTTGCAGAAGAGATTTGCGTTTATTATGCTGCTCTTATACGTTCGGCTTGAACTTCATGAATACCTAATTAAACATACAGAGTTTTTGTCCCTGCACGAGGTTGTAAGTTATTACGACATTATGATCTCCAGGACGCTCTGTCTAAGTATTAACTTGTAACCAGGTTCTTTTGCCATTTATGGTATCGGTATATGAATTCTGGGAGTTCAAGCGCTCAAACGGAAAGCCAGTTATCGACAAAATGGTGCTGCATGGGAGCAAGCCAGTCAATTGTGTATATCCACTTTACTGGTTGTAGCTGGGTTAGCTATAAGGTCATTGCAATATTATTGGAAATCATCCATTATCTGCCCTGCTGCTACTAATGGGGGCCGCGTTTTGCTTTTGCTACAGGTATTAGCAGCTATGATAGACTCTGCTATTATAGTGGCGGCAGAAAAGCTGGCTAGAATGCCTATGCGTCGACCAAATGGATCAGCCTTGCAATTAACAACGACCTGGGGGCTAATTTTACTGGTATTTTTGGCTGAGTGTATCCCCGTATCTTAATATCACTATGGCTGACATCTAGTCTAGGAGCGGCAATTTTATGGGCATTAGGAAAATCCGGAGCATATTTCCTCTTGCCATCGAAGCAGGAGCCGTTATTTTGCACATCCATCAATGTCGGTGGAATGATTAAACGGTCTCTATTAGTGTCTATAGCTATTATATTTGCCTCAAAATGGGTATGCTACAATCATCTATGATCGTTCTATACCTCTGTTTGGCTTTGTGACTTTCATTCTATCCGTTTTAGATGGTCGTGTCTCAAATTTTATGCTAATATTTTTGTCTATAGTCGTTAAGCACTAAAGCTCTTAAGCCTTCATTTGTGATATCAATATTAACCCTAAGCGCTACCCTTCTTGGATACATCTATCCGGATGATAAGTACCTACCGGTTCCGTTCATTGCAGGGGCACTAGCGGTCATCCTTCTTCACAGCGTGATCATTCTGTATAGCGGACATATATATCTAGCTGAAAGCATTGAGTTCTTTGAGCGAAATTGCCGATTGGACCAAGTTGAGCCCAACATCTCATTCTTGCAAGCTCTATACATAGCTGCAATATCGTCTTCCCTGTTGATATTTTCCTTTTACAATGCTGGGCAGAAGTGGAGTACCTATGGTCACCCTATTAATGGTCTAATTACTAGTGGTAGACAGTTACATGCTCAGTGGCTGGCCGAAGCCAAGTATAGCATTGATCTCCAGGGAGCTATCGGCGAATATACGCAGCGTTATGGCCTTCTGCCCCCACCGTATGTAAAAGCCCCCAAATCATAAAGTCCGATAAGTTTATGACTAACATTCGATGCAGGGGGTTTGACATCTGGTACGAATATGCTACTAATAGGTCGTCATTAATCATTGACAACTTCGACCAAATACATCAGGATCTCCTTCCATTCCGTGCTCTTGCGCCGAGTACATTGAGATACCTTACCAACTCCATGTCTAGCAACCAGTGGAATGATATAGCTGCTGTTGTGGTACGTAATGGCGTTGCTGAGGCCCAGCCAGGGGTAATACCCACTCACAGACGGATGATTGAGGGAATTGTTTAAATGATTACTCCATTTGCAGAATATCTACCTGACATGGACATTGCATTTAATTTGAATGATGAATGCCGCATTTCAGTTCCATGGGATACCATTCAAGCGATGAATAACACTGCAGAAGACAATATATCTTCTCAACTTTATCCTGCGAGCAATGTTTGGTCCAAAGATAGATCACTATCTTGGGCACTCAGCCGTTCCAATGACCAAATGGCGGATTCCCATTTTACAGAGCATTCTAGACGAAATACATTCCATAGCATTGTGAGCGAGTCATGCCCGCCAAACTCACCTGCTCGAACACAGTATTATTGGCAACATGATACACTATGCTTTAAGTGTACCAAACCACACTCCGCGGACCAATTTTTGAAAGACTGGGTACTATCTAGCGATATCTGTCACCAACCTGATTTGGCGAATTTACATGGCTTTTTTATCGCGCCGAGCGCATTCAAGGTATCTCGAAAGCTACTCCCAGTGTTTAGCCAAAGCAAGGTGTCAGGGTTCAACGACATATTATACCCAAGGTCATGGAACTACCTAGAAAAGACGAGTTATAATCCTTCGGACGAGCATCCTGACCCACGGTACGAACACAAGGAAAACACTATGTTCTGGAGAGGTACTACGTCAGAGGGCTTCAGCGAGGCAGGGGAATGGCAAGGAATGGCTCGCCAGCGACTCTTACATTTGACCAACAATAACACTGACCGTGTCTCTGTATTACTTCCTTGGTGGTCTGAGGGCATATATTCCTACTACACCTTACTCCCTTCCGAAGTCTCCCAATCCATAGACACGAACGTGTCAATTGGTATTGCCAAAGGTGTAACTCGATGCGGCAGTAGAGACTGCGATATCCAAAGACATGAGCTAGGGGTTACCAACAGAATACAATTTGACGAACACTGGAAATACCGTTTCCTATTTGACCTGGATGGTGCGGGATTCAGCGGTCGCTTTCTCCCTTTCCTACAAAGCAATAGCCTCCCCTTCCGAGCTGCGATTTTTCGACAGTGGTTCGATACAAGGATAACGCCATGGCTTCATTTTGTACCGCAGGATATTAGATTTCATGATTTCTGGAGCACGCTGGCGTTTTTTGCTGGGGCTAGAAAGATGAATAAAGATGGCAATGTCGAAAAGGTTCTGATGAAGCCTCATCATCGAGAAGGTGGAATTATTGCAAGAGAAGGTAGGAAATGGGCGGAGGAAACGCTTAGAAAGGAGGATATGGAAATATATCTCTTCCGACTATTGCTAGAATGGGGTCGGCTGACGGATGATCGAAGGGACGAGCTTGGGTTGACCGGGTGAGCTTGTCAATGCTCTGGGCTCATCTACCAACGAAAATTGTGGATAAACCTTTTGAAGGAAATCTGGCATTCGATGGCTTATTACCTACCTGGGTACCTTAATACATATATTTAAGGCCGAATTAACATTTGGTGGTTAATTATAAGACTGTTTCGCTCACTGATCACCAACATAATGAATATTGTCGCACGGGTTTAGAGAATGATATTTCGTAATAGGTAAGTAACAGGTAATTCTAACAGGAGGCTAGAAATAAAAGAAAGTCCTGCTTTCTGCATCTTGTACCCAGATTATCTCCAGCTCTTTTCCCTATACACGCCATTTCTTCTCTTCAGACGCAGAAAGATAGAAAATCCGAGGACAAAACTTTGGCGAAAAAAAAAAAAAGAAAAAATCAAATAAAGTGAAGAATCTAGGCGCTAGAACAACAGAGAATATAAATCTTATAACCAGTGAGTAGGTTTAGTTATGGTGGGCGCGTCTGGCATGGCGCTCCATATCCCGTCGTCGTCGGTTAGCAGTGTCCTTGTCATCGTTCAAGGCTGCAGAGGGGATAGGGACAATACCACCTGTCTTCTGGGGACTGGGTGGCATCATGGTGCTTGTGAGTGTGTATGTCTTGGTGATAACGTAAGTGCGGCAGGCAGGTTGAGTTGGTGGAGGGCAAGTGTCACCCGGGTTTCCGTTTCCGCCTGTAGGTAGAGGGCTACTGTTACCGGATGAGCTGGGAGGCGGCATGGGCGCTTCGGCGGGTTTGCTGGGAGTGGGAGCGGCGGGTGGAGTGGCAGAGACGATAGAGGAGACGGTGGAAGTAGATTTGATAGTGGACATGGTGGAGGATGAGGATGGCGGTGCAGGGGCCTGGCTAGGCTTGGTTGGAGCAGTTCCCTGTTGGTAGACCTTCATGTAGTTGATTGACCAGTATGCATCTTCGAACGCAGATGGATTTTCGCGGACGTATTCCATGCAAGTAGGGGCCTTCTTGGAGCAGACGGGGTCGCCGGGCCACATTCCATCGGCCCAGCCTCCGCAAAAGGCAGTATTAAAAATCTAGGTGGTTTGGTTAGCTCTGTATCATGAGTAAGTCACAGGAATTAACATACGATTCTTTGATTGCGAACATGATTGCCAATAGGACACTGCGAGCCGCCAAAGAAAGCAGATGGCTTCCCCCATTTGGATGGGTCGGGGTGCTCGCTATTGATGTCCTTTGGAATCTCCTCACGAGGGAAGAACCAGATCGAGATGGCTTGATCAGTCCATTCAGTAGCAAACACACCACCTGTAGCATTGTTGAAATCAGGTCCGTATCCCCGAGATCCCTTTGAATCCTCAACCAGACAGCCCTGGTTCTCAGCTTGGCCAGCAGCCTTGACATCGCAGTTAGGGGTGACGACTGTTCCGGTAAAGTCCCCTTGTCCGGGGATGCTGCACCCCTGAGCTGTGTGAAGAGCGTAGTCGTTTTGTTTCTGTTGGTTGACACCTTCGATGATATCGAGTTCACCCTCTCTCGGCCAGGCAGAAGAGGTAGTCCAGCTGTAATGACTGTTAGACACCTCTCGTGGGTATAGGATTTGTGTAGGAGTGCTAAGCTTACAAGGCAGGCCATGTCCCGCACTCTCCTCCAGGCATGTGGTTGATATCAGCTACGATCAGGGCATGGTTATACACCTTCTTAGTCTCGAGGCGAACAGATCTTCGACCCTCCCCTGTTGCAATGTTCGTGTGATCGACACCGAGGAAGACGGCGTTGTTCTTGATGCCGATCAAGTTCTGACTGCGAGCCTCCGCCTGGTCGAGGTAGTCGACATACGCATGAGTGGGATCTTTCGCCTACATCCGGTATCATTAGTATACAAGTCCATCAGAACTGGCTCTACCAAGGAGGTATCACGCACAGAGAAGAACCTGAACTGATCAAACCAGGTGCTTGGCTGGTAGTCATCCTCAAGGATATATGTAGCAGAACCCAACTCTGCCAACGCACCCAACAACAGCAACCCGGTAGCACGCATGTTGATCGTGGAGTGTCCAGGGAAATGGGAAACGGAAAAATAGGGAGAAAAGAATACGAAACAAACAAAGAAGGTCCGGATGTTCCTGTAGGCAGGGAGTGGAAATATTGGGATATATAAATGCTTGGAAGTGTGTATTTTCAAAGAGGAAGCTCCTGTTTCTTTTATGTATATGCTGAAAGAAAAGAGTGTAGATAGTTTCAGAGTGAAGACTGGATCCTGCCAGAGGGCCTTCTTATTCAAAACAATAGCCTAACAATAAGGGAAAGACAGACGAAGAATAGGCCGAAGAAAAAAAAATGAGCGTAAGAATTTGGTAGCAAGGAGGACAGAAAGCAAGCGAAAAGAGCAGAGCAAAGGCCGGCCCTGGCAGCTTATAACTGCCTCTCCCACGTTCAAAAAGAAAAGGATCTCTGATACATCAAAGATGCAAAAAGGTGAGTAAACCTTTCCCATGGGTCCATAGTCTATTTTCAGATTCGCCATCGAGGGGGCCCGGCGTATACAACAACATCCATGCGCTGAGTGTACAAACGGCCGTCTCCCTGACCTTGGACCGCACGACGGAACAGGCCCAAGGCCTGGCGTTGCAGCATGATGATCCACAGTTCGCAGTCCAGAGCAGGCGCCAAAGAATGACAAGAAAAAGTCTTGTCTTGTCCTTGGGAGGCCTGGACGGATGTTCCCTTTTTTTGCTCCAGGTTGCCTGTTATCGTTATCCAGTAACTCCGGGGCCCGGAGCATGCGCGTACTAATGACTTATGTTGCCGCTGGAGGGTTGCTCAGCGCTAACTATAATACCGCTGCAGGCCAGACAAGAGTTGATCATCCACCCAACCAAATCGTCCAGACGCCAGGCTGACTGGCATAGATGAAGGGGAAATTGGCTCCAGGACCTGCCAGCACACACATCGCATCCGCGCGGGACATGTCGAGCGGCCACGGACGAAACCGTTCTGAGGGGCTTGGTGTGTCAGGTCGGTGGGTTGGCCCCTGAGAGCTGCATCGTCAGCTGTCGAATCAAAGGCTCTACCTTTGCATTGGCCGGTCGCCGCCCAGGTACAACCGCTGTCCCCCAGCGCCAATCCAGCGAGCGAGCCGGGGTGAGGCGTCCATGTACTGGGGATACCCTTGTCAGGAGACGCCGGTCTCGATATCTCCCGATTCGCCCGTCGCACATACATAAATAATGCGCCCTGCATCGCAATAATTGTGATATTATTACTCCGTACACCGAGGCTTGATGAGGCATTTTCAACTGCCCAACACTCCCTCGCCAGAATGGTAGAATATTATCTCATAGCCTGCCAAAGCACTTCCGTACTTTGTGTGTTGATAGCCTGTTGGTGGTTGGCAACAACGCAGTACGGAGTAATAACACTGCCATGTACTATTGGTTGGCCGCTTATCCAATCAGACGGGATAGTGGGGGTATTATGTAAGGAAATGGATATATTAGTAAGCATACAGATAAAACTTTGACGATTAATTCACGTGACTATGTAACCCTAATTCCGATAATATTACTAATAAACTATAAGGTTTGATATATTAGACAGTTTTCATTGGGTAGTACAGTTAACCAATAAAAGAAGAGTGTGGCTCGAGAAAGACGAAACATCCATCCACCTTCTTCTTTGGTCGACGGAGATAAAATTGGAAGTCCTTTGGATATCTTTATTATTTATCCATTATTTGATATTAATACACACGACGCCCGTATGGACCTGCGGAAGTGGAGGTTGTCTGCCGTGAGGATATCTACCGCAGCCTCTCATGTTACAAAATTTGTGATTGATGCAATCTCTTTTAGTTTCATGAGTCCCTAACTATACTTAAGTAACATTATGCATATCATCTTGGATAATTTTGCTGATATATGGAGTACAGTACTCACGAGGCTTACTAGGATCCCACAGGCTGGCTCCGGGTCCCAGCCCGGAGTGGCTGAAAGCTTGCGGCTTTGCTGTCTCGATGATCCATGAAGAGGACCCGTGAGCCGTGAATTCTACGTGGACGGGAGGTTCGTCTTCTCCTTCTTGGCTGCGCCTTGGCCTTAGATATTGAGTGTTAAATATTATACACAAACCCAACCCAAACCCCCATTCCCTGGCAGATTAAGTACATATAAACAAAATGTTAATGGGAAAGGTCTGGGATAAAACCTTGCTCTTGTTTCCTCTGATACACCTATGAGTAGGCATGAAGCTATTATCGAAGACTCACAACCGTTATTTTCTGGGGGAATATCTGCCTGGTCTTACCTTCATTGCTATCCAAAATCATCTAGCTTGTATATTTATTGTGGTTGCCTTGCTTTGTGCTCAGCGCACGGCTGCTCAGCCAAATACGCACAATTCTCTAACAGATTTGGACTTTGTTAGCCATCTTGGAGGCAACAGGCAGCAAAAGTATTCTAACAGACTGGCACTCAAATCGTATATGCTCCATCTCCTGGGTGCGCTCCTTGCAGAATAAGGTCGAGCGCGTGGGGCATTTCTTATTTCCCATCCAGTGATATTTGCCGATCGCCAGCCTTAAATAACTAACTAATTGGGCCAAGCCGTGTTCACTCCACTCAACACTAAATTCAAGATAACCACCAGAAACTCGTTGAGAAGATTTGCCCTTTTCGTTGTTGTGATTATAGTGCTCATTCGGGGGTGGGTAGAAAGGGAATGGTAAAAACTATAGAATAAATTTGGTCATACTTTGACGAATTATTGTATATCAAGTGGCAGAGCAGAGATAGCTTGTTGCCCAAAGAATAGATTGTATTGTTATACACGCATAAAGTAGGGTTAATGATTGACTAAAACTCGAAAAAATGCCAGATCAATGCTACAGGCCGTTACCGTCAACTTTCAATCCAATTCTCATCGTCAGTATCATAATAGCGGTCATTTCTACCCTCGAAGTCCTCACAAAAATCATGCTACCGAGCTATCACTCTCTTTAGCATCGTTATCCCTATTATCCAATTGCATGGTATCTAAGGAAGTCGACGATCTCGCTAGCTTCGTCTTCAAATTGTATTGACACATAGTGACTCAACGTATATTCTTTTAGTTCTTTTGTGGCTGGCTTCTTCCATAAAGCTGGAGATTAGATTATCATGCACGTAAATCTCTTGCGTGCCCCAAGCCTTGCTTAATCCAAGCCATTGAACGCCAAGACGTTCGTTCTAGACAGACGTACAGTGATGCAATATTCTAATCGGTTAGACTAAAATCTAGTCAATGAATTGCGGATGTGAGATCATCCGTGAGATAATACGTCTAGATCAAGCTATCTGTAAAAGCGCATAACAACATAACTATTTACACAGCAAACACGAAAATTGCCGAGGCCCCGCCCGGTTGTGAACTCGATGATGAAACGTTGACTCAGAAGCAACAGGGGAGGATGCATCATCGCCAACGCATTGCTGAGCCACAGCCTCAGTGAGACAGGACTGATGATATAAGTGTCTGCACCCGAATACAATAAGCGGGCCAAGGTCCATGGGCGCGGCCAGAGTAGCACCTGCGGAAGATTCACCCAGCCCTCTTCCATTGACTTTTGTACTACTGCTGAAATCAGGGGTCATTGTGGTCGTTGTTTCTCTCTGCGAGGGTTCGTCGTGCGATAGGTTAGATGGGGGAACCGAAGGAACAGCAACCCCTTTGCCTTTACTCCTTGAAGAGACGTTTGTGTTTATTTCATCGTCCCTATCCCTATCTGCGAGCCGATTCCGTCTCCGCCTCCGTTGTTGGTCCCATTCATTTTCCCAGGCATCCCATATGTATGTCCCAGTACCGGGGCCCCACACGCGCCGTCTGCATACCTCACAGACTTGACCTCGCGGCCTCCAGCCTTTTTGTCGAAGCTTAGTGATTTCATCCACATGTACGAATAAGTCCTTGTCAAGCATCGTGTTAGCAAGAGATAGCAGGGACTCTTCATAGGTATACGCAGAAAATATGGAGCCAATCACAGTTCGAAGCTCGGACAGTGATGGAGATGCCGCAGCAGCCCGAGTGAGGAATGCACGAAGAATGCGAAGGAATGATACGTCCGTCTTTTGATGTGGCGCATGTCTAGCCTTGGTGGTACTCGTCAGTAAGGAGGTGAAAACTTGTTGAACTAGGGACTTGAAGGATGATGATAAATGGCCAGGCTGATTGGCGTCCTCGTCATCCTCGTCAGCCTCCACTTGCCAAGCTTCCCTCGACTCCTTGGTATTGTCTTCAAGCAGCCCGCGTCTTAATAGAGGAGAAATCTGTTGAGCAATCTTCACAACAGCTTCAATAAGGACAAGCCACAAATTCTCATCGTATGTCAAAGGTTGTTCAAAGACAGAGCTTCCCCTTTTATTGAATGTGCCCCCTTCATGGACTCTTCTTGCGACCTTGCTCTGTTCTTGGCAAAGCCATGTGCCAACACGCGTGTATTTCTCAACAGAGAGGATCAAGTCAGTCACAGCCTCGGCCGCATTTGCTGAGTCAGGGGTGTCGTCAGCATTCTGCAAAAGTCCGGATAGTCCGGCTTCTAATGTTGAGAGGTGTCTTGTCAACCTCTCCATAGCATTAGTGACTTCCCCTTGCTTTGCAAGAAGAATTACCGCAGCGTCCACAATGCCACTGTCCTCAATGTAAGGGAGAACCGCTTCTAGCTGAAGATCCCCCGCCTTTATCAAATTGATAAAATCAGCGACGTGCGAAGGGTTATATTGACACATCAATTGGAGATACTTCTCGATAAGCTCATGGCTAACAGTATCCACGGGCCTGGCATCAGTTTTAGATCCTTGCTCATCCTCAATAATTGTATGCAAATATTCGTATTGGCTGGCAGAATCGTTTTGTAATGCTTGGAGGAATTTGCTGTGTAACTCAGGAGCCAATGATTGAACTGTATGCGCCGTCTCATAGATATTTATTGAAGCCAGTTCCTTTGCAGATTCTTCCATCGTGGTCAGGAGCCCTCGACGCTGCTTCTTGGTAAGGGAAGAACTTGGCCGCAAACAGTCACGAATGCAGACAAACACATGTTGTTGATCTTCCGGGTCTGCTATATATGTTCGCAACAAATCCGAATATCTTTTCTCGGCCCTATGTGTTGCTTTTAAAATTCGGAAAAACTTTGCCTCCTCGAACAAGGGGATCAAGGCTTGGATATCAGGAGGATGGTAAGTTGATAATAGATATTCTGCGGACAGTTGACAATCATCAAGCATTTCCATACTGGGATACTGGCAAAGCCTAACCAGGACTTGTTGTAAAGTTGAACCAGAGAGAAGTATATATTGGGGGTATTTGGGGAGATTTCGAGCAATAAACATGTCAAGGTAGATAGTATCACTAGTGCCAAAGTTGGAAGAATTCGAGTCCATGACTTCAAGGAGGATCCTTAGTAAGTATTGACGATTCATAGACGAGCCATCTGCGGATTTTGCTGGCTCGCCATTATTCCACTGATCAACGGGGTCGTTGAGAAAGCTGTCCTCAAAAGCCTCGTTTAACATGCTCATGAAACTTGGTGTGTCAAATTCGAGCATCATTCGAAGACTTTGGAAAGGGGGCGCGCCATTCATCCGTCCATCGCCACGGCCCGACTTCCCTGAAAATAAGAACTTATAAATCTCGCTTTTCGCGGGTAAAGCTTCATGTTCTCCCAGTTCATCTCCGGTTGGGTAAACACGAGAGGTAAGAATGTAGGAGAGGTAGGGAAACATCTTCGATGCATTGACATGGTCCTTTGCTATTACCTCTGGATCTTTATCAGCACTTGATGACTGTGCTTTGTGTTTGCGTACGAGATTAAGTAATTCCTGAAGAGGACTGATATAGTCGTGCAAAGCACAGTTCCAGACGTAGATGAATGCATCATAAAGATTATGCTTTTTGCATAAGGTCGTCACTTGGTCTATGTCCATAGTGTCTGTTTCAAGGAGGCAGATGATCTCTTCAAGTCGGCTGGCGGTATGTGTTGTTACGAAGTGAGTTATCAAGGACTTTACGGCTGTTGGCGGGAGGGCCCGCACACTGCCCTTGATGATATACGGTTCCAGGGCGTCCATAAAAACCCCGTAGGCTTCATATTCCTCGTACCAGGCGTAGACTTCTTCGAATAAGAACTCGTGATTGTCCATAGCCTCACAAGCAAATATACATGCATCAGCCAAGTCACTTAGCTGTGACTTTTGAAGACGCTCGATATCTGACTCGGCATTCTTCCCAAAGGCGAACCGGAGAGATGCGGACATCATTTCAAGCAATTTCTCCCGTACGACCTGGTGTCGTAATTCATCTTCTTCAGGGAGCCCTACAGTTAGTTTCTCAGAACGGCCTGTATAAAAGGACGTAGCAAGTCGAATGGCCCCAATAAAATCACCGCTTTCAACCAATGCTAGTAATCTATCGGCCCAGTTCGACAGGCTACCCACACATATATCATTGAACCCAAGAAAGAACAGGCGGCCCTTATATGCTCGAAAGCTCATATAGAACGCATCAGCAATCACGCCGTGCATGGATTGGTCTTGTTCGCTATTGTCATCGTCATCATCGTTGAGTTGTTCGACAAGCGTATGGAGCTGCCTTGAAAACAGGTCAACGTGGTAAATATGTTTATGTATCAAATCTGATGAATCGGTGACGCGGAGGGAGTTGTCTTCCAGTATAAGAAGCTGCTGGGTAATGGTCATCACAGCTATGACTGAACGACTTATCCATTGCACAGCAACAATAGCCTCGTCTGCCCGCCACCTACATCGTGGCTTAAATCTCAGGCTGGCAGGTCTATCCTTGTCGCCATCGTCTACTTGTTTGTTTTCATAAACATCCAGGATGGTGAGCACATTTGACCAGCAGTACACAAGTTTCGTCTTGGAAACTTCTGAGTCCTTCCCTTTTAGTTTGATCGCAGGGAACCACGCTAGTGTTGCCGTCAATGCACTATGCGCAGCAAGTTCTTTCGGCCGTCCGGATTTATACTGAGTTCTCGCAACTGGAGTGGTGGAAACAATCACCAAGAGATATGGGGTAAGCATTGCAACCAGCCCTAATGAGTCAGTTGGTTGGTCAACGTTTCCTAGAGGAAGAGGAGAAAATGCGAGGACGGAGCTGGGTTTCCGGGCAACAGCAGACGGCGAGAAATCAGGGTACCGGCCTAAAATACGTGTAGTTCTTACTACTCGTCCAACAGCCCCCATTCCTCTCGTTGCAAGGTGTGAGAAAGCCATTCCGCTGTCATCTGCAGAGACTAGGGCAGTGTGCCTGGTTCCTAAAAAGCCAATGTGAATGACCGACACCCCCGCAACATGGCCATCAGCTCTATGTGAATCGAGTTGGTCCTTGGGTATTGGTGGTATATGAAGAAAAGGTCGCGCGGGCCGCGCAATTTCCCATGTAAAAATGGTTCCATCCGCATGGCCTCCAGCGAGCGTTGAGTGGTCCGCAGATATAGCAAGTGAGGTAATTGAGCCCGACGAGACCGCTATAAGAGATCAGTTAATCAGAGTCAAAAGAGACACGGCATCTACTAGAGCTCACCTTTTGTCCCTGGGCCAATGATGGCTTTTAGATTCTGCTGATAGTCGAAAACCAGGATAACACCCTTGGTTGTTCCTAGCACAATCGACGTGGACACAGCAATACATGTAGGCCTGCCAAAATTCCTCTTTCCAACTTCAGAAAATACCTGGCCAGCTATTTTCTTCAGTTTAGTCCATCGAATCACTTCCCACGGCGCCGGCTCCGATTCCTCCTCTGGAAGATCTGGCGTACTACTGTCAAAACGAAGGTGACTTGCCAGAGACGAGTTACGGGAATGTGCGAGGCTAAGTGCCGGAGAGACTGAGCGATTGCTGGGTGGTATCGAGGAGACAGAGAGCCGAGATTGGAATCGGCGGTCGAATGGACGGTGGGGTACAGGGCTTAGGTTTGAAGCTGATCCGCGATGCGCAAATGCGCTGCTTCCGGGTGAGGAGACCATTGAGCCCTGTATGGAGATATTAGACCACTGGCTCTTTACTTTTAGGTAATATGATATGTCAATGAATTATGCATACCTGAATTGACGGCGTATCATCCGGTATAGATCCCAAATCATCAACGCTGTCATGTACCCGCTCTCTTGACCGCTGCCGCGGCCGTCTCTCGCCGCCATCAGATATCGAGCCCGAGACCTCCGCTTCCGCCGCAGACGTATCCCGACTACTCGAGACGGAGCCCAAATCATCATCTTGTGCGTGGCCGTCCCCTCCTTCAAGCGCAATCACATCTTCATCTTCACCCGTACCAACGAGCTCACTCTCATGCTCCTCATCTATATCAGCATCAGCACCGACATCGACATCGGAGCCAGGGTCGCGCAAGTCCAGCTCGTCGTCTCGTGGTTCATTGTCACTCCCTTCAATCGTAGGGCCCATCGGTTGCGCTGTGAGTTTATATAATCATCGCTTCAAAATGGGTTAAAGCTCGAGTTGTGGGGAGCAAGTTTCCGTTTATAACAGTGGTAATTCAGAGCTTCAATTCGGTTATAGATATGCGTGGTACGTAATCGTATGTAACAGGGCGTAGCTAGGCAGATATGTTGGCTCGTATGTAGGTAGGCCAGGGTCGTGTAGGCAGCAACGGCAAATGCTTCCTCGTTGCTTAGCTAGCTAGCTAGTTAACTAACTGGAAGTGTGTTAGCTGACAGAATTTACTATTGCTAGGCATTAATTCTCAGTCAACTTACCGGCTTATTTGATAGTTGCCTCAGGCGTACAGGATGGGGATGCCAGTGTAAAGCAAAGCGCGGATGGTCCAGGCATAATTTATATATGCCTAGAGCTGGAGGTTGAAGTAAGCTCGCGATGCCAAGCCGGAGTTTCTGCACTAGCGAGTTACTTTAAGTCAAACGGTGGATGTACATTTTGCAGCCATGCATTGAATGGATATGCCAATAAATAATTATATTTCCTATTGAATGCAGAGTAGTTCTACAGTTCAGCGTCATAAGGGGAAAAAGGAAAGAGAGGAAATCATGAAGCAAGAAAGGCGACAATAATCATCCATTTCTGTTCCCAGTCTAGTCCTTCTCGACTCGCTGGCAGTTATCAACATGCTTCTAAAAGAGAACAATAAGTAGAGTAGTAGAATATAATCAAATAAATCTATCCGTATTTTTTTTCTTGTCAGCAAAAGAAACCCCATAGTAGTCCGTTATCCAGTTTCGCCATAGCCGGAGCTAGCAAGATGCCTATTAGTATCGCGGCAATCGCTTGTAACTCGCTAACTCACTCAATAGACGCAAATAGAGAACAAGGTAGGTCGATCAGAATCAATGAATTACATAATAGGGGTAAGGGTGCAGGGAACGGCGTAGAAGGTGGTGTTTTCATATTATAACACAGGAGTTGATGGTGGTAGGGTAGGCGTTTCAGCCGATGGGAATGTGGGTGGAAGGGGGAGGGGGAAGGAAGAAAATACACGAGAATGCCACCTAGAACGTTCGCTCTGTCAAGTAAGAAGGAAAGTAGAAGTAAAGTAATATGAATGGTATGATGTGGTATGGTATGATATGAATGTAATAACGAAAACGGGGAAAAGGAAAATGCATAAACGTCAACACCTGAAGCTAGACATGATGAAAAGTTAAAGTAAAAACAGAAGCAAATGACAACCGAACCGAAGAAGAAAGAGGGAGAATTATAGTAGTAAATTCTTCAATGATGGACTCGCACTTGCTGCTGAACCGGATGTCGTTGGCGCTGGCTGAGGCTGCATACCGCCCATGGAACCCTGACGACCCATACTCTCTGATCGAGGTCGTGACGGAGTACCGGACGGCCCTGGTGCAGGGGCAGGGTCAACTTGGCTCTGAGACTGAGGTTGCTGCTGCTGGTGCGGGTCTAAACTTCTTCGTGCAGCGGATGGGGAAGAGAGGTTTGGTTTTGGTTGAACGGGTCTGTCGACGGGGAACATTCGTGGTGGATGAGGACCCGAGAGAGGTGTTCGTGAAGGTGGTGGGGGGA